TGTGTGTGTGTGTGAATTTTAAATAGATTACACGGTTATAGTATTCATAACATACAAAAAGTCGAAATGACCTTGACCTTTTATCGAGTATTTTGGTAGATACATTTTTGCCATCTCACAGTGAGTATGATTGATGATAACCATCAAAAATGCCACTTGGGCAGGTATCGGTAGATTAACTGCCTATTCAAAAAAATATTGCAAATACGAAAGTGAGTTTGTTTATTTAGTACCTATAACGTCTTAAACAATTATTGTGAATGTTAACACATATGTACTATATTTGATAGAGATGGATATAGACTGCTTTTTATTTTGGTCAACAAAAATATCCTCGTCACACAGACGAAATCACGGGTAAAAACTAGTGTAAAAATAAAACAATTTCCTTCATAGATATAATAAAATCCTAGATTCACATTCCCCTAAAAAGTTACACGCTCAGTCTTCTAAATTTAAATTAAAAGAAATAAACGCTTATTTACTCCTTAGTATTATACCACAGGATACGAGTAAATACAGTATTATTATTATAAATTCTTGACAAAACTTAAAAACGTATTGACATCTGAAATGTGTGTGTAATACTTTAGTATATGGCTTATTTTTTTATATGTATATAAATGCATATATTTCCTTTTTTTTTATACAACTTATAATGGCAAACAAGCAGACGGCCCACCTGATGGAAATTGGTAACCGTCGCCTATAGACATGAGCAGTACCATGGACATAACAGAGTATACTGTTTCGCACATGATACCCCCCATGCGTTGCCATTCCTGAGGACTCAGATGTTATTCCTCTGTACCCTGTAAATTCACTGCCATATCCCACCCTTCAAACCGAAACACAGCCATGCAAACAAAACTGCTTCACGGTAGAAACACGAATGGGACAGAAGTACCCAAGCAATCGACTTTTGTGCAAAGTCTCCCTCTGGTAAAGTCTATAGTTGACATGCCACAATAATATAAATTAATGAATATTGTACGCCTCTAGAAGGTAGAATATGATAGAACTTTCATATTTATTATACGAGTATGTTTATGACCAAACATATTTAACAATAGATGTTTATTTTCCTTTTAATTTTAGTGATGTTATATTTATTAACTGTAAATATGAAGGTACGTATTTAGACTGGATATTTGTTATTTACAATCTATACTTATAATAAATCTGTAGAGGTCAATTCTGTACATGAAATATATTTCCAAAATAACTATCAGGAGGTGATTAGTGATCGATACTGATGCCAAAAATGCGATCAGTAAAATTTTTATCTGTGTCTGTATGTATGTTCGTTATAGAAACAAAAACTACTCAACGGATTTTAACGAAACTTGGTACAATTATTCTTCATACTCCTGGGCGGGTTATAGTATACTTTTCATCACGCTACGATCAATAGGAGCAGAGCAGTGAAGGGAAATGTTGGGAAAACGGGAGAACTTACTCTATTTTTAAGCTTTCGTCGCGTGTGCAACCTTAATGGTCACTTTTTAAAATGTAAAAATGTCCACCCGTGCGAAGCCGGGATGGGCCGCTAGTATAAAATATTTTTAGATATTTTTACAACATTTATAAGATCACTTCGATATAATTGGATCTATGTATATATATCACTGCTTGATTATAAATAAGTGTATAATTTGGTTGGTTATTTTCAGTGACGTTTTTTAATATAATAAAAAAAGAAGCAATATAAGTAAACAAGAAATTAAAAGTATTAAGGTTGAGAATAAAAAAATAAATGATCCTCAAATATTGCAACTGCATTTAACGATTATTTTATATCGTATACAAAAAAAAAATCCGGAAAAAGCAAATTGCCAGCACAAAAATATTCAAAATCTGAATTCATCAGTATTTATAATACATTGTAATGAAGAAGAAGTCATTAAAATTATAAAATCTTTGAAAAGTACAAGGTCTGTGGGTTTTGATGATATCTCAACTCATATATTAAAAAGAGTTGCAAACGAGATTGCTCCAGTGTTAACGTATATTGTGAACTTGTCTTTCATGCAAGGTATATTTCCAAATCGATTGAAACATTGAATAGTAATCCCACTACATAAAAAAGACGATAAAACCAAATTAAACAATTATAGACCCATTACATTAAACTCAGTATTTTCAAAGGTATTTGAAAGATTGATGCATATTAGACTGAATAATTTTATTAATAAATTTAATATAATTAAAAAGGAACAAAATGGATTCCAAACAAATAAATCGACAACATTAGCTGCATTTTCTGTTATTCGTAATTTGACACATTATATTGACAATAAAAAGAGAGTAACAGGAATATTTTTTGACATGACTAAGGCCTTTGACAATTTAAATCATACTATATTATTAAATAAGTGCGAAAGATATGGGATTAGAGGTCCTACTCTGAAATGGATATCAAGCTTCATCTCAAACAGAAAACAATGTGTACTTATAAATAAAATTGATAATACAAACACAAACAAGTCTTTTAAGTCTAATTATCATTGTAACCTATCGGGAGTCCCACAAGGAAGTATACTAGGACCTCTATTATTCCTCCTATATATAAATGACTTGCCAGATATAACTAAATATCAATGTGTTTTATTTGCCGACGATTTATCAGTTATTATTCCTGAAAATGAAAGAATAAAATCTGACTATGAAATTACTATAAAGAACACAATAAGAGACATAGTAAACTGGTTGCAATACAACGATTTAAGTGTCAATATATCTAAGACTAAGTATATGCAATTCTTGAATTATTCCATGAAACCAATAAACATTTTTATAAAATGTGATAATGAAATTGTAACCGAATGTAAAGAAATAAAGTTTCTAGGCTTTATATTGGACCAAAATTGTAATTGGAAAGGACATACAAATAATGTAAGGAAGCGTATAAACAGTTTTGTGTATGCTCTAAGAAGGTTAAAAAGAGAAGCCAATGAAACCACAGTCCTTACCGCTTACCACGGTTATGTAGGATCGATATTGAGATACGGACTTCTACTATGGGGAAATTCGGTATTAGTAAGAAAAGTTTTTATCGCGCAAAAGAAATGTATAAGAGCGATTTGTGGTGTTGGTCCAACAGAATCTTGTAAACCTCTATTTAAAAAATTAAAGCTTTTGACACTTACCTCAATGTATATTTATGAGGTGGGAATATTTGTAAAAAAACATTTGTATTTATTTACAACAATGACAGAATATAATAAATTCACACCCAGAGACCCCACACAACTGAAAGTACCCACCTGTAAGTCAATGCTGCATCAACAAAATTGTGGTGTAATGGCTATTCGAATTTATAATAGGATACCAAAAAAAATAAGAGAATTGCCATTAAATTATTTTAAATTAAAATTGAAAACATGGTTAATAGAAAATATTTTTTACAATATTAATGAGTTTTTGTAAAATATAAATGCTGTGACATTGACTTAGTTGAAATTTAAATTGTAATTTTAATTTTATTTGACATTGTTATCATTTTATTTATTGTAGTAGCTTTATTGACTGTTTGTAATGCATGACCAAAGTGACACTTCGTACTAATAGTGATTTATTGTATATGTAATTGAAAATTAAATATATGATGTACCTGTATAAAATAGAAAATGGATAAATTCAATAATTAATATTTGCATGCCATTTGATGTGGCGAAACATAATGGACATCTTATAAACTTCACAAATGCAACACCTTTTCTACAATGTTTCTAGCAAATAAATTTCATTTCATTTCAATATCCGTTCATGCATCTTGGTTTTTGTGTTTATCAATGATGTCCGATGAATCATGCGTTGTCATTCCTGAGGACTCAGATGTTATTCCTCTGTACCCTGTAAATTCACTGCCATATCCCACCCTTCAGACCGAAACACAGCCATGCAAACACAACTGCTTCACGGTAGAAACACGAATGGGACAGAGGTACCCAAGCAATCGACTTTTGTACAAAGTCTCCCTCTGGTAATGTTAGGTCGAGTGAGTATTATGTACAATCAATGACAAGTTAGATTATTGGTTAATTGATCGTCAGCCATTTAGGTTAGTAACCTAGATATTATCAGTTCGAACGGTCGGCTAACCTATCTTTAACTGAATCTCACGCATCGTCGACCACGGTACACTATTGTTCTAACTCGAATGACCTTGATATGGTTTAATAGATGTTTTTAATAGCAGATTCTTTTTAACTGCACCTCATTTTGATGTAGTGGTTAAACACACTATCACCATCTGAATGTTAAGAGTTTGCTTCCTTTGTTTTATTAAAAAAAATACAAATAAATTCAGCCCATGCTATTTGTTGATAATGTACCTTAAATTAGAAAAATATTTTTGAAAAAGTTTTTAAATTCCCATTAATATTATAAATTTTAAAGTTTGCAATTTTGGATGTTTTTTTTTTTATTAAAATGTTGCTATGTTTTTTCTTTAATAAAGTACAACCCACGTTCTTTGTTGATACTGTAGCTTAAATTAGGAGCTTAAACATATTACGGCGACCCCAAATGATAGTTGGGATAAGGGTAGGAAGATGATGATGAAATTAGGAGAGTTTTTTTTTTAATAAATTTTAAAATATTATTTTCATTATAAATGTAAAAGTTTGTTACACTGGATGGATAGATGTTTGTTTATCTTTCACGCAAAAAGTACTAAACGGATTTGAATGAAATTTGGTACAAGGGTAGGTTATGTCCTAATATAATACATAAGATACTTTGTTTACTGATTCACATGGGCGAAGTTATGGAATATAACTAATTTAATGTAATTATTAGCGTATGGAAAAAACTAGTAATAAGTAGTAATAATATAGCGACTTTAAAACCGCATGGTAATTTCTATCAACTAACCATATGCAAGGGTTAGTTGTCAGAAATTACCAATAAAAATATAAAGCAATATATTAATTTAGTATTTAAGTATATTTAGTGTTTTTAAATTATTTCTTAACAAGATTTTTATTTCGTTTCAGGTACTCAGTAACTACGAGACTGTCTCCTAACAGGGCGAAATACTTCTTCCCTTGTTTCGACAATCCAAGATTTGAAGCGGTGTTCAAATTCATTGTACACATGATGACCCCGTTAATAGTTGAAGAATCTGTAAATAATTCCTTGACCATAACTAAAGAGCAAAGAAATCAAACGTAAGTGGATGCTTTTAGTCTGTAAAAGTTGCATCATCATCATCATATCAGCTTTTAACTGTCCACTGCTGAACATAAACCCCCCTAGAGGGGGTTTTACTAGTAGTTTCCATGCTTGCCAGGCGGATTGGCAACCGCAGTTAGGCTTTGGAGATGTTTTAAGAAGGAGGACTCCTCGCCCTCCTTTAGACGCCTCTTACGAAACCCACAGGAAAGAAAAAGGTGATTTACTCTATGTCGGAACCTCACGACCATATACATACACCAAAAATTACATACTAAAACAATATTAGATCAGTATAGAAATTGTGTTGCCGTGTGGTCCCAGCATAGAATGGACCACCCTTCCTTTCTCTAGGTGTCGTAAGAGGCGACTAAGGGAACTTAATGGGCGTAGGATGGGTAGCAACTTCCCTCATAAAACATCATAAAAGCTTAACTGCGCTTGCCAACCTGTTTACCGAAAGTGGCAACTACTGGCAAAACTCTTGTTATGGGTGAGGCCTATGTTCAGCAGTAAACAGTTAATGTCTGATGTGATGATAATAATGATGACAGATATAGTTCGCGAAAGGAACAATAATAATGAACAATAAGAAGGGAAACTAGTAAGCTCATAGATCCCTTGAAGTACCCTTTTAAGTCGACCATCACGTAATTGGCCCTAGAAACCATTGTATTGAATTCTTAATGTCTAACTTTAACCTTACTCACTTTGGGGGGGAGGGGGGGACGGAGGGGATTGTTAGTAATGAAGACTAACAATCCCATTGCTAGCAATATACCCAACCAGGTCGACCTCCTCGCGGTTCTCCCTGGAAACTATCATGGTTAATTCCTGATGAATTCATCATGATGGGCTAACTGGCCTGTTTTCATTCTCATCTATCACCCTTCACAGGTGCTCCGCAATCGTATACCGTTAGTGCAGGCGGAGTTACCATACCATTTTCACCCATCAAAAAAAAAACCTCACTCACTAGTGTCCCTCCAGCGTATACCTATAGTGCAGGTGAGGGTTAACTTACAGTTATCATCCATCCTGCTTTGATTCAGCTATCGTCCCTCACTGGTACCAGACACCAGCATAAATAAATAATACAGACGAGGTAACCAATTTGTTTCCATTGATAATACTAATAAAAAAAGTACCTACTACAATACAATTTTTAATATAATTTATTTTTTTATGATTCTTGAATTGCATCTGTTTATATTTGTTATGTGCCTTGTTCTTTCAATATTATTCAACCAATAATTACTCTAATTTGTCAGATTGACAATACTGTACTATTTCTTGATAAATTGCTAGGAAACATTACGTAATTGTCTGACTGTATAATTAGATTATGCAGTAAAATAAGGTAACTGCCTATTTTCACAGTCATGCGAGATTAGTATAAGAGATTTTCTAAATTGAAATCTGTCAAAACTCATAAAACGTATACCATAAACTGTTACAGAAATAGTACCAGTAACGAACCTTTACCCAAATATATACGCGCATATAAAAGGCACATAAAGGGCGATGTTTTTAATAATTTTCTATAAACCAGTCAATCAAGTCCAGTATCAACGTGTCATATGTGGTTACAATAATTGACACAATTCTTAGTACCTACCCGCGGTTGCACTGCCGCCTTGTACGGATATGTTGTTATGGTATAGGTCTAACTGACAGCGGAAATATAAGCGTCTTCAAAAACTGTTGAATTGTAAAAATAAAAACATTCAACTATGGAAGTTTATAAGTATTTTTATTATCGTATTTATTAGATAGATTTTATTTTTTACACATTTGTATATAATATATATAATTGTAGATTAGCAATTAATAATTATAGTATTAATTAGGAGCGAGGGATGGGCAGCAGCGTCCCTTTTAAAACATCTCTAAAACCCAACTGCAGTTGCCAATCCGCCTGCTATGCATGGTAACTACTGGAAAAATCTTCTAAGGGGGAGGCTTATGTTCAGCAGTGGACAGTTAAAGGCAGATATGATGATGATGATTAATTAATACATGGCAATATCAATTTATTTTAGTTACAGTATCTATATAGTGAACCAAAAAATTAAAATTGGATAACAGATATTTAACACATCCAAAAATCTAACCGGTATGAGCGATATCATAATGAGTGATGACCTTTTTTTCGTGATCGATGTCCAGAGGAATTCAATATATAGGTATCCATATTACCCATACCTAATATTAATATACGTAAATACTTTTCATCACATAATTAGATTTTTATTTTACCAGAGGGAGACTTTGTACAAAAGTCGATTGCTTGGGTACCTCTGTCCCATTCGTGTTTCTACCGTGAAGCAGGAATAACACCTGAGTCCTCAGGAATGGGAACGCATGGGGGGTATCATGGGCGAAACAGTATACTCTATTATGTCCATGGTACTACTCATGTGTATAGGCGATGGTTACCACTTTCCATCAGGTGGGCCGTCAGCTTGTTTGCCATTCTAAGTCGTATAAAAAAAGATAAAAAAAGAATGTTGACTGAAAGAGAATGCTACTCGTATATAGCATCAAGTCTGTCTTTTGTACCGTATAGTTTTTGTGAATGCTGTCAATAAAGAATAAAAAGTAATTTATTTTGTTTATTACACACATATACTATACTTCTATTATAGTATTCTTGTCCAGCTAAATTACGAATTTTTGAAATTAATCCTTTAAAGAGATGCACTTTTAGAGTGAAAGTAATTATTTCAATATTTTTTTTAAGTTGACAACATAATATTATTTATTGCTAAAGCCAATGTACAGCTACGCTATCAGAAAGCCTCTACCGTTATTTCCCAGTATAGAGTTCCATTTAGATACCTACACTATCTCTAAGGGAAAGCAGTATTTTTTTATAAGTTCCATATAAAAAGTACTTGGAAATATTACGAAATGAAAGTGGAAAGTATTGGAATACATTTCCTTTTTACTCATAGAAATCATATAGATTTAATTTATGTGAAACATTAGTTTTCTTTTCCATTTATAGGACTGATTATTTATCGTCATAACAATATTGCCTACTATAATAAATGTTAATTAATAGTTATAGAGAAATATGCATTTATGTCCAAATTGCCAGTATTTGAATCGTTGTAGTATCGTTGATTCATATGATGGATAATAAACAAAACAAAAGTGGGAATAAAATATAATGAACGATGGAATAATAAAAATCTTAAAATAAGTTTTATATATATACACACATATATATATATATATATATATATATATAACTTTACAATAGATATATAGATTTTTTCAGATATATTTCATGTATATAATTTATATTTATTAATTGTGATTGAAGTAACGTAAACTTATGATGATCCTTGACGTTTGAAATAAATAATTTTATTATTATTTAAAACTGGCTTTAAAACTGATTGCATATAGTCTGTCTCTAGCTACATTTTTATTTGGAGTCCTAATGTATAAATTTATATTGAAAAACATTGGCATAAGTTACATACCACTAGTGTTTACCTGGGACTCTATCCGCTTGGCTGAGACTGTTGATTGACTGGAATCATCGCAAATATAAATTTAATAACATTTGGTTGTGTTGCTAAGGTGCCAAGAGCTAAAAAAAATTGTTTGCATTTATACAATTTGTAATGTTAGTTTTTTTTTTATACCACTATATTAAAAATATTACAAATTTATAACATAAATGGATAACACACGAAGCTATGCTATGCAATATAATGCTATGCTATGGATTGTATTTACGGATGGAAGCCAAGAATTCTCTCTCTGTCTAATCTATCTATACTAATAATACAAAGAAGAAATGTTTGATTGATTGTTCGTTTGTAATGGATAAACTGAAAAACTTTGCAACCAATTTCAAAAAATCTTTCACCTATAGAAAGCTGCCTGTGCCTACGGCCACTTTCTATCATCGTACGGCCCGCCATCGACAGGGAGTTCACCCTCATACCTTACAGCCTAAATGGTCACGTACAACGCGGTTTCAAAGTTGTTTTCTCTCACGAACATCAGGTAATGGTCCCCGCCGAGCCCAAGAGACTACAGCATGGAGTTCTTCAAAAGGGGGGTAAAGAGGTTTTTTCGAGTCGGCAACGCGCGTGTAATACCTCTGGTATTGCAGGCGTTCATAGGCTACGGTAACCGCTTACCATCAGGTGAGCCGTATGCTTGTTTGCCACCTCCGTGGTATAAAAAAAGCTATTTAATCAGCGAATGACATAGGTTATATATAATTTTCGAAAATTCTATTCATACATGTAAAGTCGGGTCGGATTACTAGTTTGTTATAAATGCTGTGTTAACTTTGTTACAGTATGCAAGACCAAAGTGTCATAGTTTACTATACCCCTTCACCTCAAGTAAAATTGAACGAGATTGGCTTACACATTTCCGATTTTTCGAATATAAAGAAACCATCCAAGAATACCAAGGACACACTAGTGGTCTGGGCACCAGAACACGAACTGGAGAATTACCGATGCGTACTCAATTATGGTGTGGATATGATTAATTTGATCCACAAATACGCAGCAGTGGATCGGCCATTAGCAAATGGGCCGATCAATATAATAGCAGTACCGTCGGAGAAAATCGACGGGTACGAAGTCGGCAGCTGGAATCTTCTTACTTATCGGTAAGTTGAAGAATTTATAGCATCAAACTTAAATCATCTTTATTCAAATATATTTGTTCACAAGTACTTTTAAATTGTCATTTTTTTTTAATCTACTGCAACGTTTGGAAGGTTTTTATATGTTTAGAAGAATCAGCAAGAAATTCAATAGTTACTATTTTAAATCTCTGTTAACATTATGTCTATTTATTTAAATGTACTATGTATAAAATGATATGATCGTTAAAAGCCTGTGCATGATCGACTAAGACAATCCATATTTGTCATTCAAGTAATCGTTTGGTGTGTTATAGGTTTTGTTCAATAAGTGAATAAGTGATAATATGTGCCCTTTATATATAGTTATTTCAAATCTAAAGTAAATAGGTATTAATGAATTTGAGTGTAACGCCTTAAACCTAAGTTTAAGGGGAGTCAGCGGATGCAGGTGACTCAGGACCGTTCTTTATGGCAATTTATGGGGAAGACCTATGTTCAACAGTGGACGAATTGTAGCTGAGATAATGACGATGATGACCTCATTATCAGTTAAGATTAAGCGAGACTGGAATCAAATGAGTTTCTAATTTAATATTTAAAAAAAAAGTTTTGTCACCAACATGTAACTAAATAATCAGATACTTTTTTAGATCTACAGACACTCCACAACTAGTATTGCCTATATTAATAAACAAATAATGTAATTATGTACTGATAATTTAAACTAGACTTTAAAGATTATCCGTTTTACTATAAAAAGGTTTAACATAAAATAGATAGTGTTCAGTATATGTTTAGATGACATACTACAAAAGCGTTATATCTTTTTACATATAAACAAGAAAGTTTTTAACAAATAAAGGTGTTCGAAATAATATTTTTTATTATAATATCTATCCATTTCGATACGTAGAATTATGTACAAATATACATCGTTATACTTTCCAAACAATCATTCATGATTTAAATAGAGTTGGGTTAATAGTTATTTTAGATAAATAATGTTTTAAACATTCTTTGTAGTAAAGCCGTTGTATAATAATATTTAAATGTGAAGCTGCAAATTACGTGCAGAATATAGTATTCTGTGGCTATAGCAGCAGAAGTGAAAGAAAGAAAAAGAAGATTAAGATTTTTCTTATTAGGAAACAATTGAGTATGATGCTACGTTAAAAAGTAATAAAAAAATCAATGCATTTCTATATTTCTATAATAATAATTGGCGAATGGCCGATGCAAACTCTTTAAATTTTATTATATATTTTTTTGTGTGTGTTTATTTTAAATATGTTTTTATTTGTGATTTCAGTTTTGTATTTGACAACTTCTGCTTCTTTCTTGTTTGGTCCCTGTTAATACATTTTGCTTTGCAAAATTCCGTGTCTACATCATTTAGCACCTAATCACAGTTCACTGCTCTCTAATAATAATAAATTCAATAATGTTTCTATATTTATAACGTTTTAGTTATTTCCAAAATATTAACTCCATGGTAACAAAGTCGTAGAAAGCAATGAGTAATACGATATTATAGATCAGAGCCATATATAGTAGACAAGTAAGTTAGTTGATTCTCCAAATTCGGCGTTCGAACAGTCGTCTCGCGTCTGTCAAGCGTGAAACACTCGGCTATTTATTACGAAACACACAAGGCCAAATATTTTATGTGAACCGATATAATTCCGACCAAAACAGCTGATGTATTTTGTTTACTTGTACGAGAACGTGAACCATATGCAACGGCTTATTTATAGATAGTACTTATTATCATCGTTTACCTTATATATAAGCAAGAATATACATATATACTCGCATTACTTCGCAAGAAACGAGCGACTTCAATAGTAAATGCTTTGATTAATGAGAACTAATATAATAATAAACTGAATTAGTGAATTAGTAATAATAACTGAATTATAATTATATCATAATTATTGTGATTGTACAGCAGCTATAGATATAGATATTAAGTATAAGTTGTGGGAGACTTCGTACAAAAGTCTTTTGCTTGGGCACCTCTGTCCCATTCGTGTTTCTACTGTAAAGCAGTTATGTTTACATGGTTGTGTTTCCGTTTAGCAGTAAGATATGGCAGTGAATTTACAGGGTATCATGAGCGAAACAGAAAACTCTATTATATCCATGGTACTGCTCATGTCTATAGGTGTCGGTTACCACTTTTCACCAGGTGAGACGTCAATTTGGTTGCCATTCTAAGTTGTATAAAAAAATTGCCTACCTACTGTTAAAAAGCATACGATAGTGCTGCCAGCTGAATCTACTGTGCCATCAACAATGTATATCGGACTGTGTGTGCAAATAAATCTATTCATTCGTTCAACTATTCATTAATTAATTCGTTTATTCATCCATTCATTAATCCATCCATTAATCCATTCATACATCCATCCATTTAAATTCCTGGCAAATATTGAAGACTGTGGTGTCTACTTACTATCACCAAGATTTCAGTGCTATATTTGTTCTGTTAAAAAATTCTAATTACGGTTTAAAAATGCCAGTTGACATTTAAATGTCCTATATTTGTCAATATTTAATGTAAATTTTATATATAAAAAGAAAATAGATATTAATAACTCACTGTATTTATTATTTTTGTATAAATAAATAAATATTTTTTCCAGGGCAAACCGATTAGCTTGTAGGGAAGAATACTCCAGTATTAAGCAGATTAATCGAATGAATTTCGAATTAGCACAACAGTTATGTAGAATATGGCTGGGAAACCCTGGGGAAACTGAACGGACAAGATGGAGGGAAGAATGGTTTAAAGAAGGCGTCGCTACTTACTTGGCATACTATTTCTTGGCACAGGTATTGTATTCACGTTTATGAGAAATTAAATTTGAGTAGACTGACTCATTAGTTTGTTTATAAATTTTAAATTCATGATTATATTTTTGAATTTACTTCAAAACAAAAAAGGTTCTCAATTCGGTCGTATTTTTATATATATTTGTCAATTCATAACTCCGTCAGTTTTAAACCGATTTGGAAAATTATTTTTTTATCTGAAAGGATATACTTACAGTTTATTCTTGTAGAAATTTTACCAAAATTGGTTTCGTAGTTCTATTTTTAAATCAAAATACCTGGTTTTGTGAAATAATTGGTAGTAGTTATGTTATTTATAGTTTTTTTATTTATAAGCAAAAGTTTTTAATTATCTTTTTGTTTCAGTACAATCAGCAACATCGGCACACGACCTATAATCAAGAAATAGCTAAATACGGTCTAGAAATGAAAATCAAAGCTATGGAGACAGACTGGCATCGGAGTACACCGGCTTTAGCTAGTTTCAATAATACTTTAGCCATAGAGATCCCGTCAAGGTACAAGAATCTGGTGACGATGAAGACAGCCTCAATATTGTGGATGGTGGAAAATTGGATCGGGTCAGAGAAGTTTCATCAGGCTTTAGTGAAGTATATTAATTCGAGGTAAGAGTTTAGGTGAACTTAGAACTTTTTCTTTCTTTCTTTCTCTCCGTCTTTCTTTATGTCTCTTTTTTTTTCTAAATTTCTTTTTTTTCTGTCTTTCTTACTTTCTTTCTGTTTTTTTTTTCTTAAACTACACATATAGAAATGAGTTTTACACTAATCTTTAAATCTTACATAAATATTATAAATGTGGAAGTGAGCTTGTTTGTTACCTTTTAATGCCTTAAAGGCTTAAGTAATTATTTTAAAATTTGATATACACGTACTATATGCGATGGAAAAGGACATAGACTATTTTTTAAACTGATTAGTGAATATATTCTAGTGACGCGAACGAAGTCGCGGGTAAAAATAGTTTTGATATGTGTATAAGAGAGAGAGAGAGAGAGAGAGAGAGAGAGAGAGAGATATTATAAATATGAATACGATGTTTATTATAGACAATTTTAAATACAATTCCTTTACAGGAGGGGAAAGTTTATTTCCTTGAAAGATTTTTACGAAAAATTAGATTTTGAAACAGTGGAATGCGAACTTCAGTTTTTTAATGGATCGACAGCATCAAGAGTGCTATCCTCTTGGTTCCACCATCCAGGGTATCCGGTGGTAGACGTGCAAGTTCTGAGAGACAATTCAGATGATAGAGTTCTATTGAATCAGGTTAATACATTATTATATTTTACAGAAAAATATATATGTACTTGTTATAATTAATTATAATAGTTATCTTACTAAGTATAAACCTATTTGTTTAAATATTTTCTTTTTATATTTTATAAGAGACAGGATTTAACGCGATCATTTAGGTAAATTACCCCGTGTGGTCCCGGCATAGCATAGGCCACTCGTTTCTTTTCTGTGGGTGTCGTAAGAGGGGACGAAGGAAGGGCGAGGGATAGACAGCAGCGTATAACTATCAACAAAGCCTGACCGCGGTTATCAATCCGCTTGCCAAGCATGGCAACTACTGGCAACGATCCCCCTCCCCTCCAATGGGAGTAAAAACTTATATTTTCTATATCATCATTATTATTTTCTTACCTTTATCCCAATTATTATTTGGGGTCGGTGTAATATGTTTTTATCCATATTACAAAAAGATTTGGCTTATAGTTTTACGCTCTTACTGTTCTTACTCCAATTACAATAAATTTTCGATAATAAATTATAATATAAAAAATAGTACATCACTGCAGCGGCCAGCAACTGAAGCATTGGTGGACGAACGTGCAAATGTGGGCCGAGACGTAGCCAAGGCACACATACGTGAGTCCATCAATGCCTAGTTGTGGCCAAGGCTTGTATAGTACTTTTCTTAAACAATGCGCGGAAATCAAAAACGCAATTTTACTTTTTAAGTTCAATGACGAATAACGAGCAATAATAATTTTTCACGCGCCATAATGTTCTTTTGTTTTTTTTTTTTCAATAAACAGCTTTCTATTTGCAAGCCAGTTCGAAATTGAAATTAAACTTTTTATTAGTTAGCTCCTTGGTAGCCGTGTTTCGAAGTAAAAGGTCATTCCATATTTAAATTACAGGACAGATATGAGTTTACATAGTAATTTATCTGGCCGCAAAACACGACAGATATGGATTTTTATACAACTTTTGCCGGCCGCTGCCCGCATGTACGAGTATATGGCCAGTACGGCAATTTTGATTTATCTTGAAGAATATTGTCAAAATAATGCTCACATTTCCAAGCATACTTGAGAAATAATAATTTATTTTTATATTACAGAGATATTTCAGCTTTATAGACAGACGTCGTGAGTCGGACTATCTGATTCCTATCTCTTACATAATGCAACACAATCAGAACTGCTACAATTGTTACCAGCCGCGTTTCACCATTGGCAGACAGACTTACAGTTTCCGCGAGAACCTGAATGGTGGATGGATAATTCTAAACAGAAATTCTTCAGGTATGATCTTTTATTTAATTAAAAAATGTCAGTGTCAAGATCTACATGAATAATTTTGTACTACGTCTTCTTAACCAATCAATTAATCAATCACAGATCATGTCATGTCATCATCATGGCGAAACAGTATACTCTGTTATGTCCATGGTACTGCCCATGTCTATAGGCGGCGATTCCTACTTTCCATCAGGTGGGCTGTAAGATTGTTTGCCTTTCTACTTTACATAAAAAAAAAATTGATTAATTAAGCCCTACTCGAAGGGCTCCAGCTAAAAATCAGCTCGATTGCAACATAATGCTGAGCGGGGACCATTTCGGCAAACATTGCGTAATATCATCACTTTCCTATTATTTTAATCTGTTGAACCTTTTTTGTAAGTGTTTTTAATGTTTGCTGAATGAACTATAATTTTTTTTTAATTAATAATATATTTTAAATAAGCTGTGATGTTTAGAGACACACTCATCCTAGACAATTTGACATGCTTAGATTGTATAGCATAAACCATAGTATCAAGCTTCAAAAACGGGTCAACTTTTTGTCAGCTAATTATCAAATTAGCCGACTTGTTTTTTTATTAGTGTTCTATATACTTATGCATACAGTATATGTTGGCGTATTATTTAATAAATAAAATAAGTGTTTACGCATTAAAAAGATATAGAAATTATAAGACAAAATAAATATAGAAGTTATAAAGGAATCACTCATAACTATTTATCATGTAAAATTATATAAAAAAGATGACCCGTTTTTCTCGAAACATTTGTATGGAGACACTCTATTTATAAAATCTAAGTTGACATGATTGTGTTCTGTCGGGGATAAATCCAATTTTGTACTTGAGCTTTTCAATTTCGAGGCATTATTTGTAAATATTTTTATCGCTAAAAATAATTTATATTGTCAACAAAGTCACATTAGCATCAGAGTATGTCTCACTGCCAAATTCGAGTTGGATTTTCCTTGTTTGAATCCACTCACCACAATATATTTGTGCCTGTTTTATTTCTTGGAAACTATTTCTTCTGCATATATTCGCTTATTCGTTATTCTGTTTTAGAATAAAGTCATTTTCCTGGTTAGTAAATTGTATAGATCCTTCTTTTTTGTCATCTGACAACAATACGTCTTGTTATGTTTCGGTATCATCGTCATCATCATCATATAAGCTTTTAACTGTCCACTGCTGAACATAACTCTCTCTCTAGGGGGGTTTTACCAGTAGTTGCCACACTTGGCAGGCGAATTGACAACCGCAGTTCGGCTTCTTCTTCGAAGGACGCTGCTGTCCATCCCTCGCTCTCTCTTAATCGCATTTTACGACAGCCACGGGAAAGGAAGGGATGGCCTATTCTATTTAATACAATAGGCATATAGTTCTAAAGTTCTGAAGGCTGCTAAATCATGAGGTATATTATTGTTATCTCAGTTAATTCATATCTCTTTACTATGTTTCACCTGATAACTCGTTAGCTTGTTAGCCATTCGAAATACAATTATTTTGATTTATAAACTCACTACTGAACCGGTTTTAATAAAATTTCTATGCGACTAATCTAATAGATAAACAAATTCCGAATCAGTCTTCCTTTTTTTAAATCGGATAAAATAACACTGAATATATTTATTCAAAAGTTATATTACATTTAAAACTGACTGCATGAGTATTGTATGCAATATATGTATTTTACGACAATGTCGAGTCCTTGGTCGGTGTACTGCTATAAAATAATTTATTTTTGAACTGAGCCCACGCGCGACCGCTTAGCGCAGTATGCGTCAATTAGTTACATTTACATCTTTGAATGCATAATGTATAGGTACTTCCTATAGCGGCTTTGACTGTTCAATGTCAAGAATAATTGTATTGGAATGTTACTGAATTGCTCCTAGTTACAGTTTCAGGATAGTTTTTGTACAAATAATCGTCATTTATTATTATTTCAACTTTTTAACTGCTGAATAAGCCAATAAAGAGGAGTGTTGCCAACCCAATTAAAGTTGGGTTGGCAACCGAAGTTAGGCTTTGGAGATGTTTTAAGAGGGACGCTGCTGCCCATCCCTCGCCCTCCATTAGTGAATTCTTACGACACCCACGGGGTGGCCTGTTCTATGCCAGTAATAATCATCATATCAGTCGTTAAATGTCCACTGCTGGACATAAGTGGCCCTCATAAAGAGAGGTTTTACCAATAGTTGCCACGCTTGGCAGGCGCGTTAACAACCGTTGTTAGTATTTGGTGATGTTTTAAGTTCCTTTAGTCGTCTCTTACGACACCCATGGAAAAAGAAGGGAGGACCCAATCTGGGCCGCGACACTACACGGCGAACAAAATTTTTACAAATCTACAAAACTATTATATCCTACTGTATGCAATTTATATTCATACCAAGTATCTCTACTCGCCGTGAATATAGATTAAGTATTTGCATTTGTATTTTTGTATGATGTAATTCATAAAATCACTAGGTAGTCAGAGAGAAGTGTTTACTAAGGACCTGTATTATTGCAGATGTCTATTGATTTCTTCTCCTTTTATGTATTATGTATTTTACGTATTGTACGCCGGTTTCTCTCCCTGGGGTTCTGAACTCCGGCCGACTGTGCTTCTGTCGGGGGTTAGTTGCCATCTCCTCTCCTTAAGAGGGGAGATGAGAATTTGTGTAAAAATTGAAAAATAGTAAAATTAATATTAAGTTTTTTTTTTATACAACTTAAAATGGCAAACAAACTAACGGTCCACCTGATGGAAAGTGGTAACCGTCGCCTATAGACATGAGCAGTACCATGTATATAACAGAATAGGTATACTGTTTCGCCCATGATACTTCCTATGCGTTGTCATTTCTGAGATGTTATTCCTCTGTACCCTGTAACTTATTATTATTATTAAGCTGTATAAATTATGAGTATAGTACTAAAAAAGATCAAAGATACAAGCGGATGTTTAATAGATAAATGATGATCAAATAAGATAATGCGAAATAAATTTATTTATAGTATTTCATTATTATTATTATTGTTTTACCGTAGTCTTATTTCACCGCCAATTGGATATTTTTATAATAATAGATTACGGTTTATTAATTATAAAAAACATTAAATTCTTACACTGTTGGTACCTTGTGACCATTTTTTTTTATCTTAGGAATTTAGAATTAAAAAAAATGTATTTGAAAAATTTAAAATGTTAAAATTTAAAATATTTTTACAGGATATTATCGAGTGAACTACGATGTGTACACGTGGAAGCTTATAGCGAAGACTTTGAATGAAGACCATAATTCAATTGATGAACTGACTAGAGCACAAGTAAGTAACATAGATATATTTTCCTTTAAAATATATTTATTTGTTGATTTATTTATTTATTTACCTATTTACCTGTTTATTTATATATCTAGTCTATTTACCTATATATTCTATAATTTTTTCTATTCTTTTTGTATCAAAAATCAAGGAAAAATTTTGTTCCTTTTTTTATATTACAACTTATACTCGTAATTCTATTTACTGATATTGCTCACAACTTAGGTTACATGTATATTTCTATAACTAATAACGCAACTTTTAAACATTTGTAGTCTAGTGTTATTTAATTCATTAAATTTATTACTTCATTTTCTCGTACTGTATATAATTATGTTAAAGTGAATGCTGTGAATACCTATAATAGGCATGTGCATTAATATTGTATTATATTTAATGTTTGTTATATATGTTATAATGCAATATGCTGTTGGTGTTACTTTAAATAAATAAATAAAATAAAACTTTAAATTATTTATTTATTTTTATAAATCATCAGCTCGTTATTCTCTTTCATTTTTGTCTAATTTAGTATTTTTGTATATTTGTGTATTTTTAATTTGTTTAAAAAATATTTTATGATTTTAATATTATATAAAAAAAAGACACTTTAAATCAACTTACTATATTTTCAGTTAGTCAACGATGCCTTTGCTTTATATGTGTCCGGGGATATAAACCAAGACCTGGCTATGGAAATACTCGACTATCTGCATAATGAACGAAGCCCTGCCGTTTGGGAGTCTGCAATAGCAGGATTCGAACTACTAAAGACAGAAAATGCTAGATGTAATATGACGAAAATTTTGTATGAAGAATGGAAGGTAAATTAGTGATATTGAAGATCGTTATGTAACATAAAATTGTAATTCATACTTATATATTTGTTTTCTTTTTATTTATTTTATTTCATAACAATATACATTGTGTCGAAAACATATTCTACAGTACAATAATTATTAATGTTATTTATAAATTAATATTATAGAATTGGGGTAGTTAGATAAATTAATTAGTTATAAATACCTTACTTCTAAATGTGTAAGACTATAAAACTTACACATTTATAAATAAGGTATTTATAAGTATAAATCATAATAATAACAATAGTTGAATGTTTATACATGAAATTTGGCAGAAACATAACGTCCTGTCCTAGTACCGTGGCGTGAATTTACTGGGTACAGAGGAATAATACCTGAGTCCTCAGGAATGGCAACGCATGGGGGGTATCATGGGCGAAACAGTATACTCTGTTATGTCCATGGTACTGCTCATGTCTATAGGCGACGGTTAGCACTTTCCATCAAGTGGGCCGTCAGCTTGTTTGCCATTCTAAGTTGTATAAAAAAAAGTACCTTCTAGCTCGTTTTTTTTGTGGATAAATTTACAACTGATATCAATATATATATATATATATATATATATATATATATATATATATATATATATATATATATATATATATAATTAGGGTTGTATGCTTGCCATCTTTATGAATGAATGAATAAGTATACTTTATTTGCATTATATGATTATATTATGGTTATATTCAGGTTTCTTTGTTAACTGTGCGCAGGAGTTCATGCGAAGGAAAATAGCACCAATATACAACATAATATCAGATAATATAGAACAAGACGGCACCAGCCGTTTGTTCCGCAGCAACGTGGTATCGCTGGCGTGCGCTCTACAGTATGAGCCCTGCAGACAACGGCTGCAGTATACTTACGAGCAGTACAGAAGAAATGGAATGAGGTCAGGAACTTAATAACATATTACGATTATTAATCATTTTAAAAAATCATCAGTAGGAGAGTTTGAACAAATATCATCTGCTTGGGTATCTTTGTTCCATCAAGATATATAGATAGATAGATACTCTTTATTGTTTCCTTTAAAAGATTACAATAGTCAACTTATTATAAATATAAATAATTACAAGAAATAATCACAGTGAGAAAACAATGGGCTTATCGCTAAAAGCGATTTCTTTCAGGCAAGCTTTGGATGGAGAGGAGTGTATGATAAACAATGTGGTGGGCGCACGATGAAAAAATCTGTTAGTTCTAAATATGGAGATGTGATACATATATATATATATATATATATATATATATATATATATATATATATATATATATATATATATATATATATATATATATATATATATATATATATATATATATATATATATATATATATATATATATATATATATATATATATATATATATATATATATATATATATATATATATATATATATATATATACACACACATAAATAAAGTAAAATGTTCATCGTCGTAAGAGGCGACTAAGGGAAAGTCGAAGGATGGGCAATAGTGTCCCACCTAAAACATCTCCACAGGCCTAATTGCGATTGTCAACCGGCCTGCCAAGCGTGGCAACTAGTGGCAAAACTCCCCTTATAGGGAAGACTTATGTCCAGCAGTGGACAGCTAATGGCTGGTACAGTAAATAAAATGCTATTCTAAGTTGATGCAACTTGGAATGGCAAACAAGCTTATCCGTGGTGTAATTTATGTCCATTGGTGAGAGTTGGCATTTCATCAGGTGAACCGTCTGTCTGATTGTCATTTAAAGTATCATCAAAAGAGTCATTACCCACCGGACATAGAGTTCCTTCGATATCATTTCATCATACGGGACTTAAGATTAAATAAAACTTATGTATAAAAAAAAAAGTTAAAAAATAAAATGTAATAAAATTTACTATCAGTTAAAATTACCACTTTAAGTATCCTTCTGTTTTTTAAACTCGAGTTTACTGAATTGAACGTCTTAAATCATCAAAACTTTAATCATTAACATTTCCAGAATCGATCCGGACATTCGCGAGGCATGTTATCGTATGTTATTGAAAACGAACGGATACTTCGGCGTTCATCCGATGAACGCATTCGAGAAAGACGATCGACTTATGGTCGAACAAAGATTGTAAGTGTACTTCTTTCCCAATGTTTTTGCTTAATTTTATTTTTAACTAGCGACCCGCCCCGGCTTCGCACGGGTGCACATTACATCATATCACATTAGAAACCTCTAAAATTATCAGTGTTTCTTCACTATATTATGCATGTATTATACATATAAACCTTTCTCTTTAATCAAATTATCTATTAAAAATAACTGTATCAAAATCTGTTGCGTAGTTTTAAGGATCTAAGCATACATAAGAATAGACAGACGGGATATAAAAAAACTTAAAACAACACACGAAAAGATGGTCTAGAGACGGGCGGCAGCGTCCTTTTTAAAACTTCTTAAAACTTTGGTTATCAAAGCGTAACTGCGGTTGCCAATTTACCTGCCAAGCGTGGCAACTACTAGCAGAACTTACCAATTAGGGACAGGCCTATGTTCTGCAGCAGACAAGCGAAAGTAAAAGGAATTTACTTTTTTTCAATGCTTTGTTATATTATTTTTGTTTTTCTTTTTTTTTTTGGGTTGTTTGAGACAAATTACAAAAGTCATTTCTATTTATTTCAGACGTGAAGAGAATAGATTCCTGATGAAGCTCCCAAAGGGTGAGCCGAGACCCATGCCCATCAGGTCCACTACCACTTCCACCACGGTGAGTTTGGAATATACAATCTTATCATTCATCGAAAGAGGTTTGTTTGAATCGATGCATTTGGCGTTCCATTGTTTCTGCCTACCATAATAGGAGACAGTCGTGACAGATATGTATGTATGTATGTATCATTCATCGTTTTTTTTTTTCTAAACATACTTTCGACCTTTCTTCGCTATTTTTTTAATGGATGATAATGGAATGTTGACCCCGCCTGCGCTATCGGTATACACTGGCACCAGTGAAGGATGATTGGTGAGGATGAAAAGACAAGTCAGTTAGCCAATCGTGACTAATTCAACGATAAATTAGTTACGATAGTTTCCAGGGGGAACCGCGTGGAGGTCGACTTGATATATTGATAGCAATAGGGACAAACCTCCTCGCTATTAGAAGTCAATAGCAGACAGAGGAATAGGAAATAAGATTTTTTTTTTTTTTATTTTGACTGAATTTGTTTTACTGGCCATACCATAAATACTTATATTTTGGTACTTAATATTTTTGATAATGTAGTATTTTAACATACCGGCGTACCTTTTAATAGCCGTAGGTTCGATTCCCGCAGAGTGTTGGTGTGAATTTTTTATATTTATAAAACGTATGATTTATTATTATGGGCTTGTCAATAGCTCAAAGAACCGACAACCGATGGGGAAGAATGATTCTTGACTGGCGAACCCGTACAGACAAACGCAGTGTAAGACGACCTCCCAATAGATGGAGTGACAATCTGAAATGCATTGCAGGGAGTCAGTGGATGCAGGTGGCTCAGGATCTTGCCTTATGGCAGTCTATGGGGGAGGCTTATATCCAGCAGTGGACGGATAATGGCTGGTATAATGATGATTAATGATGATGACGTATTAAAAAAAATATTTCAATAATAAAAAATATTTTCATATATATTTTTTATAATAAAGTTTTCATCTTTATTACAGCTACCACCGCTCCCTATAGTGGACAAACAAACAGCAGGATCAACATCAATATCTCCTACTGTATTTATAATAGTTATAACAGCTTTAATTGCGTTAATGAATAGATAAAGTTAGGTAATTACTTTTTTTAATACGCAACTATATACTGAGCGCTTTTCATTTAATATCGGTGATACTGGAACCGCTCTGATATCTATATATTGGGTTCCTATGGACCTATTGATGGCGAAAAAAATGGCCATCACGCATTTCAATATCGCTCATACCAGTTAGACATCCATACTCTTTTCGATATTATATATTGGATCTCTGATATTTAATATATCTGTTATTGGGTATCCATAATATACAGATATTACAACTACAGTATACAGTATCTATATATTTTATTTTACTTATACGTTCCATTGTTTCTCCCTACCCTAATGGGAGAAGGCGTGACAGATATTATTACCTATCTCTATTTCACATACAAAAATCGTAATCAAACTGATGGCTCACCTGACGAAATCTGATGACCATTATCTATAGATTCACAACACCATGGTAATAACAGAAGAAATTATGTTAACTGTGATATGAGATATTATGCCTTCTTGTAAGCTACCCTCTAATTTCACTGCCATATCTCATCTTAAGCCTAACTGCCAAGTGTGACAACTACTGGCAAAATCCCCCTTATGAGAGAGACCTATGTTTAGCAGTGGACAATTCATGGCTGATATAATGACTTCATATTAAACCGAAACAGCCATGCAAGAGATAGGTTTAGTGGACGATGCCATAGAATCGACCCCATTGTATGCACAGTCTCTTTTTTGTTATTATAGAATTATGGTATTAATTATTTTAACTCTATGAATACAGCCGTGTGGTCCCGGTATAGAAAAGGCCAGCCCTTCCTTTCTCGTTAGTGTCGTAAGAGGCAACTAAGGGAGGAAGTGGAAAGAGCCACAGCGTCCCTCTTCAAACATCTCCAAACTTAACTACGGTTGCCAATCCGCCTGCCAAGCATGGCAACTATTGGCATCGTAACTACACATAGATTGGTTGGCCTCGCTTCTAGTTAGCTTCCTCTGATCTCCACTATAATATCGGTCCCAATTCACTCTCGATTTAATAAAATATTATTCCGTAAGAAACAATAAGGCCTATTTTGTGACGCCATTTCTCTAAAACTATCTGTTTTCAATTTGATATTTATTTATTTATTTATTCTTTATTGTATTATTCTTTAAATATCTCTACCAGACAACCATTGATTAGAGGAAAAAAGAAAAAGGTGGTAGCTATTATATATATATATATATATATATATATATATATATATATATATATATATATATATATATATATATATATATATTTTTCAAAATTAATTAGCAACGCGCACCACCCCTACCCTCCTAGTGTGGTATAAAAAAAAGATGACTCAATATTTTACTTTGTTTTTAATATTTTCACTAATTTAAAAAAATACGTACTGAGTATTTATATTTATGTTATTTATAAAAAATAAATTATTACTAAATTACTTCTTGAGTACATAATTACATTCCTTTTAGTTATATATTTGAAATTGGTTGACATGATAAATATATTTTATCCTTCAATGCACTGCCTAAGAAAAACTAAATTAAGTATTAATTTTTTTATGAAATTACTATATTTTACTAGATATCTTAAGTGAAATTAACCCTCTCGGTCTGTTACTAACGAATTAAGTAAATCTTTTTGAATAAAATTTGACTAATAACAAGCCCAAAACCAAATGTAATAAATCGTCCAAACGAATCTATTGTATTATCCCACTATATTATAAATTACTGTAAAATCTTGATTATTCGAATCAAATAAAACCAGGGATATATCGTATAATCGAAAATCCGGATAATCGATTACAAAGTCAAATTAAACAATACATAATTAAATTTTAATATTTATTAAAAGGGTTTTACACACGTCATTTAGACAATACGATGTAAAAAATTATGAGCTGTAAAGATAATGGATTATATAATACATATTTACTCAATTAATATCATTTATAAATCGACAATTAGAACCGCGACGTCCGGATAATCGAATATTCGGATAATCGAGATTCTACTTTATCAAAAGCTTAAAATACGGAAACTCGTGTGCTTTAAAAGTAGCACTATAAAAGGAATCGTAAACAAATCATTTAAAAACTTTTTAAAAACAAGTTGTGATAGCTTTTAGGCTTCATAATCAGACTGGGCATCACAATATATTTTTTGTCAATACAAATTAAACAAGCCCAAACACAACAAAAATTCACAAGATCCTATCCATCACAAGGCTTCCTTCCATTCTCGTTATCATATTAGCTTCATGATATAATAATATTATTGTATTATCACAGAATTTTCATAAGTTTACCAAATTTCAGTATAATCCGACGCAGTAGTGATTATAAAATTTATTGCAAATTTTGAGTGTAAAGACCATGTTAAATAAAAGCTTGTAAGAAATGATACTTCGAATAAATTGTTATAGCTGGATGATTGACACTGATAACATTCTATATAGTATATATTTGAATAAATATATTGTTTCTAGTCATAATTGTAATAATACTATTAATATTAAATAATTTATTTTCATTAATGTAATATAAAATTAAATTGTATTTCTTATAATAGCATTGTATATATGTGTACATGTTTAATAATAAATAAACATATCAAGTATTTATACAACAATTGTACAATTAATCGACAATTAACAGCGAACATTTCCAAATATGAACAAAATTGTACAAGAGACACAGAAAATAACATCTATAGGATAAAACTGTAGAGGTCGAATGTCTGTACATAGAAAAAAAAAACTCTAAAAACCGAGTCAGGGGGATGTTAGAAGTGAAATAGAACACATCTAGATTTTTTAATTTTTTTTTGTTTCTCTATCTGTCTGTCTGTTTGTACGGGCTAATCTCCGAAACTGTTCGACAGATTTAAATGAAATTTTTCATGGTGGTATCTTACATCCCCCGTCATCAAAAAAGGTTTTAGATACCTTTAATCACAAAAGAGTTCCCGTGAGATAATTAAAAAACTATAGTAACTTATACAGCTTAGTTCGCCTACTTAAGTAAAGCCATTTTGACCTAAGTCAAAGAGTGAGAACGACACGTCATTTGTTAATTTTGGTCCAGTATTCCCAGACATAACAAACAGGTAGGTACATACATCGATACATACTAAAGAGGAATAACAAATACTACGCAGACAAAGTCGCGTGCATCAGCTAATATATAGTATTGATAAAACCAAAAAACAAAGTATCTCCTTACCTATAACATATGTAGTTACTTTTAATATCAATTCTCAATATATTCATGTAAAAATAAATTACCTATAGAACCAAAAGGAGATAAATTAGATGAAATATATATATATATATATATATATATATATATATATATATATATATATATATATATATATATATATATATATATATATATATATATATATATATATATATATATATATATATATATATATATATATATAAGTATTGGGGATTAACTGTTACAATATAGATCTATATAATATTATAAAATAATACTAATTAAAATTAATGTGCCTTACTGCCATAATTGTTTATATAAGCATGCATTAATTGTATAATAAAATAAAAAAAAAATGTTTTATTTTATTTATTTATTTAAATAACTTTAATGACCAAATGAAAATATTGTACAAAAGGTGGACTTAATGCGTACAGTATTCTCTACTAGTTGATCTTTGGGATGAACAGTGAATCACGAATGTGGTACTCCAATATTGGGGTAGGTAAGAAAAATAACAGCTAATAATGAATACCTACTGATACACAATAAATAATATATACATAAATAACATAAAATTATGATTGTAATATAGATTCATTAATTATTATATATATACAACAAAATAAATACATATATAAAATTTAAATAATATATTAATAAATAAGATATAAAAAAAAATGACTAGCTACTCTTGTTGTAATGAGTTCATAAGGTGAGCGTGGATTTTTCTTTTAAACGTGATTTTTTTTCAATTGTAAATATACCAAAGTTATACACCGTCTATTTCAGAGTAAGGAAAATGTTTTCAAAATAAAAACAGTATTATATTCGAAAAATTTATTATCTCTTATCTTTTTCAAAATTGTGTACTTCAACATCAATACAATGTTTGGCATGCTTTATTAAATCGTAGAATTAATTTTTAAGTTCATTGACAAAATGGCGATTGTCACCGTTTGAATATACCTAATTATAGTATAGAATTTAACCTTTATGGACAAATCAGTTTAAAGAAGTAAAAGTCGGAAGTCCTCGATTGGTAAGAAACTATAATGTACTCAATGAATGATAAACTAATCTAACGTATATAACTCTTCAATATATGACATTTGTAGAAAATATACCACATTCAGTTTTCACCTTTTTTATTATTGTCAAATAAAAATAATTATGTTTTCAAAATGTACCGACACCGAGTCGGTGACAGCTCCATTAATACAGAATTTTTGAATATATTTATTGGAGACAGACTATATAGATATATCGATGACGAGCTGAAGTGTAAATGAATTTACCAAAGGATAGAGGAGAAAAACAATTAGAAGTGAACGAAATGCATAATAACCCGCATTAAATAAATGAACCTCAAATGTTTTAAAGAGTGCCAATGGATTCAACTGTTTCAGCAGCTTAGAAACAATCCTTAGGGCATTGTATAAGGGAGACTAGTTATAATTATGAGGACTAGAGAAAAATTATTTTGGCCGCGTTCTTATAAAGCCGATTTTCTTTGTTTTACATGTGAATTCTCAATATATTTGAATGTCTACAACACTCGAGGAATTTCTGTTAATTATGTAATGGTAGCTCTAGAAAAATAAAGAGGTATGCGATGGCTAATTTATACTTGAGTTTATATTTTATGATATTATAACTAATAATAGAAGGAAAGATAGAGGGCAAAAGAGGAAGAGGAAGACCGAGGGTTAACTACATGAGACAGATAAAGGAAACACTAGGCGTCATTTCGTATAGGGAGATAAAGGATATGGCCTGGGATAGAGCTGGCTGGAGGAAGATGCATGAATTAGTTGAACCGACAAGAGGAAACTCTTAAATGAAAATGAAATAACTAAAAAATTCCATAGACAATAAAAGATTGAAATTATTGTAATGTCCATTATATATGTATGATTTATGTGTTAATACTATACATCAGTATAAAAATTGAATGTAGTAATTGATAGACATAAAGTAGTCATAATAAAAGAGAATAATAATTTCGGAGCATCATCCCCACCATCAGTTTTGCATTCGTTTGAGTTATTTTCATTGCCAATCTCATTGCAATCTTCAGTTCCGTTACTTTCATTGCTTTTGCCTCCGTTGTCCTCTTCACAATCTTCATCTCCACTACTTTTGTCGCATTCGTCTCCGCTGTTCTCTTCACAATCTTCATCACTACTTTTGTCGCATTCGTCTCCGCTGTTCTCTTCACAATCTTCATCTCCACTACTTTTGTCGCATTCGTCTCCGCTGTTCTCTTCACAATCTTCATCACTACTTTTGTCGCATTCGTCTCCGCTGTTCTCTTCACAATCTTCATCACTACTTTTGTCGCATTCGTCTCCGCTGTTCTCTTCACAGTCTTCATCACTACTTTTGTCGCATTCGTCTCCGCTGTCCTCTTCACAATCTTCATCTCCACTACTTTTGTCGCATTCGTCTCCGCTGTTCCCTTCACAATCTTCATCACTACTTTTGTCGCATTCATCGCCGCTGTTCTCTTCACAATCTTCATCTCCACTACATTCGCCATTCCCATTGCCATTATCATCTTCATCTGCGATTTCCAACAACAATTCATAAATCGAATCTATATGAGAAATAACCCAATTAAAATTTTCATTAGCTAAATCCCTTGCTTTTTCTGCGGCATTAAGAGAATCACCTAAACTACTGTTCACCGAGTACACCCATTGTTCAAACTGAAAAAACAAAAATTATTTATTTACTCATTCACTCTTAAATTTATTTTTACAGGTTTTAGATAACAGATTAGTATTATCAAAGTGGCAATAATGATAGGATGAAAAAAAAAACATAAAAATTAAAATCATATAAATTTTATTTATGTGATATATATTTTGCAATTTTTTTTTTTGCATTTGTGTTTTGCCTAGTATTTGTTCGATTTTTCGAAAAAACTTTTGGACTGGTGATATATTGTATTCTTAATTTGTCTCTATACGGATAGTACGATGAAATATATAATTGAGTGTTTAATAATTTAGTGATTTTAGATACTCACGTATAAAGTTTGATTTTCATCCACTAAGTTATCAGCCACTATATACATAATTTCTTCCAATTTTTCCGGACCGCCATATCTGTGTAAATTAAATGTATAATGACACTACAAGTAATTTACCTCTTTACATAAAATCTAAGCTGCCCGTGCATCAAATGTTTTTCAAATCCGTTTATTAGTTTTTACGTGAAAAAGTAACAAACATTCATCTATACATAAGGTTATATATATTCTCATCGATATTCGTCAAACAAATACAGAACTTCCGAAATCGGGTAAACATAATATCGAGAATATTTTACCTTTTATTTACTTTATTTACTTACTTTTATATTTTTTACTTCGTACTGAATGAGGTTGATAATAATCTGATATTTTTTAAAGGATTTTGGCCGAATTTTTGACCAAAATACGATATGATATGTACTCGTAATTTTAAAATAGTTATTCTGTCCTAATATGTCATGATATCAGCCATTAACTTTGGGACGGCTTTGTCACTAGTTACCACGCTCGGCAAGTGGATTGACAACCACAGTTAGGCTTTGGTGATGTTTAAAAAAGAATGCTGCTATCCGTCCCTCGACCGTTGTCTTCCCTTAGTCGTGATCTTTTACGACATCCACGGAGAAGGAAGGAAGGGCCCATTCTATGCCGGGACTACATGGAGCAATCCCACGCTCGCCTCTAACACCACGAACGGTCCCAATATGTTGATTGTCATTTAATTTGAATGCGTTAATTTCTGAAACTACCAGTCGGTTTTGAAAAAGACTTTTTGCTTTTGATAGCTTTCATTGTAGCAATAGCTTCCCATGTCTTTTTATTAAATGAAATTGTGGGTCTATTTCACTGTTTCATAATTCACACGTAAAACTGGTTATATATAAATGGACATTTACTTACTTATTCCTAATTACTTCAATGTTCCTCGTTATAAATGATAAAGCTATATCGATGTTGTCATAATTGCTTTTGGCTACGGCTTCAAAAATCTTGGATCTTTCCTCAACACTGTAGGGGCTATTTTCGTCTATGGTCTCTTGAAGAAACCTGTTATACACATTACATAGTTTATTATTTCATATGCTATAATATTATTTTTATTGTAGTTAACCATATGATATATATATATATATATATATATATATATATATATATATATATATATATATATATATATATATATATATATATATATATATATATATATATATATATAGGAACTGTTCTCGTCTCGTCTCGACTCGTCTGAGGTCGTCACTCCTATCAATCGTCCATCGTCCTACAATGCGTTCGCCCGAACAACATTTGGATTAGGTAATTACTCCCTCCATATTTTACTAGACGTGTCGTGCAAATCTATGTTTAATACAATTATTAGTATAATTCTATTATGAATCACAATTTTATCATTTTTACATTTCGTTAGAAAACTTCGTTAATTTCACTCAGTGAAAACTTTCTTAAAAATTTATAGTAAATAAAAAAATGATCATGTTTTGTTTGTCTTGACTAAGATATCTAGAATATAATATCTTATTTTCTTCTAAATTTTATAATTACTCTAGCCACGACAAATTTATATCGCTAAGTCAGTGAAAACCTGTTATTGGCTTTTTAATATATGGATAAGTTGTTATTGTTTTAAGCTATAAATTGTAAGCTGTTGGTTTTCCAATAAGTAAATAAATAAATAAATGACATCTACCAGGTTAATAATATTTCTCAAGCTATATTTAAGTTTCACAGATACGGGATTAGCATTAAAAAAATATTTTGAACATCTTCAAAAAAAAAAAAATATATATATATATATATATATATATATATACGGCTATATGGCTTCACACGGTAGTAAGATAATATGGAAAATTTGGATTTTTTAAATTAAATACCAATATTTCTGATATACCTATTCTGATATATATAATATATATATATATATATATATATATATATATATATATATATATATATATATATATATATATATATATATATATATATATATCTAAATATTCTAATTGATATAGCCAAGATACTGTAATATCTAAATTACCAATTGTTCAGCAAGTAATAATAATCTAAGTGAATTTGTACAAAAACCCATGACCAATAGTGGGATTCGAAACTCACGTTTTTATAAATGCGTCATCTTGAGAGCAGCCAAATGACTCCAATATGACAACGCGTTCATACATCGTTGGCTCTATCTTGAGACGGTTTTGCAATAGTGACAATACCTGATCACCACCCTCTTTCACAACAGCACAGTATACTGCCGGTCTGATATCATATGGTATGTGTGGATTCCTGAAATTATAAATAAATAAATAATAAAAACAACTAGTCATATATATTTGAAATGTGATGCTGGAGAAGGATGGAGAAAATTAATTGGAAAGATGGAATTAGTAATAAGAAGGTCCTGCTTAAGGTTTAGAAAAAACGTCAAATTTATAAAATTAGAAGAAGGGAAAAAAATGTTGGGACACTTGATACGACGCGACGAACTTATGAAACCCTCTTCCATTAAATTTCCTAAGTCACTTCTTACCACATCCACGGTAAACGAATGGGCCATCATTCTATGCTGGAACCACACAGTGTACCTGTATACTGAGAACCTCATAACCGTGTAATTTTACTGCCATATTCATTCAAACTGAAACCATAGTTATGCAAGCATAACTACTTGATGGCAAAAACACGAGCAGGACAGAGGTGCATATGCAGACGACAAAGTTCGTCATTGGTAATGTGTTTATGTAGCTTGTTTTCTCGCTTACTTTCTTATTTATTTTATTTCTTACTAGCGACCTGCCCCGGCTTCTCACGGGAGCACTTTACATCACACCACATTAGAAACCTCTAAAATTATCAGTGTTTCTTTACTATATTATGCATGTATTATACATATAAACCTTCCTCTTAAATCACTCTATCTAAAAAAAAAACACTTTATAATCCGTTACGTAGTTTCAAAGATTTAAGCATACATAGGAACGGACAGGAAGCGACAGCGACTTTGTTTTATACTATGTAGTGATTTTTGTTCGTGTACATAATAAAAGTTCCCAAAACGGGTTGACGGCAAGCAGGCGGCCGATCGTAAAACTAAAAGCCAAATCTTTTTGTAATATGAATAAAAACATATTACGTCGACCCCAAATAATAATTGGGATAAGGATAGGAAGACGACGACGTACATAATAAAAGTCTAGGGATGGGCAGCAGCGTCTTTCATAATGTATCACCAAAATCTAATTGTGATTGCCAATCCGTGGCAAGCGTAACAACTATGGAGCACTTATGGAGAAGGAAGAGGTAGCAGCGGATGGTTAACGGCTGTTATAATAAAAAAAAAACAAAGGTGCACATGGCCAACGTAATACCTAAAGGCATTCTCTACCAGTTAACCACGGTTCAAAAATTTAAAATATAAGGAACTATGTAACAATACACATACTAATAAAATATATTCTTTTATTCCTTATTGTACACAAAAGGTTATTGAAATAGAAAAAAAAACAAACATAATAAGTGCACAAAGGCGAGCTTATCAGAGGGAGACTTTGTACAAAAGTAAATTGCTTGCATACCTCTGTCCCATTCGTGTTTCTACCATGAAGCAATTGTGTTTGCAAGGCTGTGTTTCGGTTTGAAGGGTGGGATATGGCGTGAATTTACAGGGTAAAGAGAAATAACACCTGAGTCTTCAGGAATGGCAACGCATGGGGGGTATCATGGACGAAACAGTATATTCTGTTATGTCCATAATACTGCTCATGTCTATAGGCGATGGTTACTACTTTCCATTAGGTGGGCCGTCAGCTTATTTGCCAATCTAAGTTGTATAAAAAGAAATCTCTAAAAGATTTATTCCAGCAAAACCCAATATGAGAAAAACTAATGATCTATAAATAACACACAAATATAATAAGTACATACATCAGCATTGTGAGAGAGCACTGTGTGATATTGTGTGATAGGTAGATGAATACGCATAGGTATATATACGCATATAGTAATCATGTACTTACAGAACAGTTCTTTTGCTATCAGGTTCGTAGAACCAATTTATGGCTGCCTCGATACAAGGCTGATAGTTAGCCCTGCAAGCATGGTCCATAACCAATCCTCGTGTTAGCGACGTTATTGCAGGCTCATTTGAAACAATCGGATAAAATCCGATTTCCTTTTCGAATCTGCTAATAACTTTTCGAAGAATATACTGAAATTAAGTAATTTTTAAAGTTACAATAAGACATAGGATGAAGTTATAATCCTGTGGAGCTAAAAATACCTGCTGTACAGGAATCATAATAGGTAAGATTTATTTTTAAAAGCTTTTACTTGCAACCTCGTCCAAGTGATCAGTGAGCATAGATCGGGGCGAATACATAGTGATAGTGAATGATTAAGTCGTTAAGGCTCTAAAATGCAACAAAGAAACTTACTTTCACATTTATAATAATTAAATTAAAATGCGTTTATTACCAAAAAGAAATAACAGAGACAGAACAGAATAAGAGTAACACTTATATCAAGTTACATTATGAAAAGTCAGCATTACCATCAGTCCCCAAACTACCAGATGGAGACTTTGTACAAAAGTCGTTTGCTTAGCACCTATGTCCCATTCATGTTTCTACCGTGAAGCAGTTGTGTTTGCATGGCTGTGTTTCGGTTTGAAGGTTGGGATATGGCAGTGAATTTACAGGGTACAGAGGAATAACACCTTAGTCCTCAGGAATGGCAACGCATGGGGGGTATCACGGGTGAAACAGTGTACTCTGTTATGTTTATATTACTGCTCATGTCTATAGGCGACCATTAGCACTTTCCATCAGATGGGCTGTCAGTTTGTTTGCCATTCTAAGTTGCATAAAAAAAGAGCTATGTAATCAACCCATTGACGCTTCAGCTTACTTATCATACTTATAGTATTTATTATATAATTTTTTTTTACAACACAGGGGGCAAACGAGCATACAGCTCACCTGATGGTAAGTGACTACCGCCGCTCACGATCACCCACAACACCAGCGGCATTGCAGGTGTGCTGCCGGCATTTTAAAAAGGAATATACTCTTTTCTTGAAGGTTATGTTGTCGTATTGGTTTGGAAATACTGCTGCTGGAAGTTGATTCCAAAGAATGGTTGTGCGTGGAAGAAAGTGCCTTGAAAAACGCACGGTGGAAGACCGCCACTCGTCCAGATGATTGGGATGAAACTTTAGTTTGTGGCGGGTTGTACGGTGGTGAAAATCAGCAGCAGGTATCAATCCGAACAATTCCTCAGAACACTCCCGATGATAAATTCGGTAGAAGATGCACAGAGATGCAACATCTCTGCGCAGTTTCAGTGGGTCAAGTCAAGTTGACTATCGATAATTCGAGCCGCCTGACTTTGAATGCGGTCTAACGGACGGAGTTAGTACTGTGGCGCTCCTGCCCACAGGTGAGAACAATATTCCATATGCGGCCTGACTTGGGCTTTATATAATTTCAGGCGGTGTTCTGGCATAAAATACCGTCTCACCCTATTGAGCTCTCCTAACTTTTTGGAAACTATCTTAGCCTTCTCCTCCAGATGACCGCAAAACTGGACATCGCAAGATATATTATATATATAAATGGAATTCAAATGCTCAGGAGCGTTCTTTATAGAAGTCTATGGGGGAGATCTAGATTCAGCTGTAAACGAGTGATGGCTGAGATGATGATAATGATGATATTAATAGGACTTACCAAGTAAGCGTCTGAATCCCTGTGGTCGCTGTTTACTGCTGCTCCATCGAGACGTCTCCTTATATAGTCCATATTCCTCACGTACGCTTTCCAAGCGGAGTACTCAACTTCATGTTCCATAGTCAAAACGACGCGGAAAGCTATGTCGTAGCTCAGTTTTTTTGCTCTTGCCAGATTCAACGCATCGTCCACTAACTATTAAAAATGAAACAAGCCGTATAAATAAATAGTTTTTTTTTTGTATTTAGCATAATTAGACAAGTAGATTAATTCAATCGTGGCATATACATTTATTTATTTTGATTTAGAAACTAAATTAATACAAAACCGTATTTAATTAAACTATGGGACCATTCTGAAAGTATATTTTTTGATATTTAATACATTAATAGTTAACCATATGAATTATATATATATATATATATATATATAATAGCAAACATAAAAAAAATAATCAAATTGAGAACCTCCCTCTTTTTGAAGTCGGTTGAAAACTAGGGATCCGCTCCATTGTCGCACATAATTAAAATCTGATATTTTGGATTAAATTAATGTAATTTTCGCAGGGACCTCTAATTTTTTTTTAATAAACATATAAGCTAAAATAATTTTTAAAATCGACTCAGTAGTTTTTGAGATTACTCATTATAAATAAACATACCAAAAACAAAGTTAAATATTAGTATAGAAAATACAACATCGAGAACTACCCCCTATGCAAATAATCAATCAATAAGCGGCATCAAAGCGAAAACGGTCAGAGGGCCTACCATGAAATTCGAAAATTTTAAATTCAATTTCGTGCTTTCAGTAATTTTAACATGAAATTTGTGTTTCCATCGGCTCCGAAATTTCGAAAAACAGTTCATGGTAGGCCCTCAGGACTCATCATCATCATCACAGAAAATACATACGGTGGCTCGATTCAGTGGATGGATGACATCTCTCGTGTCACGATCTTCAAGAGCTGCGATCAGTCTCTTCCATAAATCAATATCGTAATTGACACGATAATATCCTGGGAAAAAGGAATTATACATTAATGAATAATTTTACTGAATATTTAAAGATTGTTTCCCATAAAAGAATCGACATAAATTGTGACAATACCAGTTATTTTGATGTAAAAACTAAACTACCGATCTGAACTAACTAATAATTTGTCTATGGGAACAATTTGTGAGTATATATAGGGTGGGATATGGCGTGAATTTACAGGGTACAGAGGAATAACACCTGAGTCCTCAGGAATGGCAACGCATGGGGGGTATCATGGGCGAAACAGTATACTCTGTTATTTCCATGGCACTGTTCATGTCTATAGGCGACGGTTACCACTTTCCATCAGGTGGGCCGTCAGCTTCTTTGCCATTCTAAGTTGTATAAAAAAAATCTATTCAAATAAAAAAATAATTTTTCAAACTTACCTTCAGTTTAGTTGGAGTTATAAAATAATAAACATGGAAAAAATAATATTACCGAATCAATTCGGTTTCTCAAGTACCTCCTTCTTTTTGAAGACGATTACAAAATCGACCAGAGGGAGACTTTGTACAAAAGTCGATTGCTTGGATACCTCTGTCCCATTCGTGTTTCAACCGTGAAGCAGCTGTGTTTGCATGGCTGTGTTTCGGTTTGAAGGGATATGGCGTGAATTTTCTGGGTACAGAGGAATAACACCTGAGTCCTCAGGAATGGCATCGCATGGAGGGTATCATGGGCGAAACAGTATACTCTGTTATGTCCATGGTACTGCTCATGTCTATAGGCGACGGTTACCACTTTCCATCAGGTGGACCGTCAGCTTGTTTGCCATTCTAAGTTGCATAATAAAAAAAAAATTAAACCTGTAGGTTTATACTGACCTTGGCCTTGAATATTAAGAAGTACCCAATCATTGTCATCCAAAACCATATTTATTGACATCACATGCTGCATTACTATTTGTGGATATGTATTTTGAGAGGTAAAGTTAGGATTCGCACTTGTTGTATAAGTTATCGGTACCGGATATATGACATCTACACCTGATTGGTAAGTAAAAGAAAATCGCTCCTGCAATAGAAATACGGATTTTTTATTAATCAAAATAATATAGTTCATAATTATAATTATTATTATTATTCTTCTCCATGCAAAGGTTGTCTGAAAGAGATCGCTCTTAGCTATAAGGCCATCCATTGTTTTCTCATTGTGATTATTTCTTGAAGTGGTACTTTGAGTGATACTGTATACCTAAACTACGTTTTACGCTATTATTTATGCTGTTAGCATCAATAATAATATGTAATAATAATAAATAGTATATAAATCAATAACATCAACTTGCAATCTGCTATTTTAATTGGCTAAACTTCAAAATATGCGCTTACCAACTCTTACAAGGCTGATTGGTAACACTCTGGTAACAGCGCTTGTATTGTCAATGATGCCATTATCAGCTTGTTTTCCAATATTTTTTTTTTATTTTAATCTATAAATAACTCGTTTACCTGAGTGACAAATATTCCCATTCTTCTTATACTGACATGAAGGGTCGGATATCCGGTATTCTGTGCCCATGAATTCACAAATTCCGCCATATTGTCTATTAAACCATTGCCAGTTGCAATCCACTCACTATTAATAGCATCGATAAAACGAAAAGTATTTACTGTATTAACAGACCTGTAATTGGCATAGTTTTATAATAAGTACATTATTATTATTTCATTAAAGTGCTATTTCAAACGTACACCAACACGCACGCACGCACGCTCACTCGTATGTACACACATTCACACAAATACTCACCGCAAAATGAAAATATATTCATAGATGTATTAAATTTATACTTACGAGAAGTACATAGATTCTACTTAGCCAAGAATAATTTTTCTCAAAAAAAATAACGGCTTCAATCGTCACAAAATATACAAGATAACCATTGACTCTGTCCATTGCAAAAAAAATTTAAACATGGGTTCAGAAATGATGCTGTATTCGTGTAAGATTGAGACAATACCAGAAACCAGAGGGAGAGTTTGTACAAAAGTCGTTTACTTGGGCACCTCTGTCTCATCCGTGTTTCTACCGTGAAACAGTTGTGTTTGCATGGCTGTGTTTCAGTTTGGAGGATGGGATGTGGCAGTGAATTTACAGGGTGCAGAGAACTAACACCTAAGCCCTCAAGAATAGCAATGCATTGGGGATATCATGTTATGCCCATGGTACTGCTCATGTCTATATACAATGGTTACCACTTTCCATCAGGTGGATCGTCAGCTTGCCAATCTAAGTTTCATGAAAAAAAAGACAAAAGGTCTGTTATGTCCATGGTACTGCTTATATCTATAGGCGACGGTTACCACTTTCCATCAGGTGGGCCGTCAGCTTGTTTGCCATTCTAAGTTGTATAAAAAAAAAATTATATATACACATACCTGAATTCTAGTAAGAGTCTAGCTGCAATTTGTATAAAGTCTTTATCACCAAGTGCGAGTCTCAGCATCCTCATTATTGCCGGTGCTTTATATTTGATAAGTCCATTAATGTTATTTCTAATACTCATTTCATCAAACAAGTCATCTAGCGGTTGTAAAACTTGAGAACTTATATAGGCATCTCGAAGTAAACTTTCTTGTATAATCTCCGTGACAAATAAACTGTTGACGTCTAGAAGCGATGTGTCTGTACTTAAAAGATCAGATTGATACTGAAAAGTTAAGATTTTTTATATTTTAAAATATCATTTTTTTTCTCTTTCTCTCTCTTTTCGTCCATATCATTACTGAAAGTCGTGTCCTTGAAAGGTATCTGTTGCCTCTCTATTTACATAATTTATTATTGAAAACTAAAGAACAAAACAAATAAATTTGAACTACTATGGTAGACTACGATGTTCTTCCAGTCAAGACTTTCACTAAAGACTACAACATGGGGTTCTTCAAAAATGAGTTACAGGTGTCCATAGACTACGGTAACCCAGTTTACCATCAAACGGGGTATATGCTTGTTTGCTACCATAGATATATATATAAAAAAAGAAGTTTAGTCTACTTCTCAGATAAGTTCCGTGGCGTAGGGGAGAGCAAGTCGCTTTACGCAAATGAGGTCCCGGGTTCTATTGCTGGCCGGGCCAATTTAGGAATTAGGAACGTTTTTAAACTCAGATATTTTGGGTTTTTCTGGGAGTGTTAGTCTGGGACTAGATGGAGGTATGTATTTTTATTTAATTGATGACGGTATTTACTTGTACCTCTCTAAATATATCCCAAGCAGCATATATTCCGAGACCTGATACTATCCATTCGTGTTTCCAGTTCTCTGGATATATGCCATATCCGAACCAATGTCTGGACAGAGCTTCTGCTATCTTTATAAAGCCAATACTTCTTTGCTTTACTGAATGTTCATATTCCATGCAAATGTAAGGCTCCCTGATATAAAAAAAAAATTATACACGTTAAAGCTATCCTTACTAGTATTATAAATACGAAAGTGAGTTTGTTTCGTTTATTTGTTACCTTCGCCTTAACGGCTTAACCAATCTCGATGAAATCTGGTATACACGTACTATATGGGATGCAGAAAGATATATGGTATTTAGAATGGCAAACAAGCTGACGGCCCACCTGATGGAAAGTGTTAACCGTCTCTTATAAATATGAGCAGTACCATGAACATAACAGAGCATACTGTTTCGCCCATGATACCCCCCATGCGTTGCCATCTATGCGTAAATATAATCTCATCATTTGTACATGCATTAAACATTTCCGAACGCAATATCCCTCTACCCTCCTTACCTATTCATATTTCCTATCAAATCTGAGATCATGTAGATGGGTAGATGGACAAAATCAGTCTATAATCCAACTGCGCGTCGAGCTGGTCAAGTTCCGCTAAGATCACGAATAAATCTCCGCCAGTTGCGAATTATTCAATTAGCCGCGATCTCCGCGCAACATACAGTGACATCTTATGCAAATCGGCAAAAGTGTTGGATAATTTGAAGATTGAACAAGAACGCGTACAAAAGACCTACACGCAGGGACTACGTAAACCAGGTTTGTCCTTTACCCTTCTTTTTATCCAACAATATAGGTTATATTTATCATAGTGAGTAAACTGAGCGAGTAAAAACTAGTTAATACAATAAATGCCAAAAATTTTAACGATAAATAGATGGTTCCTTTTTTAATCAATAATGAGTGAACGAATTTAAATGAAATGTGGTACATAGGTAGGTTATATAACCTACCTACCTACTACCTACGCGGGCAAAACCGCGAGATATAGCTATTCACTTTTATGTAGAAGAGGTTCATACATAAAATTGTATTTAAAAGAAATATGATTCTATCAATATTATCATTCAATCAATCGATAAACCACACTTCGATCGACTGATCGAAATTGAATCGATCCATCGAATCGATCGAACTACAATATGATACAATAAGTAATCGATTAATTTTGCCATTGAAGGCATTTTCAAAGGTTTATTTATATTTACTTTTTTTAATGTGGTAATCGTCGCCTATAGACATGAACAGTACCATGGATATAACAGAGTATACTGTGTCGTCTATGATATCCTTCATGCATTGCCATTCTTTAGAATTAAGGTGTTATTCCCCTGTACCCTGTAATTTAATTTCCATATCTCACCCTTCAAACTCAAATACAGCCACGCAAATATTAAATATCATGTAACTGTGTAGGTACCGGCAATAGAATAGACTATCTCTTCTTTTTCCTTAAGTGTCACATGAAGCAATTAAGGACGCTTATAGTGGAGGGATGGGCAACCAATCTGCGGTTACCAACCCGCCTGCCAAGCATGGCAACTACTGGTAAAATCCCCCTTATGGAATTATTTATTTATTTATTATACATCCACTGGGTTGTAAGGCTCACCCTCTTCTATGTCTTCTAATACGCTCACCCAGGAAAGCATGAGTATAATAACATATAAAAAGGAATATTAACAAAAAAACATTATAAACAAAAAACGTCTGAACACAAATACTATGTGGTCACTCGACGAAAGTCCGGCAAGTTGGTGGAAAATGCATCCAATTACGGATACTGGCTCAAAATATCATTGAGTAGTTTCTTAGTACTAGTAGGAGCTCGCTTAGCCCGTTATGTTATGTCTAGCAGTGGGCAGCTGGTACAACAAATATCATTATATCCATTCGTAAACTTATTTTATTTATTTATTTAATACTTTATTGTACACATTAGTTATAAAAATATGACAGAGGTAAACAAAAGTACAAAGGCGAGCTTAACTCTGATAGAGTTTTCTTTCAGCAAACCCAAAGTGGAAAGTAGCATCAATGTCAGCGGATAGAGCAGTGTAAAATTTTTAAATAGACAAAATTAAATTAATTATATTATATTTAATCGTAGAAATACACATATACATATACATAAATATATACCTACATCTATGCATATACTTACAGATACACATAATATACCTACATACATATAATATACCTACATATATAGATAAATTAATATATGTTCATAGAGATGGAAGATGCTCTTTAAGTCTACTCTTAAAACTTACCATATTCCAATCACAGAGAGCGAATACCACTCTTTGGAAATATCAGGAAAGGCAATTATAATTAATTTATCTGCTTGGTTGTCCTGTATGTTGAAATAGTTCTTTCCAGTCCACATATTGAGATTATTATAATACTGACTGATAGTAATTGAGGCGAGTTCATGTTGATTCCTTAGTCCTGGACGTCCAAATACAAAAACCTTTGAGATAGGCCATGCAATGTTTAGAAAATTGTGCGCTACCACGCCCCAAAGATGTGGAGGAGTTACCAAAGGGTGGAATTGGTGCCTAAAAACATTCTTATCAGTTACAAGCCTCTTAATGTGAATGAATTAATTAACAAATGAACGGATTAATGAATAACATTGACTTTTTTTTATACAACTTAGAATGGCAAAGAAGCTGACGGCCCACCTGATGGAAAGTGGTAACCGTCGCCTATAGACATGAACAGTGCCATGGAAATAACAGAGTATACTGTTTCGCCCATGATACCCCCCATGCGTTGCCATTCCTGAGAACTCAGGTGTTATTCCTCTGTACCTAGTAAATTCAAATGTAACAAAATTTTAGGTAAATAAACCATTCGTATGACTATATACGGGTCTCTGATTGAATATATTAATATTTATTTTATAATATAATATATGTATCTTGATTGTTAACTATTAAAAATAATAAAATTTCTATTATTACTCATACTAGGTACTTGATATTGAGTTTTGTTACGAATTATACTTCTTTTGAACAGATGTATCGTTTCCTTCGTTACATATATAATATTTTGGTGAAGAGAGAAAACGATATGTTTTATTCCTGTTTTATCACCACACGGAAACATATTTATATACTTTATTTTATTATACTCGTATATATGTGTTTTAAATTAAATTATTTATCTAAAATCACGTCGTATTAAATGATGAATGTTTCAATATGTCTAAAACTTGCGAAAGTTTAAAATTAGTGTTCATATTCGTGTCTTAATATTTCTGTATGGTGAAATTTAATAATTATAAAAATTATAAAAATAAAGGAAAACTGCACTTACGGATCCTTGTTTTCTAATAAAGAATTAGACAAAATGAAATTATAATTGAGATTTTTAAAACTAAACGTAATATCTGATGATGCCGTCGGTTCGTCCATGCAAGGAAAAACTCGTCTTGCATTTGTTGGATATAAATTCATTGCTATATATGTGCTGAAATAAAATTATATCGTATTTATCTTAATTTTTTTTATAAATATATAAATAAATAACTACGTAAATCCCACAACCAGCTATTGGACTCCGATCTGACCATTATCCATCTAAAAAATTTTATACAAACAAACAATCAAATCTGTCCTCTTTGTAATATTATTATACCTGTCACCGTATTGCCCTCGGTAAATTCCTCCTCGACCATCACTTCCCAATGACCCACTGTACTCAATGAGAATCATCAAGTCACTAAAAGAGTGTGCGGGTCTAATTTCTAATAAGCCATCATAAACTTCAAAATCACTCAAAAAGTTTGGGTTATTATATCCTGTATATACTGAATGTATGTCTAAATCTTCTACATGAAGAATAACTGGATATCTGCTTGTTGATGTAGTCAGTCGAACATCAAGTGTAGCCCGACCATTGAATTTATCACCATTAACAATTATTTCTATAGAATAATAACGAACAGTTTGTCCCGGTCTCACTTGTTTTGATGCATTTCGTTTAATATTATTTAAGTCTACATTTTCTGCAATTTCCACATCATCCGTAATATTAATTTTAGCTGTAAGTTGCAATGTATTTAACTGTTCAAGGATTTTTGAATTTGTATTATTAGCGTCAATTCGTCGTGTAATAATATCTGTTGCTAAACATTTATCGAACACACTTAACAATAATATCCAAAAGATAAACATATTAAATTTCCATTTAATTGTTTTCCGTATTATTCTCAAAGTAACATTACTCATATTGTTAACTGTTTACACTACTTCCATTACAAGTCATTACACGACACTGATAATGTACTAATAACGTATAGTAAATCTCTAGCTAAAAATTTATCAACATTTATTATCAATTATCCATTTTCACGTAAGTATTAATCTATATTAATATTTTAAAGAAGCAGATAATCTTGATTAACTAACACCATCGACGAACCAAACACAAAAATATTAAATTACAATAATAGGAATAAAAATTTTTATAATTACTTGGTATCTATAAATTTCGTATTCGAGTTTCTGGTATCAAAGTAAGAGATACATTTTATTCTGAATTTGTAATAGAAGATAAAAAAAATTCGTACAAGGTCTGCCAGTTTTAAACTAGGAGTTTGGAGATTATGTATATTTCATAGATTCTTGATATAAAACTAAAACATTTGCTTTAGTGTTCGATTAAGATATCAAAGCGTGAAAAACTCAAGAGTGACAAACTGTACTTTGATTTATCTATGTATATAGAACTATCAATTCGTCACTAAATAAAATAAAAGTATAACGTTGACTGCAATATGACAAATATTTATCATGTTTCCCTTATCATTATACGTGACAAATAAATTCAGATTTATCATTTTCATTTCAGCTATTAATTATTTAGCCAATTCAGAAAATAATCCTCCTTCACTTAGACAGCCAAAAATAAAAGTTCGAAACAATTTACATCGATTGTTTTTACATGTTTAAAGTCGTCATCTCTCCATCAAATGGGGAGTCATGCGTTTGCTATTATCTTGATCGATACTTGAGGATCTTTCTTTATGGTTGTTGGTTCCTCGAATTATATTGCAGCGTGCTTGTCCTACTGCCTAAAGTTACATTGATTATTTCGCGAATTCTATCACACAGCAAAATCTTGGGTATTACTAGCCCTTTTCAGTTTCCTGGGGAATTTACAGTTACGAAACGTAAGTACGTTATACTAAGTCTATGGTTTCGAATATCTTATATAGCCAATATCTTATATCTTATATTTGCAAGATAATTTTATATATATATATAAACGCAGTAATATTTCGTGTTCAAACTTTTGGAGTACTCTATAGGTTAAGGTTATGGCCTATATTTCTCTAAACAGACCAACGGTGTTGAATTTGTCGAACCTCTTGATCAAAGACAGGTAAATCCAACCTTCCTGATAATTTATTCCAGGTTATAGACAACTTTCTTTTTTAGTTTTATCATTGTAACTGCCACTAGTATTATGTTATCTGTGGCAATAATAAATCTTATAAATAAAGAAATCATATATGGTAAATGTAAGCACTTGATAGGTATTTTAACTATGAAAAAATTACAACTGATATCTTTTTCACGATGATAAGACCACCGATCGATAATCTCACGATATTTTTTTTAATATTTATTCAAATCACTTTTATTCATTATTTCTTGATCGATACCTAGTTCGAACGATACGATATCATGACTCATGAAATTCTATCAATATCTTAACGTATCGTTGCCACATTGGGTATTTTTCCCGCAATTGAGGGAAAAAATTGTGTTGGTGAAATCGTAAAAAAAAAAGAGTGTTGAGTATTTTAAATATTTTTTAATACATATTTTAAATGCACTATTAATACTTAACGTGATGCATTTACAAGTATATAGATAGCACCACGTTATGGTCATGGCAGAACTAAAATGAATGGTGTTTTCTTTTGACAGCGAAATGTTGGCAATAAAAATTAAGTATGGAGGTACTGTTTACCCGCAATCGAGTTGTTAGAACATAAGAAAAAGTATACTCAAATTTCCCGCGCCCTCCCTATCCATTCAACCTGTCAACGAACGCGACCAATCAGAGCTGCCCAATATGACAACATTCGAGAAAAACAAATATCATCGATGGCGGCCGTTTCGCGCGTTCACAACAAAATAATCATATCTTAAGTGCTTCAGTTTGATATTCATATAAATTTGCTAAAAGTGAACCTAAGGCGATCGACAACCCGTACACTTGTGGGCAACTCCAGGCAGACTACAACAAGAATATTCCGTAAGTCCTTACCTTTCTACATCTTGCCTGTACTTGTTCACATGTGCCGGTATTTTACAGCAGTAATAAAGCCCTATTTAAGTTTCTACAGTCCACTTAAATCAATTTTCATACCACGAGTGTATTTAAAATATGTGTCAACAATACAAAAGTTTAAAATTAACTAATTTTTTGATAGTTTTGGTATGATAAACTGTATACCTATACAATTATATAATACGAATATTTGTTTTAACACGCTAATCTCTTCCACCACATCCACGGCTTTCCCTGTCGTATAATCTTGGTATTAAAGGTTACTCTACATCATGATACGATAACAAGCGAGGCTGTGAGATACACCTAGTAGCATATATATCTATATAACACATTAATGAATGAAAGAAGGAAGTAACATGGGGTGACAGAATATTTAAGAGATCGTCTTTTTTTGTCTTTCATGTATCGTTTACATTGTAAAATGTAGAGAAAACGGGTATACATTTGATGTGAAAGAAGGAAGAAGAAAGTTTAAATAAAGGATATCGTATCAATTTAAAGAAAAAATAAATAAAATTTGAGTAGAAATTAAAAATCGAATCTAGCAACACTGCTTCTAGATCTAAGCCGGGGTTACCACTCTACAATCAATTGGGTTTTATATTTGTCCACAGATTTATCGCTTAGACAGTCACTTAAATACAATCCATAACTTACAAGCCTTTAGCTGATATATCGGGGAATTTTGTGTACTATAGACAAAAATCCCTTCGCTTGCGTTAACCGTATAAAGAGATTAACTTATCAGCTAATTATTATTATCCGATTAGTCGATTGATTTGTTTTTAGATTTTATTTTGAATTTAGCTAAAATTGCACGCATTGCCAGAATTGACATTCTGGTAATGGAGAACATGCCTCTTTATTTTATCTTTTCATGCATCTTAGAATCGACATCTACGGTCAATTCTGAGATATCATCCTATATACTTATTTCAGAAATTACAAATTTAATTTGATAGCTTAAATAAAACTACTTGAGTGTGAACAAATGTAAATTAAATGTAAAGTAATTCTCACGCAATTCTAGTAAAGATTCGTTTCACACTAGTCCTTAGAACAATTACAAGTATTTCGCTGTCATATACGTAATGTATGGTAATATCTACACTTTACACGAGGGTACATACGTCAGAAATATTAATTTTTTTTTTGATGGACGATAATGGAATGGTAAACTCGCCTGCGCTATCAGTATACACTAGCGGGGTACCAGTGAGAGATTATTGGTGAGGAAGAAAGGCAGGTCAGTTAGCCCATCGTGACGAATTTAACGATAAATTATACACGATGGTTTCCAGGGGGAACTGCGTGGCGGGCGACCTGATAAGGTATATAGATAGCGATTGGGACCAGAAATATCAGTAGCAATCAGTATTACGGGAGCGATTCGCGAGGGCAGACGTTATACAGCGGAGTGTATGTGCATAACCAAGCCAGTGTCAACATTAAAAACTATCTTTTATTTACCTCTATAGGATCTTTACGCAACAATGCTGATTTCAAATTTTAATATTAAATAAAATAAATTTTAATAAAACAGATAAAAATGCTGTTGAAGAGTCGATGCTCTTTTTATATTTAATCCGTTACTATACGGAGATTATCATATCTAAATTTTTACACTATGTGCAGTCAAGTCTAATATTTATCATAACAATCACAAAATACCTGTCTACCTATCATTTACAATTTAGAGAACATAATAAATATTACTTGCTATCTCCATTTTACAGCGCCATCTATATATACTGAGCAAAACTTGTACTAAACAACTAATACTCATTAACTACGAGTATGTATCGAATATTTTTTTGTGAATACAAATTTATATAATAGAAAACACCTCTAAGATCTAAACAAATAAAAATAATACAAGCGTACCGCGACTATTACAAAGCCAGATGTTATTTTAAAACACTATACCATCAGGATTCATATTTTTACAATACGTCTTAAAAATCTAAACCGACCTTTCTCAATATGGAGGAAGGCATTATTAGTAATGTGGACTACCAGCTCCACTGTTAGTATATATCCTGTCAAGTCAAACTCCTCGCGGTCCCCTCTGGAAACTATCTTCCTGACCTCCAAATTTCTTTATCATGACGGGCTAACTGACTTACCTTTTCATTCACACCTATCATGCTTCACTTGTGCCCCGCAAGCGTATACCGTTAGCGCTAACGGAATAACCATTTTATTATCATCTACATATTTAAAAAAAAAACCTTTCTCAATGAATCAAAATTATAATAATACACATTGTTCTTATTTCTTATTCTACTTTAATACATTTATATATTTATATGTACATAACACTGTTAATAATAATAAATTATATTAATATAACCTTACAAATTGTTTTAATAAATTACAATAGGCTAAATTTGAAGTATGAGGACGCGTTTACTTCAGATTTAGCTAATTAAATTCTATTTTAATTTTATAATCTACAAGCATTGAGTGAAAACACAGTATAAAAAACTTATTAGTATTAAACATCAAAACTCTTATTAATTATATAATTAAAAATTAAAATTCACTTTGTGCAATTTTTAAAATTAATTAAATTGTAATTATAATAATTTTACATTAATTATACCTACTTATAATATATATTTTCTATGAATATTATTTTCATAATATAGTAATTGGTAATCAAATGATAAAATTATAATAATACCTACTTAAAACATATTGTTTTTACATACTTGTTTTACTTATTTCACTTTGTGCAATTATGATTCACACACACATACTTACACATACTCGTACATGACTTAAATTAATATGTATTTTAATATAAATATTGAAATTTTTTTTAAACTAAAAACACAAAATTTAAAATTGTTTAAATATAAAGATTATAATCAATAATATTTTTTTTGTGAAAATATTTTCTAAGGTAAATAGTAATAAGATTTATTAATTCTATTATTATTATAACTATAAAAAAAAATTTAAAACAAAAAACAAATCACATAAACTTATTACAAACATTCCTGTAACAAGATGTGACTTTTTAAATGTTATCGATTTATCTCTCATTTTATTTTAGTAACAATTATGTAATATAACATAAATATTTGTTATAGTTTTTATATTATAGTTTGAATTTCAAAACCGATTTAAGTATTTTCGAAACTACAAATATTATCCTAAAAGATAATAATGAGTTTCTATATATATAATTTAAATAACTACAAATTTATAAATTAATGCGCATTAATAAATTAATGTAAATATATTACTATATTTTTACACTAAAAATTATATTAATAAATGTATTACTGAAATGACATTTAAAAATTAATGCATTAAATCAATAAACCTTAGATCTAAATAATGTGCTTATATACTAAAATTTTATATTTAAACAAATTAGAATAATTACTGAATTAATTTATATCAATATGTATTAATTTATAAATTTTGTCTTAACTAATTTATTATAATACACATAACCCGTATTCTGGTGGTTGCAACTATTTCAATTGCCTTTTACAATTCTAGTTAAAGATTCATTGCTAATAAATTATAGTTTGAAACAATTTGATACTTGCTGTTTTATTTGATAGTTTTATTAATAAAACTGTCAAATATTACATCGTAAGACTATAACGTCATTCTATTTATGTGTTATTTACGAGAAATATTAGTTATTCAGTTAGATAATTAAATCGGAGTCAATAGGTTTTATGTTTATGTAAATCTAAATCGTTCCATCCACCAGAATTCGAACATAATTTTTTACACGACTACCAAAAAAAAAAGTATAATATCTTTAAAGTTCATATATAAATGTTTGTTTTTATTTTCTCATATTTTCCAAATACCTAAGCAGATTTGGATATATTATGTGCTATGGATGTATGTGTATAGAATCATTACATTATCTCGAATGACACTGACTTTATATTTTTTTAAAACAATTTGATTTCTGTCGGAGCAGTCGTGTTTTTTAAATGCACCTACTTACTTGTTTGAATTAAACATTTATCAATTAAATAATGTAACAAATACTGTTATTAATAACAATATTATAGAGGTCGTTAAAGCAGGTGAATTATTTTCTGCGATCCAATCATAGACGTCTTCTAAGTGTGCACGATTCCAAACTAGGTGCGTTGTGACTCTTTCGACTGCTTTTTTTGCTGCCATCTCTGAATCTTGTAGATTACTGCTCAATGAATTCACCCATATTTGAAACTGGAATAATGTTTTGTTCACATTAATCTATACTGTATTACTATTACAATAAACTTGTAACTAAATGTTATCTCTGTACATGGGAGATATTTAAGAAAAAAAATATAAGGTGTCTAATAATGGGCGAGGAATTTGGGCACCTTACAATGTACTTTTTGTACAAGTATCCATGATAACAAAATGGGAAGATTATGTTCAGAAGTATGCCTATGTATTGAGGTATACAATAAATTTAAAAATTATTATTTATACTGATTTTAGCAATATGGTTTAAATTCAAAACTTATAATTGGTATATTTGACTCTTAAATTACATTTTTGAGACTCGATGCTCTATCAGCATCAAGTCTCAAAAAACGGATCAACTTTTTGTTAGCTATTTGTCAAATTAGCTGATTCGTTTTTTTATCTGTGTTCTATATACTTACTCACTTAATGTACCTTGGCATATCTATATTAAAGTATTTAATAAAAAAAATATCCATTAAAAAGGTGCAAAAATTATAAAACAAACTAAATATATAAGTTATAAAGGAAATACTCGGAATTAATTATCACGCAAAATTGTATGAAAAAGTTGTAACGCTTTTCTCGAAGCATTTGTATGAAGACACTATCTATATGTATAATCTATGATTTGACTATATCATTTAGTTATAAAACAAACACCTACAAAGCTATTTAAATTAAAGCAGTGTCGTGTTACTATTTCTTAAATTAAAAAATCTGAAAAAAGAAAAATTTAAAATACTTCAATAGCTAAAATATGTCTATGAAAACTTGTTGTTTTTATGAGTAAAAGGGCTTAGTTTATATGTTAAAATATTAATAAAGTATAAGATAAGTAACTTACATCAGCTGATTGGCCTTCATCAGCCATATTGTCAGCGAGAATAAATATGAGTTCTTCTAATTTTTCTGGACCGCCATACCTAAAATTAAAAGTACAAGCGTAAAGTTTATTTGGTGATTTGATTTCTATATATGTTGGACGACTCCCCACTAGATGGAGTCGCGATCTCAAGTACATTGCAGAAAGTTAGTGGATGCAGGTAGCTTAGGATTGTTCCTCGTTGTGTCTATGGGGGAGGCCTATGTTCAGCAATGAACAGATAACAGTTGGTGTAATGATAATGATGAGTTTTTATCATATACTATATTACATGTTATATATAATTTTAATTAATTCGAAATCTCTTAGAAACGTCTATTAAAAATATAAGTTACATTATAAAAATATATTTATTAGTTTTAAAATTAATCTCCAATTATTATTTATGACTTTATTAGTCGACTTCAAGAAGAAAGTTGCCAATTCGACTACGTTCTTTTTTTTTCATTTTATTTTGTTTTAAAAATCTTCATTATTTGTGATTTTGAAGATTTTTTTTAATGGAAATTATTTACTGTTGTCATTGATCCTTAAACATTTTAGAAGTTTACTCGATTTTATTAATTTTAACCAAAACTCTTATATTATTTGAACACATTTTAGCTTGCATTACATAACCTTTATTGTGAACTAAAAAAGAAGTTTGAAAATGTAATAATTTTAACAAAAACAAAAAGTACATACATATTCCTTATTTCGATAGTGCGTTCCGCCATAAAGTGCATAGCAATGAAAGCGTTATTAAAACTGGATGAAGCAACTGCTGCGAATATTTTATTTCTCTCTTCCAAGTTATAGGGACTATCATCAGCTATAGTGTCGTATAGAAGGCTAAAATAAAAAAAAAAATAGTTATAATAAATAAATATTGGATATTGAGAGAAAAAGTTACATTGCCAGTCGTGTTGTTCTGCTTAGAACTTGTTGTTATATTTTTATATAATTTAAGAGTTTCTAGTACGGTTGAACATTCTAGAATCTCCAAACTTTTTTATAAATGACAAACAAATTGAGGGCCCACATAGTAACTATAACATATAAATCAGCATCATGAATATCACAGAATGCTATGTACAAGTAGATAATTTTAATAAATTTTATAAACAGAAATTATCATTATACTCGTATTTAAAGGATGGTAACTTCAAAGATGGTTCATTGCACCAGAGAAGAGTACATATACGTATCATATACGATAGTAAGTGACTCCACTTTCAAGAGTAATCTCACTTATCTATAGGATTACTCTTTATAGATCGATATTAGAATTGAGATGTTTCGCATTTTCGTATTGCAATAATATGGAACCATTATGGAATGGTTCCATATTTTCTGATAGACACATATTAGTGTCACTTACCATTGCAACCTATTGTAAAGCAATCCCAACTCTAACCTAATTCCTAATTGTTTTATCATGAGCGCAGAACAAAATCGTCTTTGATAATAGTTTGGATTAAAATTCATATTAGATTTAAGAGTAGAAGACAAGAATTGATGAAGCCTTCATCTTGTTTATTGCGAACGGATAGAATTATCATAATTGAACTATATAATACTTACGAAGTAATGAAGTTTTCATTTTGTGAACAAGCCAAAGACTCCAGTATAACTATACGTTCGTACATGGTGGGTTCTATTTCAAGGCGATCGTACAAAGCGTCTATTACGACGTCGTCGCCTTCTCTCACCATGGTGCAATATACAGCTGGCCTAATCTCGTGAGGTATGTCGGGGTTACTGAAAAAAAGTTTCTAACACTATATGACATGAATGATACAAAACTTACTTCGATTCCTATTGCACGTTAATTCAAGGTTACAGAGACATAACTCCTTAGTCCTCAAGAATGGCAACGCATGACATTGTATGGTACTGTTCATATCTATATGCGACGTTGGTCTCTGCATCATATTTCAATTTATTAATTTGCAAGTAATCTGATAGTTTGCTTGCCATTCCAAGAAATAATAGTAGCATTTTTCTTTTGCAATTCCGAATTTGAAGAAGAGCAGATAGAAGAGTTAAAATAGAAGTATTTATTTCATACTTAAATTATAATTTAGACTATATATTAATAATATATGTATTTTGGATTTTTTTTAGTTAGTAATACTAATATAAATCATGTCTAATATCTAGAAAGAGAGTGAGCAAGGGAATCTTATCAATAGAATCTAACAGCCCCATTGCTAGCCATGTTAGGTCGACCTCCACGTAAACCCCCTGTCGTGATTAACTCCTGGTGAATTCATCACGAAAGTCCAACTGACCTGCCTTCATTCTCATCTATTATCATTCACCAGTACCTTACCAGCATATACTTATAGTGCAAGCGAGGTTGCCATTTGTTTATATCTCGTAAAAAAAATAAAAAGTGAATAGGTGAAAAAACTTACACTGTAGGTTCATCACTGTCGGAGTCATAAAACCAGTCTACTGCTGCAGCTACACAGGGATTGTAATTTGATTTGCAAGCGTGCTCCATCACCAGTCCTCGAGTCATGGTAACCATAGCCGCCTCAGAGACCCGAGGATCCGGGTCGAAACCAATTTCATCTTCTACACGACTGATCACTCTTCGAACCATTTTCTATAAAACAACAGTTCCGAAAAGTTTAGTTTTATATACCATAAGTTGGAAGAAAATTACAAAAGGAGACTTTATCCAAAAATATGTATGGGTATTTCTATATTACCCGTATTTTTATTGTAAAGCATCTGTGTTTATATAACTGTTTTGGTTTGAAAGGTGGAATATGGCATAACATTATATGGCACAGAAGCATTTCACCATGATTTTCCAAACATGTGGGTGGACAGTTAGCTTGTTTACCATTCTGAGTATTTTGTTATACTTTTAGGTTAATAAACTTTTAAAGTTAACATTCATATTTAACAGTTTCAAACTTAATGTAATTTTGATATTTTCCATACTTTACTGATATGTTTTCTTTGAAAACATTATAATGTTTATTTATTTAGATTTAGAAATAGATATGATTAAATTGAATATTACACTTACTATATAGATGTCTGGATCCAAATTGTCTTCAGAGGATACTAGTGCTTCCAATCGTTTCCTTATAAAGTCCATGTTTCTAATAAATGCTTTCCAAACAGCATACTCTTTTTCATGTTCCATAGTTGCAACTACTTCGAAAGCTATATCATATTTAAGTTTTCCAGCTCTAGCTAGATTTAGCGAGTCATCCACCAACTGCATACAAAATACATTATTTGTAACTTATTTCAAATTAGCAGTAACTTGTAATTTTGTTTGGTTAAAAATAAAATTAAAACTTTCCTATATATATTAATTCGATTAATAATAATTAATTACTCATCACTACTATAAATATTTATAATTGTCTTCGTTTACTTAGATCATTCATCCTTTAGTTTAGATTTCATATCCCAATATATAATAACGCGAGTACTCACAGTTGCTCTGTTCAAAGGATGTATCTCTTCTCTACTATCTGGATCATCGAGAGCATCAATAATATTTTCCCATAAGTCGTCAGCATAATTTACACGATAGTAACCTGTCAAAAAATTATTTTTAGCTTTTCATTAAAATAGCAAGGGATTCAAAATGAAAACAAAATTATGGAATAGAAAAATATTTAGGACTTAATGATTGATGTACATATATCCACAACATTTACTGTATTTCTAAATAAAATCAATGTTCCGAAATTTATTTGGTTTATACTATAAATAAATAGTCTTATACCTTGTCCTTGAATATTGAAGAGAATCCAACTGTCGCTGTTCAATGTAATATCCAACGCTTTGGTCTGGTCCATCATCTCGATCGGGTATATGTGTTCGTCGTCGAAATTAGGATCGAGACTCGTGGTGAATGTTAAAGGAATCTTATAATTTACTTCTGGAACACTTGTAAAACCGAAGCGCTCCTGTATTATTAAAAGATATTTATTAGTAATTCATAGAGATAGTTAAAAATATACTTGTGTAAATAATTATAATGATTATAGATAATAAATATAGATCTGTACATATTTGGTCCCTGAAAAATAAAAAAGAAGTCGCAGAAAAACTCGTATGCGATGGAGAAACGATTTTGACCGGTTGTATATATAAAAATTGGTATAGCTTGGCCAATGATCGTACAAGATGGACGCAGTTGAGTGCGGGCTTTACCCAGCAGTGAGACACCATAGGCTATAATTAAATGATTGATTTAATAAATAATAAACTTGGCTATAAGTTTATTTAAGTTTAGTGTATTGACTAGAATGTAAGTGTCTATTGGTTTTTTTAATTTGATTTATGAAAAGCTCAACCTACTTTCATATAGTAATGACAGAATAAAAGTTTAAAGCAACTTAGCTTCGTAAATACTTATAATTTTCTTTCAGCGATTCTAAATAATTTTTGTAAGAAACAAAAAAAAAATTACCAAGAAGTTAGAAATTTTTTTTTTATTACATAGAAAATTTTTAACATATTTAGTTAAATATATTTTTTTATGAAAATATAATATTAATCCGAATGACGACGATACATTTGCACCTGGTCTCGTTTGAATCTAATATGCTCGTGCAAACTTGTGATATGTCGATAGATACGTTTTATAGAACGGTAACATTCAACAAATCACTCTGATGACCCATTTTAGAGTTACAGTCATGACATTTTTTTATTTATAAATAAGTATATGTAATTTTTTTTACGCAACTTAGAACGACAAATAAAGTGATGACCCACTTGACATATGTTAGTAAGCGTCGTCTATAGACATGAATACCACCATAGACATAACAGAATAAACTGTGTCGCCCATAATACCCTTTATACGTTATCACTTCTGAGGACTAAGGCGTTATACCTCTACCCCGAAATGTTATTGCTATTTTAGATATGGTGATATCCAAAGATTATTATTTATGGTCAAATTGTATTTGTTTACCTGTGTCAGAAGCACTCCTCCTGGCCTTGCACTGACAAATATAACCGGATATCCTGTATTATGCACCCACGTTTCCAAATAATCTTCAAGATTATTTATCAAGTCAGTGCCACTATGCATCCAGTCACTTTTAATTGAGTCGTAGAAGATGTGAGAGTTTATTGTATCGAGAGCTCTGAAGTAAAAAGTATAACCTATATAAGTCATATTCTTAAATTATGTATCTACGATATCTAGAGTATCAAGTATAAACAAATGTGTCAACGTTTAGTCAGCCAAACGTCAAATTGGCTGGTATGTTTTTTATTTTTTTTTGTCTTCTTAGTGGCATTCATCGCGATATTAGGGTATTTGATAAAACAAACTAACTATAGTAATAATAAAAATACCTATCCAAAGGATTAGGATTGGATCTTGGACCTCCAAGATCCTATCCAAAGGATTAGGATTGGATCTTGGACCTCCAAGATATTTATACGATATGTAGTGATAGAACATGGATACATTATAATATACTTGTAGATATTTGAGGGAAGCAATTGGTGCAATTATAAATGTATTCGTATTTTTAATCAAACTAAACGAACTTTATTTCAATGTTGTAAGATATTAGATCAAAAACTTTTAAGCTTTTTTTGGAATTGTAAAGTACTTTGGGAATTATATTTATATCCTTACTAATCCAACGATTACTATAAACGCGAAAATTTAAAACTGTATGATTACTCCTTCATGCAAAACCTTTAGAACGGATTTTAATGTTATTTTGTACGAGAAGAGGTTATATCCTAATTTAACTTATAGAGTACTTTATTTTGTTAGTATACCTATTCAAGCAAATGAAGCTGCAAGACGTAAACTACATGTAATTTTGTAATGACGTAGATAAAACATAAGCACAATCTATTCCACCAACTGATAGAAATATCTCGATAGAAGCCATCTTTATATATTAATGTTCTTATAATCAAAAGAGCTATGGAACTGTATACAAATAAAGAAACAGTTGCTAAGACTCACCTACGATAAAGCAGAGTTTGCGCTGCAGTTTTTATGAAATCATGTTCTTCATCACCGAGAATGAATCTTAACATTCTTAATATGGCTGGTGCCTTGAGCCTCAAAAGTCCATTAACATGATATCTGACTTCATCTTCATCAAATATATCATCATTTGGTTCCAAGAGTTGTGCACCAGCATATCCATCAAGAAGTAATGATTCCTGAATTACTTCTGTTACAAACAAGGTATCAACATCCAGCATCGTTATGTCATTTGACACGGGATTATGTTGGAACTAAAATCCAATAAAAGTATTGTTAAATATTTTTCAGTGATTTAATATGTATCTAAGTTAAGGTACGATTAAATTTTAAAAATAAAAATATCAAAATAACAAAAATAAAACAATTGTATAAAACATTGCAATATTGTCTTAATAATTTAAAGATTGTGTTTCACAATTAAGAAAACAGAACACAATACTGGAAAAACCAGTTACTTTGATTTAATAACGAAAGTACTAGACCGATTTTGATTAAAATTCTATAAAACTAATCTAAAAGGTCGAAACTGTAAAATGTTTGTAAAGTTTTTATTTGTTATAAACAAATCTGTGCTATAATAGTTATGTTGAGTTATTTAAAAAAAAAAACAAACGGTAAAGGAATAAATTATATAATAACAATGGTAAGTGTCTTCAAGCTAGAATACCCTGCATTATGAGAAACTAGGTAAGAAACATCTGAGGGTGTAATCCAGGACACTTAGACCAGAGCCAATTTTAGAAAAGTTCTTTTCCCGAATTGATCCAGAGATTATATAATAAACATATAAACATTGATACAGCGTTTAAAAATAAATACCTCTCGGATGGCATCCCATGCGGCGTAAGATGCTAAACCAGATATCACCCATTGATACCGCCAGTTCTCTGGATATATCACGTAGCCAAACCACTGCCTTGCCATGGCTTCTGCGATCTTCACTAGAGCAACTTTCCTTTGCTTTATGGAATGTGATCTTTCCATAAAAACATCACCTTCCCTACAGACACAAATACAGATATATATACAGAGTAAAATAGTTTAGAGATTAAAAAATTGGAAATTTGAGACTCAAAATTTGAAAATATTTTATAATGCGTTACTTTGATTTCGCTGGGAATATATTTGAACATAGAGAGAAAATTCTTTTTTTTTTTATTTATTAACAAAAAATAAGAATTACAGAAATTATGTTACATTAGCATTCAGAAACCACGTAGGTTTATATTAATACTAAATACATTAAAACTATTTAATTTGTAATAAAATCATGCAAGAAGTATCCTTTTAATTTACACTTGATGTTGCTAATAGTAATATTATCCCGTACATCGGTGGGCAGTTCGTTAATAAGTCGAGGAACTAGATAGTCAGCCGTACGTTTACCATAAGTAAGACTATGGATAGTAATAATGGAAGAGGAGAACTCAATAAAAGATATATAGATTGAGCAAATAGTGAAAAATTACAAGTAGATAAGAAGAAAAAAGAAAAACCTATTACGACAACCCCAAATGAGAGAGATACGAGCAAGAAGATGATAATAAAAATCAATAGATACATACTAGAGCAAATGTATAAAGTGAGCAAATAAGAAAAGTGTAGAAACACACGTGGCTGATTTAAATATTGATAATACATTAGGATAATTATTACAAGGAATTATACTTACCATAAGCCTATTACCGATAGTGAATGCCATTCCCTTGAAAGATCGGGTAGAACGTATATGTGCATTTTGCCATCTTGATCCGTAACAATACTGAAGTAATCTTTATCAGTCCATGCATTAAGAAAATTGAAATAAGAATTTATGGCTAAAGATGCTTGCGAATCTTGAATCCCTTGAAGAGTTGGTCGTCCATAAAGTAAGACATTTGGCGTTGGTACAACAATATTTTCTAAGTTATGTGCCAACATACCCCACAAGTAAGGCGGGCCTGGCAGAGCTGTAAATTCATTGCTGCAAACATAGTAAAATAAATAATTCTTTTTGACTTAACATTAATTAATTGAATATCGAATTAGGTATTGTCAGTGTACGAGAATGGTCCGCATGTATGCTTGGCAAGTGGACTGTAGTTGCTGGTTCATATAGCAATAATAAAAAGACTGTGGAGTGAAGGGAATAGGAATATTATTTCAAGTGAGAGTTTTACAATACGATGTGGTTACAAGGCAGAGTGTTATTGTTGTTTTACCATATACAAATTTATTTAGATAAATTTGTTTCCACAAAAATTAATGTTCATTTCTAATAATCGGTCAGTCGAAATTTTTATCTGTGAAAATCCACTGTTGAACATAAGCCTCCCCCATACGAGGGGGTTTTACCAGTAGTTGGTACACGTGGCAGGCGGTTTGGCAACCGTAGTTAGGATAATTTTCAAAATTCTGTGGTTATTAAAATGGCGATAAAGTAAAAAAAAGTATTATTCTGATTATCTTTGACGTTATAAATAATTTTAATATAAATAAATAATTTAAAATTCTATTATAATAATATATTCTATAATAATAATTGTTAGCTATTGTTAATAATTGTTGTTTGTAGCTATACGTATACGTGTGTGGCTACCCACCACGACCTTGATACTTGTCCTTAATAAAACAGTGCAATACGAACCCGTGTACGAATCACTTGTCCGCATACTTACTAATAATATAATCTAATATTATAAGATTCCACTAAAAAACGACGTGGATTATGGCAAAACCAGTTATGTAATTTTAAAAACTAAACTATTGTAAGCGTAACCTTACAGATAAAAAAGTATTTCTAGTTCATAACTAACGGAATTGTGAGGTAACAAACAAAAAAGTTCAACCGAATTGAAAACCCCATCCTCATTGAGATTGGTTGACAATGAGAATGTTTCACGATTTTATAGTAATTTACATACTTACTTGCTGTTTCCTTGTGTTTTTGAATTTGTTACGATAGTATATGCATCGAGACCATTGAATGTGAACGAGATGCGAGTGTTAGATGCCTGCGTCAGTTCATCCATGCAAGGAAAGACGCGCCTCGCGTGAGTTGGATGCAAGTTCATTGCTATATATGTACTGAAACAAACGAGGAAATGGTTAATATATGTTCTTTATTATACTAAAACCCACAGTTATAATAATAATAATTAGAAGCAACGTAAGCAAAGGTGAACTAAAAGAGATTTCTTCCAATCAACCTAACACAGTGTCCATAGGAAGCAATTGGTGGACAGCAGTAGAGTAAAACAGAAATCAAAATAATTATTATATTATTATTATTATTTCAGCCGTTAACTGTTCACTGCTGAACATAGGTCTTCCCCGTAAGGGAAGTTTTGCCAGTAGTTCCCACGCTTGGCAGGCAGGCTGACAATCGCAGTTAGCCTTTGGATATGTTTTAAGAGAGGCGCTGCTGCTCACACTTGACCCTCTCTTAGTCGCCTCTTATGACACATTATATATATATTCATTAATATCCTATACTCTAGGGAGGGCTAGTTATATTAAATCCCGGTAGCTAATCCCACTGCCGGGATTAAAAAATTAAAACTCTATACGAAGAATGTGATACCCCATTTAACAAATAAGAGATTTCCAAAATCAACTAATTTTAGAAGAAAAAAATCCCCGTGGTTATCGCCATATATCAGTAACTATTAAGTTTTTCAATAATGGTTCAAATAAAAACTTAACGAAAATATATTACAACGTAACAAAATTCGCCTAGCAATAAATGACCGCTATTGCCTTTAACGTAATTAATTTTTGATTGATTAAAAGGCATTTGAAAGTTGAGTTTATAAAGTAGGGGTTGCCTGTTGTAAGTTAACCGCAATTTAGTGATGCCATGTGTAATAAATAGGTACAATTATTTTAATAAGTTTACCTTTATTGCACATTTGAATAGATGATAACATATATGAATATCATACATTTAAACCAATATAAAGCTTATTTTTAGCTACAGATATTAGTAGCGGTAACTTGTATAGTTTACTATAAAAAAAAAAATCCAAGATCTCGGTTAATTTAAAATATTTGTATTGAATCTTTTAAATTTTAACCAATTATTTATATACATCATTACTGTTTGTGTGCTCCTTTGTTTTAGTATAGATAAAAAAAACATAAAAAAAATTCTAAGATTCCTATATTATTGTAATATGGATGTCCACCACAACGCAACATTCAACGAAAAGCTATTACGGTGTGTGGTCATAAAACTATATAATTTATTTTATAGGTAATCCTTTCTACAATTATTTTTAATTTTTGTTTTTATTTTCTATTTTTAATTATAACAGTACTGTTACTGAAGAACAAAATTATATATATATTTCTCAACTTTAGTATTTTATAGAGCTTGTTATATGTATATGTTTGTATATATGTAATAGTGACAGAATATTAAATTTCTTTTATTTTTTGTAACTACGCAAAATAACTAGCATAATAAACATTAGAATGAATGTTTAAAAATACTGTGACAATAACAAATAAAATTATATTTTAACTTCTGTCCTATATTTTTAATGTGAAATAGACACTTTATTTTTAATTATATTTAATAATTTGTGTAACATTATTCAAAATCTTTGTCATAAAAAAACATCTGCATAATTATCTTTTTAATAATTTCTAATATGATTTAAAAAAAAAACTCTGTAATCTCAATAAATATTTTACAATGTTATATTTACTTGGAATCGTATTGTCCCAAATGAAATCCACGACCGTTATTTTCAAGCGATCCTGAGTACTCGATAATAAGTGCGTGACTATTGGCTCTTACTTCCGGCGTAACCTCTAGTATCCCGTTATTATGAGAATAATCTACATCAATAGGATTTGTAATAGTGAATATATCTCCTTTGACTGAATTTACATCCACGTCTTCTAAATTAAACAGTATGCTGTCTTCACTTGCACCCACATCAACATAAAGTACTGCCCGACCACTGAATGTATTTCCATCAACAGTTATTTCAATAGCATATTGTGTCACATTTTGATTCGGTCTCGCTTCACTTATCAATGTATTTCTTGTAATACTTTTTTCAGACACAGTTATATTATTAGTAGCTTGTACATCTTTTGTATCTTCATTGCTTCGTGATGGCTGCGTGATTGGAGGTTCTAACATCGGTATGTTCGTAAACACATTATCAGATAATACAGTACTTGGTAAAGTTGTTCTGTCTATAGGTAAACTTTTCGTAAATACGTTGAGCAGTATTAAATAAAAAAACAAAGCTAATTTCCACTTTAACTTTCTTTGGACCATTTTTTCTATATGGTCATACTATGGGGTTTATTTTTAAATTAACACTACATTCACACATACGTTCACTTCGCGACACTGGCTATGTTTCAATATTACAAGAGTGTATCAAATATCAGATCGAGGAATGTATGCTGATAATGTCACACCCAGACTTACGCGAGATAAAAGATGGAATCCCGTCAACGGATACTGTTAAGCGCTATTGATTAGGAAATGAAAACATTGTGTATAAGTAGTGTAGTTTTATGTATGGATTTTACTGATCATAGAATTGAATACTCAAATCTATTCTAATATAATAAAGCGATACAATTTGTTTGTATTTATAATACGCTAATCTTTGGAACTTTTAGTTGGATTTGAAGACTTTATCTGCATTTTCTAGCTAAATTCTTAAAACTATAGGCAATTCAGTTTCACGATACGACCAATGGCGAAACTGAGGATGTAGTTAGTGAATCATAAACGTGATTTATTTAACCTTCGCAAGATTCGCTGGATATATCGCATTATACGTAACAAATTTATAAATTTTTTTGCACATTTATAATGACAAGTATGCTGACAGTCCATCTGATGGAAACTTGTTACCAAGTTTCGCTCTTTGTTGTTTCCTCCAAAAGATTACAATAGTAAACTTATTCTAGATATAAACAATTATAAGAAATAATTACAATGAGAAAAGAATGGGCGACCTTATCGTTAAAAGCGATCTCTTCCAGGTAACCTTTGGATGGAGAGGAATAATTGAAGGCACGATGAAGATCCTATTATTTCTAAATATGGAGATATAGTACATGTAATAATGTAAATATATATCCCTACTCACTATATATATACACATACACACACACATACATACACACATGCATATAAACACCTACACAAATACATAAATACTGTCAACATGTATACGTAAAAAACAAAGTTATAAATTTTTATAAATCTGAAGAACAAAGTATGCTAACTCGACAAATAAACAAGTATATGATTATAATAATAAAAAGAAACTATAGAAAAACTGCTAATCTACAATCTTTACTACATATAGTTTTATTATGCAGATTCTTTCAAACTGCACACCTGCAATACAAACGAGACTATTGATTAATATTTGAAACTTCAAACTATAATAACTTTGTTTTTTTTCTCAATATCCGCTACCCAAAGGTGGTGTGTGTGGAAGAGATTGCTTAACTTTAAAACCGCCTTTTGTATCACTTCTTATTAAAATTTACTGTATTTATTATTTTTATAAATGGTACAATAAAGCGTAAATAAATACATAAATAGATGGATTCGATTCTGAGGTGTTCTTTTTTTAAATTTATTCCTAAAATTATAATGACTGCCAAAGGTATTGGAAGCGGCTTATAAATATCTAGAGTCGGGTTGAAATACTTTTATTCTAATTTTCTATGTTAGCACACTAGATTTATAACATTGATTTGGTTTTTGCTGTCATCATGTTGTAATTATTTTTAATGAATAAATAAATAAAGAAATAATTTTTATCTGATGGTTTAACAAAACTATAATCATCATGTTATCTTCATCATATCAGCTGTTAATTGTCCACTGCTGAACATAGCCTCTCCCATAAGAAAAGTTTTGCCAGTAGTTGTCACACTAGGCAGGTGGGTTGACAACCGCAGTTAGGCTTTCGATGACGTTTTAAGAGGAAACGCTGTTGCCCATTATTCGACCATTAATTTCCCTTAGTCCCACGAGAAAGGAAGAGGAGGCCTATTCTATGCTGGGATCACTCCGGGGGCAACTATCCACGGGTAACTGGAACAATACCTGAGATTAGGCAGGTCTTCTTTTCTGTAGTAGATTGGTCACTAAACTAAAAAAAATTGACAAGAAATACTAGATGGCGCTGGAATCGAGACTTGTGGTTTTTGTTGATTATTTCGTAATTAATGATAAATCTTCAGATCCAACTAGAAGTTCCAAAGATTTAGGGTATTCATATAAACAAACTCTATTTCTTTATTATATTAGAGGGAGTACAAAATTCGATTGCTTGTCCTCTGTTCCATTCGTGTTTCTACCGTACACCTGGGTCCTCAGGAATGACAACGCATGGGAGTGATCATGGGCGAAACAGTATACTCTGTTTTGTCTATGGTACTGCTCATGTCTATAGGTGACGGTTAGCACTTTCCATCAGGTGAGCCGTCAATTTATTTGCCATTTTAAGTTGCATAAAAAAAGAACAGACAACCCATAATCGTATGGTGCGGTGTAGAACTACTAGAAGGGTAGACCCCAAATCAACGGAGATAATAGACAAGTGAAACAAGAAGAATATCTAGTTATTAATAATTAAATATTAAGTCAATTAATACATAAAATATACCTAATATCTTTACTCAATATTCTAATATGACGTCATACATCTCTACTATATCGATATCATATTCTTAAGATAGGTAAGTACTTTTACATTTGACACCATCCACGGTATTTCCAAGATAAAATAAGATATACTTATCTTACTGTAGATTAAAGTGTGACTGACAAATATACTTCAACAATATTTTAACATTTTAGACTTAAAATATTGCAATTTTTTCCCCCTTATATTATTATATATAAGAGGGAAAAAATTGCTATTATATATGATAATATATATTTTTGATTTTATTAAAAAGTCTCTCCCCAGTTTCACGCAAATATTTTTATTCATACAAATTTTTCTATTTACAAATTAAAAAAAAAAGAACAAAAATGTTTTGGCCAAACAGGTACAGCGCTTCTGAAGGAAAGAATTTAAAAAAGAAATACGATAAAAAATCTAAATGTATGTAACATTTAGATTTTTGAATGATATTATTTTGTTTGTTACCACTGGGATCCCTTAACATTACAATGGCACATTATAAAATTTACCATGTACAATATATTTGTAATGGAAAAGGGCATAGGCTGTTTTATATTCTAATCAATCAATATATTCCGGACATACGGACGAAATCACGCGTGCAAGCTAGTTTTATATATTTTTAGATAATTGAATATAAACATATTTACAGTTATGTTCTTGATGCAACCTTACCTATGCTTACATCAAGGAAATTTCTTGGTCATCAGTCATGTAACCAAACAAACGGGCATGACAAAGTAAAAAAATAGGACTCAAAAATATATACTAAATACAAAAGATTTTTCAGAAAATATATTTTAGCTAACTGAAAAAGAAATTAATTTGAAAAAAAAAAATTACAGAAAAATTTATGTACTACATATGGATTTTTAAATATCAATTAATCCTTATTTTGTGCAAAAGTTTCCAAATAATAATTAGATAGGTACATACACACCCGTCTCTCATTGTTGTAAGCAGAAATAAGAATTTATTGCCAATGAGTTATATAAAATATCTCTACTTACTCTTCGTCATAACGTCCGGTGAACAATCCCCAACCAACGTTCATATTTCCCGTATATTCTATCATGAATCTATAAAGAGTAACGTCGTCATGTGTAGAAATTTCTAGTCGACCAGCTTCATCATTGACTTTAAATTCAGCATTTTGAAAATTGTTACCACTGCCAACAACGAATTTAACTGAATGAATGTCTAAATCTGTTGAGTATAATATTACATCTTCTCCCCTCGTCGACGCCTCTGTGATGATAATATCAATTATTGCGACTCCATCAAAAGTTCCACTATCCAAATCGGGCTCAATCGCTATTGCATAGTTGGTTACACTCATGCCGGGCCTGATTGTGTTTATACCTAATATATTACTATCATTTATTATTATATTTTCATTAATGTCTTCAGAGTTCGCTTTGTTAAAACCTTCATTAGCTTTCAAATCATTGATGACATTTGATTTTTTAAATGTATCATGATTTTTTATCGATATTGGTATAGTCCCGGAAAATACGATCAGAGAAAACACGGTAATCACTGTTAAAAGATTCATTTTCACTGAAGTAAATATACTTATTAATCTTTAGAAAATTAACACAGTTTTACAATCACTCATAGAGATTCATCAAATTGTTAATCACCTTACTAGATGAAGAAAATGGCTGACAACATAAAAAGAATTTTATGGTAAACTACATGCTGATATTGTGTTCAAATTCATACTAATGGCAAAAATTGAAACCATTTGAATGTTAAGTGGAATTGTCTAAGATAATAGTTGAAATCACAAGAAAGTGTCAATAAAGTAAAGATTAACAAAATCTGATTGGACGTTAGATATCAGATAGGTATCATTTGAATAACAATTATCATGATGTATTTGCGTTACGATTCACAGATTTAAGCTAAGCCTTTCATTTCTTAATATTATTTCTTACTCATAAGAAATGATATTAAGAAATGAAAAATTAAATTTAAAAGTTCTTAAAGAACTTTTAAATTTAATAAATAAAAAGACACAAACACACAGGTCATTTTTGAATAAGATTATTATATTTAAAATTTTTTAATGATACTTTAAATGGCAAACAAACTAATGAAAAGTGGTCACTTATAGATATAAACAGCACAATGGGCATGGATTTAATTATTGAATAAGATAATAATAGTATTGAATCAGGTACTTTTAAAATGTTTTTAATTATGTTTTTATTTACATTCTACTTACAATATCCTGATTTAGGTAAATAAAGCTTTACTATATTAACAAAAGATTATTGGAACAATACTTTTATCATGATTAGACTTGTTACTCTCAATATTTAAATTCAAACTGTACAAACGTCAAAAATATAATTTAATATCAGAATATATGTGAGCTAGAACCGATTTATAACTGTTTTTGATAATTTAAAAGTAAAAAAAAAAAGGTTTATATAGGTAAATAAAATAAAAAAACATTTCAATTAAACTATATCACATTTTATTTATATCCATCACAACTTTTTACCAAACTTTCTTATATAAAATAAAAATAATAATAATTTATTATTTACAATAATAGATTTAAGCTGATAACGAATCTTCAATTATTTATATACAATCAAAACACGTATTTAATAAATAATATTTATGTATATAGGGTGAAGTCCAAATCGTTAGCATTTTTTTACAAATGCCATATTACCAGCGAAACTGATTATTTTATTTATTTATTTACAGAGTTACATTATTACTGATTCAATTCGATTTCACCCTGTATAATAAATAAATTAAATATAACGATAATGAACTATTTTATTGACACGAGTACAAGTACTAGTATATATTATACTTTGTTGCAAACATTATAATCGGAATAATTTAAGTGTATTTCTTATTAGGCATACTCGCAAAAAGGCGACTTAAGATTAAAGGTACCAGATGGTTTTGAATTTAGTCAATCATTCTCGACAAGAAACCTAAGTTAATCTATTTATTATTTTTGCAATAAAACATAATAAACAATTGTCTATTTTAATAGAATTTAATGAAAAAAATATCGAAGTATTGTTAAAATGATTACAGATATTATCTCTAAATGAAGTAACAAATCGAAACATTTAATCGATCGATCGATCGATTTTTCATTTACATTTATTACAATTGGATATCAACAGACAATTTTATAGTGAAATTATTATTTGTTTACATTTTTCACAAACTCTATTACAATAGATCTACTTCAATAGTTACAAATTAAGTGTTAAATTAGAATAAAATGGCTAAAACAACTAAAAGCATCATAACTACGTTGGACGTAAATATGACAGCACTATTTCCATAATTATCGTCTAACCATAAATTGACACTTGGCAAGTTATCTTCAGACCAAGCTATCGAAGCACCGATATTTTCCTTGATGGCCGCCACCGAAGCACGTTCGCCAGCGGAGAAGATGTGGTCATAACGTGACTCGAAGGTCTGTATCTGAGATAAAAAATAAAGTATAATTATTTTTCACAAAAAAGAAGAGACTTTAATCGTGAACTAAGGAATTTATCTTTAATTAAAGGTCAGATAATCTTTACTAATATTATAAAAGTGAAAGTGTGTTTGTTTGTTACCTTAATGGCTTAATCAATGACAATATACTATATGGGACGGAGAAGGAGATAGCTTGCTTTTTTTCCCGGTTAGTAAATATCCCGGTTACGGGAACGAAGTCGCAAGTAACAGCTAAGGTTTCGATAAACGACTAGAAATTGCGTGTATTTAGTTTTAATGGAATTTTGTTTTTATAACACAGAGAGCAAACGACCATGCAACTCGCCTAATGGTAAGTGCCTACCCCCACCCATGAGCACTAACGATCAGAGAAACTGCAGGAATGCTACCGATCTTTCAAAATGGAATATGTTTTTTTCTTGAAATTTACGATGTCGTATCAGGTCGGAAACGCTGCCCCTTAGAAGCTGCGACTATTGCTAGAAGTTGATTTCAAAGGTTATACGAGGAAGAAAGTGCATTGAAAAATGCAAGGTGGAAAAGCGTTAGTCATCCAGATCATGAAGATATAGTAACATTCTTTAATTTGTGGCATATTGTACGATAGTAAAAACAAAATTAATGAGAAGGTAGCTAAATTTATTGAAATGATCCCAGGACAGATAAAAGAAACACTAGGTGTCATGTCGTATACAGAAGTCAAGGATATGGCCTGGGACAGAGCTGGCTGGAAGAAGATGCATGAATTATTTGCACCGATGAGAGGAAACTCTTAAATGAAAAGAATAAAGAAAATCCCAGAAATGCACTTTAAATGAAAATAGTAACAGAGAAACATTTTATCAATTAATTTTGATTTTATTTATTAAATCATCGTGTAAATACATACAAAAAATTAAGAATTTTTAGTACCACTTAAATCTCTTGGACTTGTGTGTGGCACTTCACATATCATTCTCAAATATAAATTATTGACAAATCGATTTATTAAAAATAACTTACCTTGCTCAAATGTTCTGCAGATATTAACCTTCTGGAGAAGGCATTCAGGATATTAGTAGTTCCACTGAGCTCTTGTACTCTGTAAAAATATTGTATTATAACTAAATTATATGTTTATCTTATTTAAATGATAAAACTGTTACTAAACATGGGAGATATTTAAGAAAATTATACAAGGGGCTTTAAAAAGAACAATAAACTCTGCTACAAGAAATTTCTTATTTGAGATATGCTCGCATTTGTACATTATATTTATATTAAAATTTTCTTATCAATACGTTTGTGTATAATAAAGAATCAATAAAAAATAAATAAATAAAATAATTTTTTATACATTTTCTACGTCCGTCTGTACATTTATTACGGAATAACGCTAAAAGTGGTACACCCAAAGTGAATGCCATTTACACAGCTGTTTTCTTGAAGATTCGGCTTTAAATATAAATTATAAGTCACTAATTATCTATCTCTTCACGCCATTTAGAAGTGATTTATTAATATGCGTACTTCTAAAATTCACCTATATGAAGTTGCGGGTAAAAGCTATTTCTATTTCTAACAACATTATTAGTGTAAAAATCTCTGAAGACATTTGGATGTTTGTATATACTCAAAAATCCTATAGCGACATTCGCATCCAATATAACAATGCGTTCAAGGTGTTGATGAGGTTACCACGATTCTATAGAGCGTATCCAGGATGTTTTCAGAGCATCGTGTAGATTGTTTTTACGCCACGATTCAGAAAAGGTGCGCAATCCTGATACGCAGCCTACATGCCAGTGCCAACAGCGTCTTGAATATGATGACAAGCAGGCTAGACTGTGTGTACGTTAATCACTGCCGGGCAATTTCCAATGGAATTGTACAGCGCTGATTACTATTACTATGTAAATATACTCTGTGTATATCTGTGTGTGAATTTACTAACGTTATCCATAAGAACATAGTTATCCTTTTTTCTCAGTATTAGCTGGTACATACGTTACTATGCTATCGTATACTATACTTATGGGTCGTAACCTAGTGTAGTGTGTGTGTGCGTGCGTGCGAGCGTGCGTGCGTGCGTGCGTGCGTGCGTGCGTGCGTGCGTGCGTGCGTGCGTGTGTGTTTGTGTGCATGTGTGTTTGTGGGCGTGTGTGTTTGTATGCGTGTGTGTTTGTGTGTGATGTATATATATACCTATATTCTATGTAATTGTGGTGCTATGGGAGGCTATTCCATTTTCGTCTAAAGTATTATTATTGTTATACACAGATTCGTGTGAACAAACTGCCAGGAAACATTTAATAGCAAATGAAGTTGCCGTCTCTCACCTAGGTTTAATCAGTTCGAAGTTTTCTATGACAAAGTCCAATGCTGCTTCAGTGTTTTCTGGGCTTGCGTTGATGACTGCAACAATCACGGTATGCTTGTCCTGCTCTCTGACCGGTGAGTCGTCATCGATGACTTGATTCAAATATCTGACAGAAAATAAATTAAGTTACAATCGAGAACGGAATATCTTTTATATTTTGGGTATTTAAAGATTCAATCAAAATTATCTAGTATATCACAGAAAAAAAAACAACACTGGGGGCAAACGAGCATGCGTTTTCAATCGTAGTAAAACCAGTTGCATTTTGATTTAAAAAAATATGCTCTTTTCTTGAAGGTTATTTTGATGATTCGGAAATTCTTTTGATAGATTCCAAAAGAAATTCTATGAAAATTATCTGAAAGTATATTCTTACAGAAAAACCGGTCATGTGTATAATTAATACACATGACCGGTTACGAAACTTCGTCTTCAGGCGTATTTATAAAAAATTAAGCAAATATAAGTAGGTGCTTCCAAAAATCTTAATTAATAATAAATTTATTGATAGCTAAGTAATGGAAAGACGAGATGAAGCCATGTATTTTGCAAGGGATTTTAAAAAACTTTTTCTTTATTTAAAAATCTTCCAAATGGAGTAGGTTTTCAATTTCAACTTTTTTTTGTATATTTTATGATTATGTATTTAATTTAAGAGTCAAGTTTTATAATTCTTTTTGCAATTAACAGAATTTGCTCCTGTATTAGTTTTGAGTTGTTTGAAGCGGAGTAAACTGCAGTTGACACAAAACAAAATATAGACGTAATTGCTTGTTCTAAATTCAAATATTTCAAATTAATGAACTTTAAAGTTTAATTGATAGTATACTAGTAGTATTTTTTTTTATACAACTTAGAATGGCAAACAAGCTGACGGTCCACCTGATGGAAAGTGGTAACCGTCGCATATAGACATGAGCAGTACCATGGACATAACAGAGTATACTGTTTCGCACATGATACCCCCCATGCGTTGCCATTCCTGAGGACTCAGATGTTATTCCTCTGTACCCAGTAGATTCACGCCATATCCCACCCTTCAAACCGAAACACAGCCATACAAACACAGCTGCTTCACGATTGAAACACGAATGGGACAGAGGTACCCAAGCCATCGACTTTTGTACAAAGTCTCCCTCTGGTATATATATATATATATATATATATATATACCAGATCTCAAAATATTAATTAGATTTTCAACGCATACCTTTCTTATTTATATTATTTATATTATATTATATTTATTTATTTAAATGTATTATGTCTAAAATTACATGGCCATTAAAAAGGCCGTGCATGATCGATTAACACCATGCACATTTGCCATTCAAGTAAGTTATATATATAAACTAAATAAATTATATATATATATATACACTATATACATAATGATAATAATAAGAAAGGTATGCGTTGAAAATCTAATTAATATTTTGAGAATCTAAAAACTTAAAGATTTCTTATAAAACATAGAATAGCAGGCAAGCTAACGGTCCACTTGATGGAATGTGATAACTGTTATCTATAGATATGAATAACATCGGAGACGTTACAAGGAAATAAGATGTTAGTTATGACTCAGGTGTTAATCCTCCATACCCTGTAATTTCACTGTCAAAGGGTGGAACCCTTTAAATCAAAACATCCGCACAAACATAACTTGATGAAAGAAATATGAATGGGAAGAAGTTATACAAACATTTTATAGTAAAATGGGTTTATTATAAAAAAAAAAAAACTTACTCTGTCCGAGCTTCTTCGTTTGAAGTGCATCCAAGGGCGTTCAACAGAATAGACTGGAAGGTAGAATCGGTGCTTGCCACGTACAGACTCCAGAGGTAATCGAAGTTGTCTCTATCACCACCGCGAAGACTGGCGCAGAAAACCAAGTTCTGGATGTCAGGGTTGATGGATTGAGCTGCAGAATAATATGTTGTTTGGTACATCTTAAAATTGTAAATATATGATGTCTTCTTACTAATGCTGTAGGAAATAATTATGAAAAAATTATACGAGGGGTCCTTAATAAGACCAATAGAGACTAAAACAATATTTTTTAAAATTTTGTCTAGCTATATGTTTGTCAATTTAGATCCAGTTTTCCTGTTGTGTTTTCCTGCAAATCTAAAATAAAAACTGATATAAAATATGTTTTCATATGTCATCTAGGAATGCCAAACATAGAAATGCAAAACGGCCACACAGCAGTCTATTGTGGAATGCTCTCGCTCAGCGGTGAACAGAAGTAGATGGAGACATATTGCGAGGACCTCAATCGCGAAGGAGAGCCTCATCGACGACCCACTGTCATTGTGAAAACCACGACCACACTATCAAGAGTGTACGACTGAAGAGAAAGAGAGAGAGAGAGATCCAGAAATGGTATATTTCATTACTTTTTCTGTTTCTAAAAACATGCGTGTGAAGTAGTGGGTAAAAAGTCGCGTGTTACAATCTTTGTACACGCTATTCTCAAAAAATATTCTTTTTTATTTTTTTATGCAACTTTGTGTAGCAAACAAGCTGACGACCCACCTGATAGAAAGTAATAATTGTCGCCTATAGACCTAGAAACCTGAATATACTCCTTTTCAAGAACCCCGTACCATGTAGTCTTTACAAGAAACTTCGATTGTTCGGAGGAATTATTCGGTTCGAACATTTAGGTTCAAGCGTGTAAAGATAAATTCCCCGACTATGACGAGCGGTGCGATAATAAAAGGTGCCTGTGAGTATCATTTCAAACATTTATAAATATAATACATATTTACAAATGCTTACTCCAACTTTAAAAGATAGGATTGTTTTATCCCGGTAAGAATAAATGGACTCGATAGATGGTAATGAGGGATAAAATGTAGATTGCCGGGTCAACCAGTTTAGATTTCTTTTACAAATTATGAGATACTGTTAATAAATTCTGTATTGTTCTGTATTAATTGGTATATATTTTTTCTGTAATACATGGATAGTAGAAGAGTCCAACAAAGTGCAATAAGAGCAATTATAATAAAGTACTTTATCAAAATGTAAAAATGATTACTTTTCGATTGTTCCAACAGATCGGAGGCTTTGTTCAAGCAATCCACATTCCCGTATCTGCAGTTGATATCAAGCACGATGTTCCTGTGGTATGCTGTCACGTGTTCTTCATCAGACGACGCTATGAATCCAAGTTCATTGTAAAGCGGCTCCGTTATGTTGAGCAAGTAACTCTGTGATAATAATAAAATATTTAAAAATAGTTGCAGAAAACAGAAAAAAATAACTAATTAGAGGCTAATCTCCTTATTTTTTTACATTACAAATGTGGCAAACAAGCATACAGTGTATCTGATGGTAAATTCGTCTATTACCATTAGAAGATGCTTTTATGAAGATGTGTATGTAGGTACTCGTATATATTTATATACAAGTACATACATATATAGGTGTGTGCGTGTGTGCGTGCGTGCTTGACTTGCGTGCGTGCGTGCGTGCGTGTGTACGTGCGTGCGTGCGCCCGTGCGTGCGTGCGTATATAAATAAAATCAAAATAACTATTTCTGTCAAAATTGAAGTTGATCGGTTGTTTTTTTTTTGTGGAGCAAAAATGGAACAAAATTCCCATGTTTCTAATTGCTTATGTTACTATATGTGTGTGTAATGTATATCTGTACTGTAATGTCGTATCAAGCAAATAACAATTTGTTCAGTTTGTAATCATAATCTTACCTTGTACAAGTTGTAGACCTCTGTGAAACTGAGTACTATGTCTAAATAACTGAAAGCTGCGTTAGCGGCTGCCCACGGGATGTAATCTTTTTCTTGTACCAAATATTTTGAAATTTCAAACGGATACAGGTAATTCTGAAAATTATTAATATTTTTTATTTAAAATACGTATACAAATAAGTATTCAATTAAAAATTCAATTCCAATATATTTTTTTCTATATAATATATCTATCTAGAGTTGCCTGAAAGAGATTGCTCTTAGCGATAAGGCCGATCATTGTTTGCTCAGTGTAATTTTTTCTTGTATTTGTTTATACTTATAATAAGTTTACTATTATAATCTTTAAAAAGAAACAATAAACAGCAAGTATCTATCTATTCCAATGTATATACTGTGTGGTCCTAGCATAGAATGAACGACTCCTTTCTTTCCCGTGGTTGTTCTAAAATATAACTAAGAGAATTTAATAGTCAAGGGATGGACAGCAGCATCCACTTAAAACACCACCAACCCATCAAATGGCAACTTGGCAGACGGGTCGCCAACTGCAGTTAGGTTAGCTGCAGTTGCCAATCCATCTGCCAAGGGTAGTAGAACCTCTCTTATAAGAAAGGCCATGTAACATATATATGATAATGATGATATTTTTTAATGAAACAATGATCAACAAGATGATGGTCTAGCTGACGTAAAATGGTCAATTTGATAGCTAAAATAGCTGAAATAGGCTTTATATTTTTATGAATAAAAAAAAAAAACAACATCGTTATATTTTTGACACTATTAAAGTGGAAAATAAGTATACGGTCAGCGTAGTATTGAATAGTTAGAATAGCTTACAGATAGAATATGACCTTATAGGAAAGTGAATATTTAAATATACTTACCGTAATATCCCAGCTGCTTAAAATATATTAAAAAAAATCAACTATAAAGTGATAACCCTGAATCATGTAATTTATTTATTAATTTCTTGTTATACAGAATATTCATATTATTCTAGTTTTATACTATTCTGACAGTATAAAATAAGATCGCTCTTAGCGATAAGGTCGCCCATTGTTTCCTCATTGTGATTATTTCTTGTAATTATTTATATTTATAATAAGTTCACTATTGTAATCTTTTGGAGGAAACAATAAAGAGTATCTATCTATCTATATAAAGAACTAACAGAAGCTAACTAACATTTGTATGTCCCAAAAGATTCTACAGCAGTTTGGGACGCAATGCTCTAACTAGATTTATCAATCTTGGAAGACTGGTTATTACAAAAAGCTTTTTGAAACTATACTTTTATTGCATAGTTTGTATGGAAAATTGAATAATTAATTTCCTATTACGACTTATGTTCATTGGAAATTGTTTAGTTTTGTTTCATTAATACACACTCAAAAACAGTTTAGTGTAATCATTCTGTTGCCGTATGGTCCCGGCATAGAATGGGCCATCCCTTCCTATCCCGTGGGTGTCGTAAGAGGTGACTAAGGAAACTTAATGGCCGAGGGATGAGCAGCAGCGTCCCTCTTAAAACACTGCCAAATTTAACTATAGTTGCTAACGCGCCTGCTAAACGTGGCAACTACTGGTAAAACTGCCCTTATGGGGAAGGCCTATGTTCAGCAGTGGACAGTTACCAGCCGATATAACGAAGCTGATACTCGTTAAGTTTTTTTTCTTTTTTGTTATATTTCCACATACTATAATAATACTTACAAGTCGTCCATTTCTTGCCAAATTGAACGAATCGTCGATGATCTGAGCTCGATTCAGCACATGAATCTGTAAGTATTCCGAGGACGAGTTCAGAACTCTAGCCAAAGCCTGCCAATTGGAAACGTCGTAGTTCACACGATAATAACCTGTGGAATACGAGAATTTTTACTAATATTATAAATGTGAAAATGAGTTTATTTGTTACTTCTTAGCACTTTAACGATCAAGGTGATTGATCGCTAAACAGAATTAGACAAGAAATACTAGATGGCGCTGGAATCAAGACTTGTGGTTTTCGCTAAAAATTACATAGAAGGAATGATAAAATAAAAACTGCAAATCATATTATTTCCTCCTTTCTTCTTATGCAAAAATAAGAAATAAAAAGAGAACGAAAGATACACCATCAGTTGCTATTTTTCTCAATTCATAGCAGGCTAGTGCATTGAAAATGTGTATGTAAAATTTTTGTTCATTTACATTACTAGATTACATATTCGACACAGTTTATGTAGAAAGTATGCAAGCAGGTTGTATCTGAATTTGGTAGGGTTATAGGCTGAGTTAAAAACAAGTGGCATACATATCTTGATGAATTTGACTACTACGAACTAGTTGAAAGGCAGATACGTTTTTAAATCCCTCTCTAACGCATTGCCAATATCATAAATACGAGTACAACGAGCAACACACTATGTGAATTATGCATTGCTATTCTATTCTGAAATCTTTGGGTAATTGTTTATTGTTTTTAATTAAAGATAATTTGAAAGTTTCTGAATTGGCGAGATGTTTTATTTCTTTTTTCTCAATATAACGATAATTTCTTTTTTATAAAAAAATCTTTTTTATATGAAAGAATATACTCACCGATTGGTCTCATATAAATTTTATCAATATCGATTTAACAGTTTAATTTTTAAATGAAAATATATATTTTCTTTTTGTTACAAGTATAATTTTTTTTTTGTGGGACACAATCTTTAATTTTGCCAGTCGATAAAAGGAAATGTCTATCTTAAATTATTTCCTGTTGTTATTTTTCAGACATCTTTTTATCTGCTTGTATTGATTACTTATCAGCTGATGTAAATATGTCTATTTTGTTATATTATTTCCTATGATATATTTATTATTTCCTGTTACGTTACTAAAGTGCATTCTATGTTAGAAATAATTTGTAACAATAATAATTGTCATTAGAGGCAGTAAAAAGGATGTTTTAAAAATTTTTGAAAAAAAAAGAATGCAGACTTCTAACGTTTAAGAATTTAATATATTTCCTTTTATAATTTTACGTTTATTTCCTGGCATAAAATAAATTCCCCATTGAACACTTGCAAGAACTAGAGCATATCTATAACCAATGTCAATCAAAAACATTGATATTTCATCATAATTTTTGTGTTGCAAGTGTTCAATTGGGAATTTATTTTATGCCAGGAAATAAACGTAAAATTATTGAACACTTGCAACACAAAAATCATGATAAAATATCAATGTTATTTTGTTTGACATTGGTTATAGATATGTTCTAGTTCTTGCAAGTGTTCAATTGGGAATTTATTTTATGCCAGGAAATAAACGTAAAATTATTGAACACTTGCAACACAAAAATCATGATAAAATATCAATGTTATTTTGATTGACATTAGTTATAGATATGTACGTATGAATCACATGTATGATCTCTAAGTAACTGTTAAATATATGGAATTTCCTGATTATGTTGATCCCGATCAGAAACACATATTTGATACTTATGTAATTTGACGAAATTACATAATTACATAAAAATTTAATGATTTATATATTTTACTTTTACACCAATATGACGTAAACAGAGAATTGCGAAATTTTCTGTAATGTTTTTGTAACCTCCAAATTTAGGAGAAACATTTTTGAATTGAAGAAATTTTGGTAATTTTTTTAACAGGTTTAGTAATTGTACATTGTACAGCGGGAAATAAATATAATAATATATACCAATATAGGTAGCAAAACACAAGATAAGAGAAAGAATAAAAACCGTAATATAGTTTCTTTCTGCGTTCGGACATAGCTAAATTTAGTATTGGGTAAAAATAAAAGGTTGCATCTGGAAACCCTAGTAAATTATTGTACCAATAATTTATTCGATATTTTATTTTCCAATAATCCTCGAAAAAAGTAGATTGTATTTATTATATTGAAAGGATCAGAATTTATAATTCACTATGATTTTGTTTCTTAATAAATTAAAATAGCAAACAAAGTATCAGCATAATTTTTTTATACCACAAAGGTGCCAAACGAGCATACAGCCCGTCTGATGGTAAACGTTCACTGTAGCCTATAGACACCTGCAATACTAGGAGTGTCACTTGCACATTGCCGATCCTGAAGACCGACCTTAATATATAATACCTTTTTTGAAGAACTCCACACTAATTTTAATAAATGATCAAATTACCTGTTTGTTGTTTGTTAATAATGTACCACTCAGCTTTCGAGAGTCCGGGTATATTAATGGACAAATGTGAGGATGTAACGGGATACCATTGCTGAGGTCTAGTATCAGAGAAGTCTACATCAGTGGACAATACCCAATTCAGTGGTACATGCCAACGCTCATTGGACCATTGACTTCTGTCTAATAGGAATCTTTCCTGAAATAAAACGGAAATATTACAATGGAATAAGAATAAGAATAAGAATATTTTTATTTCCTTGAACAAAATTAGCCTATGGTACAATATAGCTATGACCCCACACTAGGCAAAGCCTGTTTCGTGGAAGTCAAAGCAAGTAATTTTACAGTTATGGTGCGGCGAACATGGTTAATCTATATAATGTTTCATGTGAGTTTGGGTGCGCGTGTGCGTGTGCGTGTACGTGTGCGTGTGCGTGTACGTGTGCGTGTGCGTGTACGTGTGCGTGTGCGTGTGCGTGTGCGTGTGCGTGTGCGTGTGCGTGTGCGTGTGCGTGTGCGTGTGTGTGTGTGTGTGGGTGACAATGGTGCTTTGCATATCTATATTTAGACCATACCATAATCATATAAATCTTCTTAGTCGTACTCCTTCCTTTACCATATGTGTCGTAAAAGGCTACTAAGAGAATTTAATTGTCGAGGGTTGGGTAGCACCGTCACTCTTAAAAATCACCAAAACTTAACTGTGATTTTCAACCCGCCTGTCAAGCGAGCAACTACTGGAAACCCCCTGCCCCCCTTTATGGAGGAGACCTGTGTTCTGTGTGTGTATGTCATAATGGACAGTTAACGGTTGACAGTAATAAAGAAATAACAGTAAGATTTTAACTTAGAAAAAATAGGCAATACAATAGGTGAGCTTAATCCTATAATTTTTTTTAGCAAACCGAAATCCTATCTACTTCTATCAGTAAAGCGGTTGTGTTTGCATGGTTGTGTTTCGGTTTGAAGGGTGGGATATGGCGTGAATTTACAGAGTACAGAGGAATAACATCTGAGTCCTCAGTAATGGCAACGCATGGGGGGTATCTTAAGCGAAACAGTATACTCTGTTATGTCCATGGTACTCTCATGCCTATAGGCGACTAAAGTGTTCGGCAACTAGCTATTGTGAATACAATGTGGAAGAGGGTTCCACAGTCTAACAGCTTATACTGTGAAGTATCCATTATAACCTACAGAACTATGAAATGGGGTTTTAAGGAGAAAAAGGAGTTCTTGAGTGAAACTTCAAAGTTTCACTAGGCATTATACCTATGACAATTGTTCGGAATTAGCACCAGATACCGGTATCAGAAACGCGTTGGATAAAATTAAGATCGAATGAATATTTTTCCATCCTCCAATAAGAGATGACACTTACAGAAGAGAAATGAGGCTACGTAGAGAGCAATGCTTGACCATTGTCCTCTTATGTTATACATAAATAAAGTCTAGATATCGACACGTAGTCAGACAAAAAAATAAAACATACTTGGTCAAGAGACAAAGAGTTAGCGGCTGGCGCGGATCTCCTGACGTTGATGACCGGGAATCCACCTTGTGTGGTCCATCTGTCTAATACTGCCGCCACCGTGTACGGTATTGAATGATTAGATTCATTCAAAGCTTCCTGGAGAGCCGCGAACAAGTCGCCGGGAACGACTGCCTTTCGTGAACTGAAAATAAAATTATTGTAAAGTATACAATAAGGGAACTTAGTGGTTGAGGTATGGGCAGCAGCGTCTTTAAACATCTCCAAAACCCAACTGCGGTTGCCAATCTGTCTGTCAAGCGTGGCAACTACTGGCAAAACCCTCCAACAGAGCAAGGCCTATGTTTAGCAATGGCTGATATGATATGGTATATAATGGTTATAACATATACTATACTATATACTATGCCATATTATATTTAAGATTAAAAATTACACTTACTTAGCTCTCAAATATTTCACAATGCCCTGTCGGAATACTTCAGGGGTAAGGAAGTGTTGTGTCATGCGAATAACGGAGCCAGCTGTAACAAAATAACTTGAATATAATATCTATTATTAATATAATATATATTTTTAATACACACACGCTCAAAAACAGTCTAATGTAGTCATAAATGACTCACCAGCAATAAAATGTTTAGTCCCCTGTTTAGCACTTCTACTGCCCACTACTTCCTATGTCACTGTGCTAGGTTGACAGGAAGAAATCTTTTTTAGAGATAAGTTTATTACCATAAGTTTAGTGCCATAGTTTTTGCATGATATCAGATCAAACAGATATGTAGACGGATTTTTTTATTATTGTTTTAGCTTCTGTTTCTCCTGTTAAAACACCTTACATCAATTTAAGTAAGTTTTGCAATATCTTTGTTAATTAGTTCAGAACAAACCTTAATGATTCTTTTTGAAATCTTAAAAATTTACTCATATATTATAAATAAGACTATAATAATATAATATATGGGACATCATTGTTGTTGTTTTAGTATTATTAAAATGAATTTATTTTTCAACCGTCTTAAAAAAGGAGGATTTATATATATTCTTTATTGCACTTGTAAATTACATTGTTAATGCATTTATAAATATTGTGAGCAAGGGTGGACTTATCTCTGACAGAGATCTCTTTCAGTCAACCCAATACAATTAGAAAGCATGTTGTTAGCGGGTAGCTGAAGTACAACAACTATTAATATTTAGAGTACATAGACAAAAATATAGTTAAATAAAATATTAAGATATATAATAAAATATTACATAAATACATATACTATATATAAATATAATACCTACCTACTTATACAATAAATGTTAAAATAAATTAATATACTACCTACAATAGAAATTTTGTTGAATGATTTTAAGGTTTTACAGTCTTAAAGAAATTCTAAACTCAGTTGTATTTTTTATGTTTATTGCCCTATAACTGCGTCACTTATAAATTAATTTAGTAAATTCTCTTTTTTTTTTACTACTTTTAGGTTAGTCCAATAGAAATTTGATCAAAATCAGTATATTACTAGATATAAATTTTAAATCAAACAAATTGTAACAACGAAATTGATGTTGTTTAATGATTATTTAATTAAATAATTTAAGAGTTTGTTCCTTTATAATAATGTATAATTAAAAAATTCTTATTTAATTCTAGAAGCTTCATTTCAATTGTTAACTTAAGCCTTCCTAATGAGAGGAGTTTTGCCAGTCGTTACCACGCTTGGCATGCGGATTGGTAACCCCAGTTAGGCTTTGGTGATGTTTTAAGAGGGACGCTGCATCCCTCTACCATTATGTTCCTTTAGTCGGTTCTTACCACACCCACAGGACAAAGAGGTAGCCTACTCTATGCCGGGATCACACGGACAAATAGAAAAACTTACTCCTGGCTTTTTTATTATTTTCGTCGTAACTGAAGTAGTTGATCCTGTGGTCCCGACAAAGAATCCCAGGCTACCCCTTCTGTTCCGTAAGTGTTGTAAGAGAGACTAGGGGAGGGCGAGGGATGGGCAGCAGCATCCCTCTTAAAACATCTCCAAAGCCTAACTGCGGTTGCCAATCCACTTACTAAATATGGCAGCTACTAGCAAAGCCTTCCTAGGAAGTTTAAGTTCAGCAGTGGACAGTTAAAGACTGATAGGATGATGAAGTAGTTTGTTATTGGAAAATTCTCCAATTTTTTTTTATACAACTTAGAATAGCAAACAAGCTGACGGTCCACCTGATGGAAAGTGGTAACCGTCGCCTATGGACATGAGCAGTACCATGGACACAACAGAGTATACTGTTTCGCCCATGATACCCCCATGCGTAGCCATTCCTGAGGACTCAGGTATTATTCCTCTGTACCCAGTAAATTCACGCCATATCCCACCCTTCAAACCGAAACACAGCCATGCAAACACAGCTGCTCATGGTTGAAACACGAATGGGACAGAGGTACCCAAGCAATCGACTTTTGTACAAAGTCTCCCTCTGGTATTATTTATATTATGATTAATTATATTAATCATAATGATTAAGTATATTATGATTCATCAATACTTTATCATACATAAATTATGACAAATAGCAATGAAATGTATTAGTGATATCATGGTACATTCACGTTCATCGCACAAGGGCGACAGGTATTGTCGATTTCGCAATAGATATAGTCGTATATTGATATTTGAATCATGTTCTACTGATAATAATATATAAAACACTCTTGATGTTATCAATTGGGTAGTATCCAATTGCGTTCATCTCAATAGATGAAATATTATAATAGATTGTGTGCAGTACATTCTTCAACATAGAGTGTGTCTTAAATATACATAATGTTGACAGAGATTTAAAAGAGTAACTTGAATTCCTTGCGGGTTCTTCTCAGCAGATGACAACATTCCGAACCCTGTAGTAGATTTGTTAAAAATGGCGATTCAAAATAGCTTGTAAACGAGTTTATTTGTATAAATATAACTTGAATTTTAACACTATTTGTATATGTATTTATATATTAAGCATTTTTTGTTTAAAAATTAATTGATTAAGAATAGTAACATTATAATATATTGTATAAAAAATTGCAATAGTAAAGAATGAATATTTATTAAGAATTATATATCTTTTACAAAATTATTATTACATATATGAATTATTCAATATATGTAAATAATATAGTCTATTTATAAATAATACGTAAGTATGTTCTTTCAGATAAAACAATATAATTTTCCAAATCGGTTTAAAACTAACGGAGTTATAAGGTTAAAACTTAAAAAAAAATACAACCGAACTGAGAACTTTCTTCTTTTTTAAGTCGGTAGATAATATTATAGATAGATAGATAGATACTCTTTATTGTTTCCTCCAAAAAATTACAATTGGTTTTTTGGACAACAACAAATTTGAATAAATATTTATTTTTCATTTATTTATTTATTCATTAGTACAAATATGTGTACATGGGGGACTTAATGCTAAAAGCATTCTCTCCCAGTCAACCATAGGGAAGTGTCATACTCGAATGCGGTACTAGTAATTATTGATATACATACATACTAAAATTACATATATAAACGAATAAATATATATATGAATAACAAATATACTTACACATATATGATATATACTATATTATACATGAATTTGGGAATAATATAAAGCACTTATAAATATTAATAGGATATTATTTATTCAGAATATAAATACATACATTTCTGGTAAGCGACGGCGTTGAATGTTCCCAATATCTCTGATGGGCTGCGGACTGTATGGGTCATCGGGTTAACGCTCAATACAGCGTCAGACTGGAACACGTTCTGCATAGATATCACGAACTGGTCCATCATACGCCATTCTGGTAGTACCTGTAATAATAACAATATATTAGGCAACTTCACAACTGCTTCACGATTGAAACACGAATGGGACAGAGGTGCCCAAGCAATCGACTTTTGTACAAAGTCTTCCTCTGATAATTTTAATGTTAAACACATTTTTATGTTTACCTCATAACTCCGTCAAAAATAAACCGATATAGAAAGTTCTTTTTTTATCTAAAAGAAAATAAATTACCAAATTGATTCCATAGAAGTTTTGTCAAAATCATTTCAATAGTTTAGTTTTTAAATCAAAATAATTAGTTTAGTCACAATTAAAGTCGATGTTTATTTATTTATTTATTTATTTATTTTTTGGAAAACGAACAGCTGAATTACGGTCAATACATAATCAAATTTATATCTATATTAAGCCATGAATCGTTTTCACATTTGCGTAATGACAATGATCGGTTTTTATATATGCAAAATACATATATACACATACATACATACACATATACATATATATATATATATATATATATATACATATACACATATACATACACATACACATACACACGCATACATACACACATCTATAATAATTAAAAAGATATAAATTTTGATGAGACATCTTTTAGCTTGATATATAATAACTAAACAAAAGCAATATAAAGCAAAACAACATTACTAAAATAGTCAATTAGGTGCAGCAGGGCGAGAACCAAAGAATGATTCTGCTACCTGCAATTTAATTGCATGCGGTTTTGTGTGTTTATTGTTGAACAAAATCTTAAATTCTTCAAATTTTATTAATTAAATGCTATTATTTCTATCTATCGTAAATTCACTCCTTGTAAAGAATCAAGGGTGCTTACAACATCCAATTATTATGTTTAATTATTACTTACAAAGTCGGTGCCTAAACTCTCAAACAAGTTAGCGAAGCCTTCGTTTAGCCACGTGTAAGTCCAATTAACAGGACTGACTTCGTTTCCGAACCACATGTGGGCGTTCTCATGGGATATGATCCTGCCAATGCCCTGTTTTGTGGCGGTTGTAGTGACTCCCTCTGTTACCAGGAGAGCTACTTCCCTGTAATAATTAAAACGATTATCTTTTTTCAAATGTTTGTTGTAATCCAAGGAATATATGAAATGAAAAGATTATGTTAACTACATTCTATGGAGACATAGTATGTTAACCCTTAGGAATGGCAATAGTCGTGACTCATCTAAGCTCAAAAAGACATTCAAAAATATCTCACTCACGAAGGATAAGGAGAAAACAAACTAAAGACAAAAATAAATAATGATAATAAGTGCTACACAATCAAACCAATCACCTGATCCTCAGGATCAGGATCCATAGGATACCCTGAGTTATAAGGAACCAGGTAATAAAACAGAACACCCAGCCCTGAGCTGGTTTAGAAAAGATCTTTTAAGAAATTGACATATAAATAAACCAATTTACCTAAATATTAAATATATCATACAACATACCTATACAGTACCAGTCCCCAATTTTCCATAGCCCCGGCCGTGAAATCGGGTATCGCTGCTTTGTCCAGTTTTGGGAATGCGAATGGAAAGTCGGTGTAATTCTCAAAAGCGACCATATTCTTCTGTCCGTAGTCCAGAGCAAATTCCGACGCGTTCTGTGTTCCTGGTCTTGAATATACGCGGAATGGTATGTTGTAGATGGCATCGTTATTAAGGTTTCCATTGCTATCAACATTGCCAATATGTTCAAATTCGGACACGACGTATGCAAGCAGATAAGTCGACATTGGCAGAGTGTCGGCGAATTCATATTTTACATATCCTGGTACGTTTGGTCTGAAATAAAAAAAAAATAACAAGTAGAGAATACAAAATTACATTAGAATGGCATGCCGTGTAGCTCCGGCATAGAATACACCACTCCTTCCTTTTCTCGTGGTTGTCGTAAGAAGCGGTTAAGGCACCTTAATTGTCGAGGGATGGGCAGCAGCGTCCTTCTTAAAACATCACCACTGCCAACACCAACACCAACTGTGATTGCCAATCTGCCCTGCCAAGCGTGGCAACTACTAGCAATATAACATACCATATGCATACGCAGCAACTGCAGTTGGGCCTTAAAAATCTTTTAGGAGGGACGCTGCTGGCCATCCCTCGTCCACTAAGTTCCCTTAATCGCTTCTTACGACACCCACGAGCAAAGGAAAGGGTGGTCAATTCTATGCCGGAACCATACAGTATGTCATTCCGTTAACGTATTATAAAATTGTTCTATGGTTTTTGGTGAGTGCATTGGTAAATCTGTAAAGCTCACCAAATATATGTATATATATTATAAATAAATAAATATAAATAAACTTACTGCCTCGTTATATCCCCAATTGGAGTGTTTGATAGTACAACGGGGTATTCAGAGGGAGCATAGATGGTAGTCCTGAAAACAGCTTTGTACCCAGGCTCGTCGTAGCAAGGGAACGCACGACGCGCAAACGTCGGCTGCATTTGAGTGGTCACAAGTTTTCTGAAACAAGACAGCAGAGACTTTTGCATTCAAGTCGTTTGCATGGATACCTCTATGTACTCTCGAGTTTTTGTCACGAAGCAGCTAGGCTTATATGGCTGTGATTCGGTTTGAAGAGTGAGATATACCAGTGAAATTATCAGATCCGTAGGCTTAAATCTTCTTTGTATGATTTTTTTATTGGTGAAATAAGTCAAGGTGATATAATTCATGTTCAAAATTAAAGGAATAATGGTTAAAAAAATAAATTTGACAGCTATGTTTTTTTTCCTGCAATGGACATTAAAAAGGTATCCAGACACGATTAACTTAAAATGAACTTGGTCTTTTATATAATTTTTGGGCATTCAATGTTATGTTAGAAATTTTCACCATTATGCAAAGAAGGGTTAACACATCCCTAGTCCTCAGGACTAGCGATGGGTAATATACAACAATATCTATATATTTTAGTCACAAAATCTATATACGTGTCCAATAACTAATATATTAAAAGTATGTTACCCAAAAAATAATATTGGATAACAGACTTTTAACATATTCGAAAATAGATATCCGACCATTCCGACCGACATGAGAGTGATGAGCTTCTTTCCGTCATCAATATCCAGAGGGACCCGATATATAGATATCGGATCGGTATCTACATTACCCATACCTACTCAGGACTAAATTCATATGTAAACAATACAGAATAAACTAATATTATTATTCATGTACTTTTATTATTTACATATGTAGGTATATAAAGCTGTTTTTATTGTATTATATATTCAATTTTTTACTGGGTATTATTTAGTTTATCTTTAATTGTACGGTTATTACCCTTATACATTCTACAGTTTTCTTTCAGCTTCTCAAAGGTTGACTGTAAGAGATCCCTTTATGGGATAAGTCCGCCATTGTATATTAAATCATTTACCAGTGTTTAATCTGAGTTATGTATAATAAAGATTTTACAATAGAATACAATACAAAATAAACTATTTCTACGAGTATTCTGGTCAGAATTTGTATATCTATCGTCTAATTTTCTTTTTTTTTTATCCACTGAGAAAAAGGCAATAAAAAACTTACACAGTTCTGCCATTATCCTCATAAGTAGATAAGTAAACTCCAAACATATTATCAGCGTAGTGCCCAACATAGTTGATGTTAATCTCGTGTGGTTGATGCGCTCCTATATCTGTGTCCAGTCCGATCCTCAACAAATGCGTCTCATTAGAGTATGTGTAATTTGCGAACAAATTTGTTTGTTGACTGAAATCAGTATCGGCGAATACTTCAATCGAGTCAATTTCCAATTCCATAGCTTGCAGAACTATCTCGTTTATATTTTCTGTTGGTATAACCCTAATAGTGACATTCCCAAAGAAGTATTCTTCATTGTTCGGATCGAAGAAGAGGCGTACGTCGTAGAAAGTGGGTATGGATGTACCGGGAAGAGCGTAGGGATTCGATATGTCTATTCTAGCATCTTCGTTGGCTATTGGAACGCCATTCGCAGCGGCCAACAGGCCCACGAGTACAAGTAATAACATATCTGAAAATAAAATTAAACAATTGTTATATTGTTGTTGTAACAGTTAACTGTCCACTGCTGAACATAGCCTCCCCATAAAGGGGGTTTTGCCAGTAGCTGCTTAGCACGCAGGTTGACAACCACAGTTTAGATTTTGATGATTCTTTAAAAGGTATGCTGCTGCCCATCCCTGCAACATAAGCTCCCTTAGTCGCCTCTTACGACACCTATGGGAAAGCAGGGGTGGCACATTCTATGACTGTATCACATGGCAATATTAACAATAATCCTTGCTAATATTATAATTGTAAAATTGAGTTTGTTCGTTTGTTACTTTATAATGCCGAAATGGTTTGTCCAATTACTATGAAATTTAATGAAATAATGAAGGATACAAGCTATATTATTCAAATTGGTTTACGTGGCGATGGATATATATATATATATATATATATATATATATATATATATATATATATATATATATATATATATATATATATATATATATATATATCCCATTTTATACCTTAACATAACAGTAATTAGCTATATTTAATTTAAAAGAAAAAATTACGCAACACAATTTATTTTCTAAAATGAAGTATTTATCTGTGAAGTATGTAGTATAAGATATCTTTTGAAGCGATAAGTAATAAAAACTCAAGATAAACGGAATACCAGGCCATATCGGCATGAGATATTGATATGATAAAACACTAAAAAGATCCATACTAGTTGTTAGTCACTGTATTTGAAGAAATATAAAATATGCTCTATATTTTCCTTTTACGTATTACTCAGCGCCATCTAATTGCAAACTGTATAAAGTTTGTATTATTGACACTAGGTAATTCATATTGGATATTAATTTGGTACTAACGCCATCTAGCGGATTAAATTTTTAAATTGTTTCCGACTTACAAAGACCTCTGCATTCGACGAGAGTTCATATAGTAGAGGAGTTTAGGTATAGTCATTGTCTAGCGAACTATAAGATTCTCCCGACCAATTATTTAGAACATGCATTTGTTTTTTTAAACCATAGATAAAAGAATCACATTTAGACTAATATGGATATTAGCATAAATATATAATAAATATCAATTATTATAAAACTAATAACTAATATAATATAAATTAAATAATAAGCTACTAAATTGTAAAATTTCATTGATATCTGTTTAGTTATTTTACTGTAATTGATAATGTTATAAATAAACAGACAGTTATAAATTTAATTAAAAAAAATAGTCGAATGAGAATGAAACGATGATGAAAAAAAATACTCTTTATCTAAATATGCTGATACTTGTTATTTTTGGTAATATTTTGGCATTTAGTTGTATATAAATTATTTAATTTACATGACAAAATACGAATACAATTACAAACATAATATACATAATAGCTATAGGGGAAAGGGATTGTTAGTAATGGGGTCTAACAGCCCTATTACTAACAGAATATTACGACATTCACGCGGTTCCCCCTGGAAACTGTCCCGGTTCGATTCTTGTTACATTCATCACGATGGGCCAAACTACCTATTTTTGTCCTCACCTGTTATTATTCACTGATGCCCCGCCAATATATACAAGAGATATGTAATATTTAGCAATATCTTTATATTGGCCTAACAACGAATATATATGGGCGTGTGGTCCCAGCATAGAATAGGCCACGCATTAATTTCCCGTGGGTGTCGTAAGAGGCGACTAAGGGAGGGCGAGGGATGGGTAGCAGCGTACCTCTTAAAACATCTCTAAAGCCTAAATGCGGTTGTCAATCTGCCTGTCAAGGGTGGCAACTATTGGCATAACCCCCTAAGGGGAGGCTTATGTTCAGCAGTGGACAGTTGAAGGCTGATATGATGATAATGAACAAATATATTAAATGTACCAGAGGGAGACTTTGTACAAAAGTCGATTGCTTGGGTACCTCTGTCCCATTCGTGTTTCAACCGTGAAGCAGTTGTGTTTGCATAGCTGTGTTTCGGTTTGAAGGGTGGGATATGGCGTGAATTTACTGGGTACAGAGGAATAACATCTGAGTCCTTAGGAATGGCAACGCATGGGGGTATCATGGGCGAAACAGTATACTCTGTTATGTCCATGGTACTGCTCATGTCTATAGGCGACGGTTACCACTTTCCATCAGGTGAGCCGTCAGCTTGTTTGTCATTCTAAGTTGTATAAAAAAAAAAAAAAAATGTGAGTTAACCAATATATAATATCGAAATGAAGAAGCTGTTCGAAATTAATACAGATATGAGACTGATGTGGGCGACATCGAAATAGGTGATGGCTTATTTACCGCCATCAGTGTCCAGAGAAACCCAATATATAGATATAGGAGCGATATCGATATTTCTCATCCCTAGTGTATACCGATAGCAGAGGCAGGTTTACCATTTCATTTTCACCCACGACTTTTACTAATGAATAAATTTACTAAAAAAATACTCTCAGCTATGAACGTCATTTGCAAAATTTCATATCTTTCTATAGAAATGAAATATTTTCTATTGTAAATATTAACACAATTGTTGAACCAGTAATAAAGTTGTCACCATATTAAATTTCACCAAAATTGATCTAGTAAATTTTACGTACTATATATCCGTTCGAGTTGTGCATTAATTTGTATCTTTTATTTTTATTTTTTATTGCACTAAAACATACAGTAATAACAACAAAGCTATCAAAGACGGACTTATGTCTAAAAGAGATTTTTTCCAGTTAACCTAACATAGTAGCAGATATTTACATAAATTACAAATAACTATATATATATATATATACAATATCAATACATACATATTGTACACACATATAATTATCTACTTATAGAGAATTTTAATTATAATTTATTTGAATATTTTATCAGTGACATACGATTTACTGAAAACAAATACGTGTAAAGGGATTAATTATTAAATACCTAGATAATAACATTATTTTGTTAAAATTATATCGTTAAATAGATAAAGTGGCGTGAGTGACCCTTTGAAACTTAGTTTGGCCTATTTGAAATTAACACATCCTTTTAAACTTAGGTCAAAAGTCTCATTTAGAAGTGGTTTCTAGCATCACCAACGATAACCTTTGTGGTGTAGTTTACTATACTGTCTCACTAATAGTTGAGGATTCGATTCCCATACAATACCTATAAATATTTATATTATTTTGTTTATTTATTCATACTTTATTGTACATACTAGTAATACATGACAAATATGACTCTAAAAGAGTTCTCTTCCAGCAAACCCAAAGTGGAAAGGAGCATCAATATCAGCAGGTAGAGCGGTTAATTAATTAATATTGTCTAATATGTATATATATATATATATATATATATATATATATATATATATATATATATATATATATATATATATATATATATATATATATATATATATATTATATATATCAGAATAGGTATATCAGAAATATTGGTATTTAATTTAAAAAATCCAATTTTTCCATATTATTTTACTACCGTGTGAAGCCAGAGCAGATCGCTAATCCTTACAAATACAATATTATAAATATGAAAGTGAATCTGTTCACTTGTCACCTTATAGAGTCTTAATGGTTTAACCGATCGCTATGGAAATTGTTATGCAAGTACTATATTGAATAAAAAAATGATATAGACTATTTTTTATGCCGGTCAGTAAACATATTGATGGTCACGCGAACGAAGTCGAGGGTAAAGAACCCCCATATAATTTTTTCTTAAATATCTTACACATACAGTTATCAATCGGTGACAAATTAATTAGTAGTAGGTTAGTAAGTAATTTTTATATTAGTAACATTAATTACTAGTGACACCTAACGGCGCATTTATCGTATTTTAATACTATCTACTTAAGTGCTTGAATATTTTTGTACTCTCAATTTCTAAATTGCGCACAAGATGGCGTTAGTCGCCAGGAATGAAATGTAGCATATAGTAGGCATAATTCGTTCTTGTGGCATTTCTTACAAGATGACGCTAGTAGTAGGATATCTATTGTAATTTTTTAATTTATAAAAATAATTTTATATGTGATAATTCTATTTTATTTATTCATTTATTTCTATTTTATCTTCAACATTACATACACAACAGATGATACGGAGATAGACATCCCTACTTATATTATAAATGATAAATCAGTTTGTTTGTTTGTTAATTTATAGTGCGGTAATGACTTAACTAATCACTATGAAATTTGTTATACACGCACTATATGGGATATAAGCTTTTAATCCCGGTCAATAAACACATCTCGGTCACGTGGCCGAAGTCACGTGTAAATGCTAGTTATTCTATAAATTGACATAAAGCACGATGAGGATTTTTTAAATTGGGTCATTAAATAGATAGATAGATAATTTATTTGCGTTACTTACAGAACACGCATAAAAACAACTGGCGAGGTACCAATAAGGGGCGATAGAAGATAAATGCAAATCAATCGACCCATCGTGACGAACTCATCAAGAATTAACAATAATAGTTTTCAAAACCATTACTTCCCATTCGAATCCTTTCCCCTCCACATTATTTATTATTGACCTTCTTACCCTCTTTTTATTTCAGCGCCTTTGCATGATTTTTTTATTGGTGGAATCAAAGTCATATAATCAAAGTGATATAATTCATGTTTAAAATTAAAGGAAAAATGGTTAAAGCAATAAATTTGACAGCTATGTTTTTTTTTCTGCAATGGACATTAAAAATTATCCAGACACAATCAACTTAAAGTGAACTTGGTCTTTTATATAAGTTTTAAACATTCAATATTATGATGGAAATTTCCACTAGTATGCAAAGAAGGGTTAACTGTCCAATGCTGAACATTAGCCTTTCCCATAAGGGGTGTTTTGCCACTAGTTGCCACGCTTGGCAGGCGGGTTGGCAACCGCAGTTAGGCTTTTATATATGTTTTCAGAGGGACGCTGCTGCTCATCCCTCTATCATGTGCTCCCTTAGTCACCTCTTACTACACCGACAGGAAAGGAAGGGGTGGTCCATTCTATGCCGGGACTTACACGGCGATCTTACCCTTGTAATTACCCTATATTGGGTATATAGTCAGGTGGCTATTGTAGCTATTGTTTAAATATACACTAAATCATATTGAATCAATATTTATTTCTTTAATTAATTTTTTCATTCATTTAATACAAATTAAAAAAAAAATCTATAACCCTTACGGGAGAGGTCTGTGTTCAGCAGTGGACAGCTAACGTCTCATGATGATGATGATACGATGAAATAATTTTAGATGCACTGCCAATGATTTCCCGCAATTTTTTTTTATTTATTAGGCTTTGACTTCTAGCCATCAGTCTAAAAAGGCATTTTGGCTGATAGCTGCTAAAAATATAATTGAACTTTTTAATACAAAAATATAATTAAAAATTAAAAAGGAATATTTATTTTTAAAATTTATAATAAATATTTTTCGTTATTCCTCCAAAATGTACCACGATGGATTGACTTTTTAAGTATTTAAAGCCTATTTATGTAAGTACATAGAGGTATAAATTTGAATTACAAGCACGCTAGTTTTTTTTTTTTGATAAAATAAAAAGTGCTTAAGTTTTTTTTTTTATGAATCTTAGAATAGCAAGCCGTAAATAATGAAGTTAGTATAAGATTTTTTTTTTTTATTAAAAAATAAATTTGTTCACAAACCGCGTGATCTACAAACAAAATGCTTCCATAATTAGATAAGACTTATTGAAATAAATATTCATATAAAAATTGCAAGTGTAAGATAATGAAAATATTGGAGACCCACGAAAAGAAGCATTCGATGGATCCTATCAAATTAATAAAGACTACTTGTTGGATATAATATAAACTCAATTACACTATTTTAAACAGAAGTCAGATAATATATGACGTATTAATGAGTTATCTCATATCTAATCACTAACACCATAAATAAATAACACAATAAATACGTTTTAATAATTTGATAGCTCAAAAATTTATATATATATACTTTTTTTATACCACTGAGGTGACAAACAAACATACGGCCCACCTGATATTTATGACACAGTTACTTTTTATCCCGGTCAGTAAATATATATATATATATATATATATATATATATATATATATATATATATATATATATATATATATATATATATATATATATATATCATATATATAAATGAAATATATTACTTTATATTATATATATATATATATTATAGATTATGTAAGTAAATAAGTTAAGTAAAAATTTTAATATAAATAAATATATAAAAAGTGATATAAAACTTTCGGAAAATATAATATTAGAAAATAAAATGTGTATATATATATATATATATATATATTATTCACTAGTGGCCAGGTATAGGGAATTGTAGAGAAATATGATCAAAATAAATTCAAATTATTTATAAATTATGTTATATATATTGTTCAAAATATATAGAATCAGGTACTTTGTAATTTTACTATCATATTTCGCCCTAAAAATTGAAACATAACCGTGCAAATACAGGTGCTTAGCGACAGAAACACAAGTGGGACAGAGTTGTTCATGTAAACAACTTTTGCACAAAGTCTCCCTCTGGTGAAGACTTGGAATTGCACAGATTTATATGGCTGTAATCCATTAAGAGTAGATTCTACTCATATAGATGGAGTGTCTCCATATAAACGCTTCGTCAAAAATAAGCCAACATTTTTATCTATGTGTGCGTGAATAGGGTTGCAATAATACACCTTTATTACTCTGTATATGGGAGAAATTATGTTGTAGTGTTAAATTGAAAAATAATAACGTTAAAAAATCCTTACAAAATATTTGAAAGAACACGATAAACATATGAATACTTTGATTTATATCAAAGTATAGACATAAAATATGTTTTCGTTTTCAAATCATTGAAAACGGCCACCGTTTTAATTAATACATATATATTATTTTTTGTATACAACAAATATACATATGTATGTATACTTATATTATATCAGAACTATTTCCAAATTCAAACTTAAAATCGATCTAAACTGAATTTTTTTAAGTTTAATAACATGCAATACTGAAAATAGCGTACTTTGTTTGGATTAAAAAAATAATAATTTCTGAGACGTTTTTAATACTCAATGCTCTATCTATATAGTCCAAGCCATTAAGAAACGGTTTATTATAATACTCAAAGAATCTGCCATAACGAGTTCCCAGGGCGAGGCCGTGGATATTCATTTTGCTGTAAAAAGTGTCTCTTTTATTTTTTAACCGCCTATTCAAGAATAGCGATGTAGTATTTTTTCGAACTGTGTGTTATTAATATATGCTAGTTTTTACCCGTGACTTCGTTCGCGTTACCAAGATGTATTGATTTGACGCGCGTGCTATTAAAATCAAGATTTCATTATTTTTTTTAATTCCAATTTGCATAAAGAAAATATCTTGGACAAACAACGTACATAACGCTTATTATTTATTTTATAGTATGACCAAACAGCCACCGGGTACGTATTGGCATTTTATCTCGGATCATCGGTGAATCAATATAGAAATAATGTATCTAGCATTCAGAGCTGATCAGACTCAGGTGTTATTTCTCTGTACCTAGTAAATTCACGCCATATCCCACCCTTCAAAACCGAAACACGGCCGTACAAATACAACTGCTTCACGGTAAAAACACGAATGAGACAGAGGTGGCCAATCAAACGACCTACATACCCTACAGCCTAAATGGTCGCGTACAACGCGGTTTCAGAGATGTTTTCTCCCACGAACACTCAGGTTATGGAATGAGCTCCCTGCCGAGGTTTTTCCATGAGACTACAGCATGGGGTTCTTCAAAAGGGGGGTAAAGAGATTTCTTTAGGGTCGACAACGGGCGCGTAATACCTCTGGTATTGCAGGCGTTCGTAGGCTACGGTAACCGCTTACCATCAAGTGGGCCGTATGCTTGTTTGCCACCTCAGTGGTATAAAAAAAACGACTTTTGTACAAAGTATCCTTCTAGTTACATTACACACCTCTTATGACATTCTGTAGATGGAAAGGAATGATAACACATTATAATCTCTTTCTTTCATCACACAAAATATAAATATAGGGGGGAAGGGATTGTTAGTAATGGGGATTAGCAACCCTATTGCTAGCAATAAACCCTATCAGGTCGACCTCCTGGAACCATCGTGATTGGTTTATTGTTGAATTTGCTACAATGGGCTAACTGACCTGCTTCACCCTCATCTATCATCCCTCACTGGTGTCCCGCCAGCGTATACCAATAGCGCAGACGGGGCTACCATTTCATTATCATCCATTAAAAAATATATAAATATAAAAAAAAAAATATTATACCTAATTATTTCTTTGATAGTTACGTAAACAATAAATATATATATAAAAAAAAAAACTACCAACATACCTCGTATTTACTAGTACACCGTGATAAATAGACTGATTAAAATTTAAAAAACGTAATTCAAGGGATCAATAATCTTTTTTAATCTATGGTTATCACATTAACTGCTTAACGTAATTATAATTATCACGATAATGTGAATGTGATGGAGTTACAATCATTAAAATTTTACCTTCGCTGATAAATAAACTACTTATTTAAAGATAACGATGTAGATTATACATATATATATATTTTTATATTTGAAAAGATTATATATATATGTATAGCCAGTTATTAGTTATTACAATTAATTTATTTTACAAACTTTTAACTTTCGTTCGTACGATGTCATTTTACATTTGACAATTAATGTTTTTTTTTTTTATACAGCTTATAATGGCAAACAAGCTGACGGCCCACCTGATGGAAAGTGGTAACCGTCGCCTATACACATGAGCAGTACCATGGACATAAGAGAGTATACTGTTTCGCCCATGATACCCCCCATGCGTTGCCATTCCTGTGGACTCAGGTGTTATTCCTCTGTACCCAGTAAATTCACGCCATATACCACCCTTCAAACCGAAAGCCATGCAAACACAAGTGCTTCACGGTTGAAACACGAATAGGACAGAGGTACCCAAGCAATCGACTTTTGTACAAAGTCTCCCTCTGGTATGTAATGTAGCCTTAGATTATATAGAGAGTGTATCCATACGTGTACAAATGCTTCGATAAAAGTCGCTCAACTTTTTCATAAAATTTTGCATGATAAATAGTGTTTCCTTTATTCACTTTGTTTTAAAATTTTTGCATCTTTTTAATGCGTAAAAACTCATTTTATTTATTAAATTATTAAATATAGATACGTCAAGATACATTATGTGCGTAAGTATATAGAACACTGGTAAAAAAAACGAGTCAGCTAATTATTTGACAAAAATTGACCCGTTTTTGAGACTTGATGCTCTATCTATACTAAATAATATATAAATATAAATCTAAGAATGTCGCCTGTCAAATTAAATATACCGAGCAAGATGGCAAACAGGGGATGATGATGATGAAATGATGTTTACATCACTTCTTCTTTTGTTGTTCATCTTTTGCCATTCAGTGTCTTGTGCTTACTGATGGGCTAATTAAAATTTTCAATATGTTATGTATTATTTTTTTTAATAGGTGAAAATGAAATAGTGATCCCGCCTGCGTTATCGGTATACACTGGCGGGGCACCAGCGAGAGATGATAGGTGAGGATGAAAGCAGTTCATTTAGCCCATCGTGACACACGAATTAACCACGATAGTTTCCAGGAGGAACCGTGTGGAGGTCGACCTGATAGGGTATATTGCTAGCCAGGGGATTGCTAGTCCCCATTACTAACAATCCCTTCCCTCCTATATTATGTATTGATTTTAATAAAACTTGGTTACATTTCCATCAATTTCTATTGAAACAAACTATGTATATCTAAGCATGGGAGAATCGATGGCTAGGTCAAGGAACATCCGTGCCGTGCAGCATGGTAGTACACTTCATTACTGGAACGACCGCTTTCAATGGAAATCCAATACTAATATACAATGCACAAAGCGTTTTAGTATTGTTAAAACCTGTATTTATAAGGCATAACTGTAAATAGAAAGTAGGTAATTTTAAAATCCTACTTGGTAATTAGCTTTACAGTGGTTTATGCCATCCACTGTGTTCATGTCTATGGACGATAATTACCACATTCCATCTCTTTTTTTATGCAACTTAGAATGGCAAAAAAGCTGACGGTCCACCTAATGGAAAGTGGTAACCGTTGCTTATAGACATGAACAGTACCATGGACATAACAGAGTACACTGTTTCGCCCATGATACCCCACATGCGTTGCCATTCCTGAGAGCTCAGGTGTTATTACTCTGTACCCTGTAAATTCACGCCATATCCCACCCTTCAAACCGAAACACAGCCATGCAAACACAACTATTTCACGGTAGATACACAATTGAGACTATCCACGAGATTGTCAGCTTGATTATTACTCTAATCATCATAATAAAAAATACTTTATTTATTTATTTATACTTTATTCTGCACATTAATATAACATAAAAAATATGACAGATATAAGCAAATTTACAACAAGTTAACTCTAAAAGCGTTTTCTTCCAGCAAAACCAAAAGAAAGGAGCATCAATGTCAGCGGGTACAGTGGTGTACAATATTGTGACAAGTTTCAAACAAAAAGATCGAGACTAACTTAAGTTTATACATAACTAATTATATTTAATCGTATATATACAAACATACATATTTTGTTTACTTTATTTTTATTATTAATTTTATAGTTATACTATTACAGCTTATTGTACAAACACCTGTCATCATCATCATCATATCAGCCTTTAACTGTCCACTGCTGAACATAAGCCATGGACCATATGGCGAAATCCTTCTTTCTGTACTTTTTCTAAATTTACTTTTAGTAAATAACACATAAAAACTAGGCATTTTTTCTCATAACCTTCATATAACCTATCAATAACATCTTGTATAACGTATAAAGAGACTCGTAGATTAATAGTGTGACATTATTAGTTTTTGACTCCATTTATCTTTGCTTATAATAAAATCGCAACGAAGTCGAAACTGTGCAAAAATGTTAAATAGTCCTTGAAAAACGAACGGTGGTTGGGATGAAATTTTAGTTTATGGCGGGTTGTACGATGGTGATGATCTAAGAGTGACGCTGCTGTCCATCCCTAGACTATTAAGATCCCTTACTCGCCTCTTACGACACTTATAAATTGATTGACTTCGTTAAAATGTGAGATAAATTGTAAAATACTATTTGCTAGGTACATAAATTATCAATAGTTTACGTTATTTGTAGACTTAATTTATATTATACTGTACGAACATTATTTTATAAGTTTTAAATTGAACATATAAACAAAAAATATATAATTTAACAAATAATAATAATATCAATGAATTTGCTGGAAAATGAACTCTTTTACAGTTAAGCTCGCCTTTGTACATTTGATTACCTCTGTCATATTTTTATAAATAATTGGTGTGTACAATAAAGTATTAAATAAATAAAATAAATATCATACAACAGCCATGTCAATATGTCATTGTTTATTTTTATGTTTTTGGTGCAATAAAGTGTTAAATAAATAAATTGTAACAAAACGGTGAACTGAATAAACGAGGTATTTCGTGGACACATTAAATTTAAGATAAACCTCTGAATAAATAAGTAAAAACTAATTAATTTTTTTTTTCTATCAATCTTATTTTTTAATAATGAGCAATTTTTTTTAACATTTTCAAGTTGTATTTAAAAAATTATTTGTTTATTTACTCATCCTATTTTATCTGATACATTGTTATTTTACAGAACGTGTCGAAATTTATAAAGTGGAACATTAGAAGGTTATTTAACGGCAGAAAGTTGAAAATTTTATGGACACTTCAGCGACACTCCTTTGAGCACATTGTATTTTGTTTCTTGTCTCGTACGATTCATTGTTTGAGGTCGTAAAAAAAATTGAATAAGTTCGTATTATCTTAATCTCTCAAGAGACAAATATACCTGCTTTATATTTTCATGTTAAATTAAAAGTTGTTTTATTTATACAATTTTGTTAAAAGATGAAATTTAACAATAAAGTATTGTCTAGTTTAATTTTAAAATATTTGTTAAGGTAAGAACAAAAAAAGAGAGTACTAAAAGTTATGGTGAACCGGCCAGAGATATATACAACACTATAGATTGAAAACGGGGTTATGCTGAATATACTGTGACACCAAGGACATGTGTATTGAGTATGTTGTGTACACTCTTTGTTGTTAAGCTGACAATCCACCTGATGGAAAGATGTTACCAAGTTGTGATTTGTAAATAGATAGATAGATACTCTTTATTGTTTCCTCCAAAAGATAACAATAGTAAACTTATTATAGATATAAACAATTACAAGAAATAATCACAATGAGAAAACAATATGGCGACCTTATCTCTAAAAGTGATCTCTTCCAGGCAACCTTTGGATAGAGAGAACTATAAACAGTATATTAGTAAGGATTTAAATCTGAAATCTTTATTTCTGAAATCGGCTCAAACTGCGTCTTTTGGCCATTTTATGTAGGTATTTTTATGTACGAGAGCCGCTTCCATAGATAAGAGTGTCCGCTATCAGTGACAAAGTGCGAATATAACATATTTGTGGATCATAAATGCAGATTGTCGAATTGTCACCGTATCTAACGTTTTATTCTCTTTTTATTGCTCCACAAATATTGATATTTTTGCTTTATGATTCGTTCACTTCTGCTGTGGCTCATAAAATCTATATAGATTTTAGGCGAAATTCATTTTCAACCGACTTCGAAAAGGAAGGAGTTCTTCATTATAGTTTGCGCGTATGGGCGTATGCACGTGGGTGCGTGTGTGCGTGCGTGCGTGCATGCGTGTGTGTGCGTCTCTCTCTCTCTCTGTGTGTGTGTGTGTGTGTGTGTGTGTGTGTGTGTGTGTGTGTGTGTGTGTGTGTGTTTGAAATGCGGATAGATTTAATTTTTTTTTAAATATTGATCTTGAATACGTAAAATTAAAGTCAAGATATAACCTACCTGTTTTGTTGTTGTACAACAAAAGACACCCACGAGAAAGGATAGCCTATTCTATGCCGGAACCCACACGGCTACTTACCAGTGTATCACGGATTTAATCAAATCCGTTTAGTACCTTTTGGGTGAAATACTAACAAATATTCATCCATATACCCTCACAAACTTTCTGATTCATAATAATAATAGTAGTACTCAATACATTGTAACTATCTCTCTTTATAACTGATTTTTCAATACATTACTATTCGACAAGTATGATTTTTAGAAAAAACATACATATAATTATAATTCCTAATTAATAATGGCTGGAAAAAAACCGAACAGTACATATATAAAAAAAAATGAATTTTTCGTAATTTGCAATATCATTCTTTTATCTTTTAATGTAATGTTAATAGGTATAAATTTAATAAATAAATAAATAGGTAGAACTATAGAAGTGGTATTATTAGGAAGTACGTCTTCTACAAATAAAGTAGTCAAGTCACCTCATTTACTACTAAATTAATATAAGGTAAAGATTGAAGTAACTAACTTGTGTCGATTGAAAGAATATTCGTGGTAATATCGTAGACACTCGATAAAACTCTTAACACCAGAGCGCGCCACCGGTAACGTTTTATTTTCCTTTCGCCCTCGCAGCGATATAAGCGGTTCGACACCCTCCATAATTTACTAAACCAATACTGACTCTGTCACTGCTTTAATGAAAGGAACTCCAGATATAAATATCCAAGTCTGTAAAAGAAACTTTTATGAAATTCAAACAACCTCTCAATTTACAGACATTCAAAGGATATTCGCATGAGAAATTTCCTGTTGAAAATATTCCCAATTGGAAAACTATGCTCCGGTGTTCTTGTCTTACGAACTTTGCAGTGGATTTTAGAGTTCGATGACGTCATTAGGCAGTATCTGGAAGCAAATGTTTGAAGGAATTTATTGTATTCCATTTTTAAAAAACTAAATTGGCAAACAAGCTGATGGCCCACCTAATTGTAGGTAATAATCGTATGTAGATATGTACAGCACCATGGACATAACAGAATATACTGTGACACGCATAATACGTTCTTCATGTGTTGCTATTCCTGAGAACTAGGGTATCATGCTTCCCTACCTTCTCTGATCCCGTAATCGGATCTGTCATAGAATATGATCCCAGCATAAAATAGACCATCCCTTCCTTTCCCGTGGGTGTCGTAAGAGTCGACTAAGGGAGGGCGAGGGATGGGCAGCAGGGTCCCGCTTAAAACATCTCTAAAAGCCTAACTACGGTTGCCAGCCCGTCTGCCAAGCGTTGCAACTACTGGCAATACTCCTCTTATGGAGAAGGTTTATGTTCAGCAGTGGACAGTTAACGGCTGAAATAATAATAAACTCTCTCTGATGGGAAATTGTTACCGTCACCTGTAATGTGATACCCATGGCGATGGTTAGCACTTTCCGTCAGATAGTAGAATACATTTTGAAGTGAAATAAAAAAAGGAACAAAAGATAATTTGCCTATTAAAGGTAACATAAAATTTATAATTTATGTAAATATTTATTTTAATTTCTGTCTTGCACTATTACTGCCCACTCACTACTTCCTATGCCACTGCGTTAGGTTGACTGGAAGAAATCTCTTTTAGAGATAAGTTCGCCTTTGTTACACCTAACATTGTTATTAACTTATTGTTGTTAATGTATGTTTTAGTGCAATAAAGAATATATATATATATATATATATATATATATATATATATATATATATATATATATATATATATATATATATATATAATTTATCTTTTTACCTACTTATGCGAAGCCTAAGCGGATCGCTAGTTCTTAAATGAGGGAGCGTAGGGTGTTGTCTGTGAGGGCCAACATGATTGCTCGTAGGTTTTCACGTTGTTCGAGGGACGTCAAAAGCACTGTTTTTTTTGTTTTTGTTTGTGGGCTTTTTATACTCAGAAACAGTACAGCGCCCTACGAGTCCAGTATAATAATGCGTTTAATACTGTTGGGGCTGTCCCGGTTTCGTAGTGCGTCGGGAATATTCGCCGAAGCGCGTGTTGATTGTTTCTACGCTACTATACGAAAGCGGTGCACATCTCTGATGCGTAGAGTCCGGGACAGCTCTAGCGCTATTCTAAGGGTATTTGCGGACCGTCCAGACTGCCAGTATTTGAATCGTTGCAGAATGATCCATATACTGGCTAACATAAAAAAAAAGTAGGTTAAGTTAATGTTATTTATTTATAAATGTAAAAAAAAAAATTGATTTAATAATTTATAGTTGGTGCAAATTATAATAATATTGTTAAAATTTTGTGGACTCTGGTTGCCTTTTTTGAAGAATTTATTAAATATAGAGGTAAACGAGTAAACGATCAATTTCATGAGAAATGATTATTGTTGTACTTGAACAGGAGTTGGCGGCATTTGTTGATTATAACCTTTACACTGAACGTATCATCATTGACGTAATTAGAAGGGGGGCTGTATAAGCCGTGCCCACGCACAGAATTGTGAAGCTTCGAAAATACTAAGAGAGACAGCCTGAGCGGACATATGCGCTTTATTAAAGAGCCAAGCCCTCTTGAGAGAGAAGGGATTGTTAGTAATCCGACCTCCATATGGTCGCTCTGGAAGCCGTTGTGCTGAATTCTAGGTGTATTCACACGATGGACTAACTGACCTGCCTTTTCATTATCATCTATTATCCCTCACTGGTGCCCCGCCAGCGTATACCGTTAGCATAGGCGGGGTTACCATTCTATTGTTATCTTTTAAAAAAACCCCTGAACAATAATCCCATTTAAGATAATTTTCCACGGGGAGGGAACAGGGACTGGCAATTGTATCACTGGATATGCCCATATTTTGCCGAGCCTTTTCAAGCTATTTAAACGTGGCAGGGAGCTAGTCTACTGTCAGCCGGATTAATTTGAATTGTTTTAAGACATTTAATTGTAACTAATAATTAATATTTGTGACACTGATATGTGTAATCTAATCTTATTAGACAGCGCTAACTATCTAATCTATTTAGTTTAATTATTACAGTAGTACAATAAAAAATATTTTACTCTACACTTTCATGTTTTCTCCGCTCTACTATACTAACGACCATTTCCCCAGCTTTGCATAGAAAAGTAGAAAAAAAAAAATAGTATTCCAAATCCGGCCCACCTGATGGAAAGTGATAACCGTCGCCTACAGATATGAGCATTATCATAAACATAAAAGAGTATACTGTTTCGCCCATGATACCCCCCCCCCTCATGCGATGCCATTCCTGAGAACTCAGGTGTTATTCCTCTGTACCCTGTAAATTCACGCCACATCCCACCCTTCAAACCGAAACACAGCCATGCAAACACAACTGCTTTACGGTTGAAACACGAATGGGACAGAGTTACCCAAGCAAACGACTTTTGTACAAAGTCTCCCTCTGGTGAACCTCTTGTGAACGTGAACTCCTTTATATGATGCTAGTGTAGATATGGGTCAATTGGTGACCAACCAATACCGCTTGACCGAGAAGCAGAACAATTTAATTTGCACAAATTATTGACGCATACCGTCGCCAATAATGTAATACGTCAAGTAGACCGACATAGCTATAGCTAATCTCTTAGTAATAATACCAATCTCTTCATTATAAGTTTCTTTGATTAATTAACTCAATATTTAATAAAATAAATCTCTTCAAAATTTACTGTGAAAAAATGCGTGTAGAGACTTTATATAACTTGAAGGGTGGGATATGGCGTGAATTTACTGGATACAGAGGAATGGCAACGCATGGGGGGTATCATGGACGAAACAGTATACTCTGTTATGTCCATGGTACTGCTCATGTCTATAGGCGACGGTTACCACTTTCCATCAGGTGGGCTGTCAGCTTGTTTGCCATTCTAAGTTGTATATAAAATAAAATAAAAAAGAAACTTTTATTATCTGCTTGGGTACTTTTGTACCATTCGTGTTTCTGCTGTGAAGTAGTTGTTTGTATGCTGTGTTCTTTTTACAACACAGGGGGTAAACGAGCATGCGGCTCACCTGATGGAAAGTGACTACCACCTCTCATGATAATAAAGTGTCTCTTTCGTGATTGAGTAATAAATATTTTTACATTTTTGTTCTACATTTGTAATTTTAGTATAATTTAAATTACATATATTTATTTATACTTTTGCATACATCAAAATATGTCTACAGGGCGGACTTGATGCCTGATACCAATCTCTACCAGTCAACGGTTACACTAAACAGAGAGAGCAAATCGTGGTGCATTGATCTGACATAAAATATTTGTAAATTAAATAAAAATTTTAATAAATAAGAATATTAATACATTTTAAAATAAATAAACATACATACATATAGAAAATTAAAGAATTTTCTTTAATTTTCTATCTTTGTATGTTTATTTTAAAATTAAAAGGATAAATAAATAAAAAAAATAAACAATGTTCTTTAATTTTTTGTATCTTTATATGTTCATTTTAAAATTAAAAAAATATATAAATAAAAAAATTAAAGAATTTTCTTTAATTTTTTATCCGTTAATAAAAGATAATGATAAGAACAATTAATTTTCAATTATAATGTACAAAGGCGAGCTTATTTCTAATAAGAGGTACATATATTGTATAGAATATATTTAAAATGTAATTAAACACTTTCAAAATTAAGAATGCATTATTATGCATTATTTAAATTCCACGGTTTAACACGCGTGCGTCAGTATATGAAATATTCCGCGTATTATGCAGAATATGACCTACCTATTTACAAAGACTTAAAAAAATATTATAAATTTTCACATTTATAATGTTAGTAGGACATTTTCAAAGTACGAATCTATACTTTTATATTTATCTCAAATAAGTGATTGAAAAATGAAAAACAAATTTTATATAAAAAAAAAAAATATTATGAAAAGAAATAAAATTAAACAGTGCAGTAGGGAACGCCTGTTGCGCGTAGCCGTAGCACCGCTACACCGTAGCTCCGTAGCGGCCAGTTATCCTCCGCCACTCAAAGTTTCCGCCCGCCAACCGCGCTCTGCTACTAACCCAGTTTCACACGCTACTTCTGTGCTAACTAAAACTATATAAATGACGTTATATTGAATGTATGGAATTATTGTAACAGTGTATTTTAATTGTTACACAATGTACACGTACCGTGGGTGTTTTCAAAATTGATGGGTGAGTCTGTTTCTATTTTTGTTTGTCGATGTTCGGAAATTTTAATTGATCACGGTGGATTATATAGTCTGTGATTTCGCATCAATTAATTTTGTGAATTAATTAAAATTGAATCCACCGTTGTGGAACACTATGCCTGTTTGTGAGAGCTGAAAGGGAGATAATTGATCACAAATTGAATTTAAAAAGTTTCAACGCTTTTAAAAAGAAGTTTTACATATAAAATACTAAGTAAATTGTACAACTTTTAAATTACGAAAATCTGAGTACGTTTATGACTGTACTTTATAAGGGCTCCCGTTGTCTGAGTATGATACCGAATTAAAAGTTAAAAAGTATTTTGTTAAAAAAATTGCAATAAAAAAAATATTTAAATTCTACCACAATTGTAGAGATTAAAAATGATTAATAAATATATAATAAAAACTGACAATCGAGGGGAAAGAAAATGATGCCCTTATACAGGTAAATGTAGGCTAGGACGACCCCCACTAGACTGAGCGATGTCTACAAATATATTGTGAGAAATCGGTTGATAGTTGACGACTAAAATCATGATGATAAAAAAATATATTTATTTTTAATAAAACTAAAAATACTCAATGCATATTGTATATAATTGTAAAAGAATATTTACACAATATGCATATAAATTTAAAATATATAAATAAACAATATTCCTAATAAAAAAAAATATACAAACTAAACTCTCATAATTGACTGTGTGGTCCCAACATAGAATGGGCTACCCCTTCCTATCCCGTGGGAGTCGTAAGAGCCGACTAAGGGAAGGTGAGGGATGGACAGCAGCGTCCCACTTAAAACATCTTCAAAGCCTAACTGCGGTTGCCAACCCGCCTGCCAAGCGTAGAAACTACTGGCAAAACCCTCCAAGGGGAGACTTATGTTCAGCAGTTGACAGTTAAAGGCTGATATGATGATGATGATGACGATGATGAAAATCTCGTAATAACATAATAATATTAAAAAAAAAATATTGTAATATGAAAATCATGTTTCAATAATTAATAAGTAAATAAAAAATTTCGAACCAGACAAAATTTTAAAATAAATTGGAAACCATCTCTTTGTGTTCTCTTTACATATAAATTTAACATAGATTCATTTACTATATGTATTTTGAAATATAAAACAGCTTTAAATATTGAAGTTCCACAATGACAGACAAAGGGATGTGGGGGAAGTGATATTAGTAATGCGGACTGCCGTTGCTAGCAATATACCCCGTCAGGTCGACCTCCACATGATCCCTCCCGGAAACCATCGTGCTGAATTCCAGATCTATTCATCACGATGGGCTAACTGACATGCCTTTTCATTCTCACCTATCATCCCTCACTGGTACTTAGCCAATGTGCACCGTAAGCGCGAGCGCGGTTACCATTCCATCATCATCTATTAAAAAAAAAGCAAAGGAATGTTCGTAAATGTCTTACATTGTCCATTACAACAAGTAAATTTTCCTCGTAAATACACAGACTACAAAAGTGGCAAATTTTATGAACCAATTTTAATTAAACTTCTACGAGACCAATTTGAAAGTATGTGTATATCCTTTATAAACACAAAAGATTCTGCTTACAAATGACGGAATTTTGAAATAACGATCGTAAAAAATACAATAGAATGGAGAACCTTTTACTTTTTTGATAACGGTTAAAAATATATGAACGTAGAACTAGGAGTTGCGTAATTATCTAAAAGTGCATTTAGAGTCGTGACAAATAGTTTTCTGCGCTAAAATAAAAGGAACTTAACATGAGAATAATCCCTATCAAATATAAAAAGAACAGTGAAAATCGGTTAAAAATTGACAACGTAATCACTTACGTAACTAACTACTTTTTTTATGCAACTTAGAATGGCAAACAAGCTGACGGCGCGCCTGATGGAAAGTGGTAACCGTCGCCTACAGACATGAGCAGTACCATGGACGTAACAGAGTATACTGTTTCACCCATGATACTCCCCATGCGTTTCCATTCCTGAGAACCCAGGTGTTATTCCTCTGTACACCACCCATTCTTCAAACCGAAACACAGTCATGCAAACACAACTGCTTTACGGTTAAAACACAAATGGGACAGAGACACCCAAGCAAACGACTTGTACAAAATCTCCCCCTGATATATCTATAGTTTATATTTTTTTTACAAGTTTACTAATATAATCTTTTTGAGCAAACATTTATTATATCTATCTATAGCGATAAAAAACATTTTAACCAAATTGAGAAAATTTTGACAAAGTCGCTTAAAAATAATAACTAGATAAAAGATAAAATTGTACGTATTGTGATTTGTAAGTATATCGATACGTACGTGTATTTATTTATTTGCAACAATTTTCAATTTTTTCACCGCATAATTAAATTTCTGTTTTGCCAAAGGTTGACTGGGAGAAAATGCTATATAGTATTAAGTCCGCCTTTTGTACCAAACATTTCTTTGTAATGTGGTCAATAAAGAATAAATAAATAAATAAATAAGTTTTTAACTGTTACTTTTTATCTTCTCTATATTTATATTGATTTATTCGACCGATTTGACTAAAGTGAGCCTTCGTTTAAAATTACACCAACTCCAACACAGATACTATTTTCTCCAATAGAGCTTTATTTTAACGATTCATTAATACTTTATTAATCCTTACTAATTTTATAAATCTGAAAATGAGTTTGTTAAATCGTAACATCTTAACCAATTACTATAAAATTTGGTACACACATAATACTTTTTTTTTACACAACTTAGAATAGCAAACAAGCTGACGGCCCACCTGATGGAAAGTGGTAACCGTCGCCTATAGACATGAGCAGTACTATGGACATAACAGAGTATACTGTTTCGCCCATGATACCCTCCATGCGTTGCCATTTCTAAGGACTCAGATGTTATTCCTGAAATACATGGGATAGATAAGGATATAGATTCATCATCATCATCATTTCAGACATTATCATACGCCATATCCCACCCTTCAAACCGAAACACAGCCATGCAAACACAACTGCTTCACGGTAGAAACACGAATGGGACAGAGGTAATTGACTTTTGTACAAAGTCTCCCTCTGGTATTTATAGACAAGGATAGCGCCATGGGTATTACAGAAAATCTATAGCACCCATTGTACGTCTCATGTGGTACTATTCCTAAGAAATAAAGTTATATATATATACCGTCGTATTGTAAAAAATAGTAAATTTAATTTCTCATAAAGTATATATTTTATTTTCTATAAAACACTTAAAAAGTAATTGCTTGTATATCCATTAACACATAAAAGTTATATTGTTTGCCTTCGTTCAAAGCTAAAAAAAAACTTCTCGTTAGTAATTAGTCAAGATGACAGATTTACGGATTTCTCTTGCCAGCCACAAAAAGTTCAATTTAAGAAAATAAATAAAATTTATACCTAGTGTTTATACTTAGTTAATGAGTAAATCATTAACTAGATACACTAAGAGATGATGTTCGAGCGTTGAATTTTTATGTTCTTTTTTTCGTACAAATCGTCATAGTCGTAGAATACTGACGGATCTTTATATGTAATCTTTGTCAGATCCGTCAGTATTCTACGACTATGACGAAATGGGAAATTTTGCAATAAAAATAAACGTCATCATGTCATCATCATATCATCTTTTAACTGTCTACTGCTGAGCATAGGTCTTCGTTAGGAGATTTTGCCAATAGTTGCCACGCTTGGCAGGTGGCTTGGCAACCACAGTTTTTTTTAATGGATCATAATGGTACGGTAACCCCGTCTGCGCTATCTGTATACAATGGCGGGGCACCAGTGATAGATGTCTGATAAGGATGAAAGCAGGTCAGAGAGCCCATTCTGACAAATTCAACTAGAATTAGCCACGATGGTTTCCAGGGAGAACCACGTGGAGGTCGACCTGACAGGGTATATTGCTAGTAATGGAGCTATTTGACTCCATTACTAACAATCCCTTTCCCCCCTGGCAACCACAGTTAGCCATTGTTGATGTTTTAAGAGGGACGCTGCTGCTCATTCCTCAATTATTAAGTTACCTTAGTCGCCTCTTATGGCACCCATGATAAAGAAAGAAGTAACCTATTCTATGCCGAAACCATATGACCCAAATAAATTGTACATATACATAATTTCAAATTATTTTTTTACAACAAAAAATTGAGTTCCACAAAAAAAACCGACTTTAATTGTAGCAAAACCAGTTATTTCGATTTAAAAACTAAATTACTAAGCCTAAGATATATAACTAAGATTTTGATAAAATTATTGTGGGACCAATCTCGTAATATATTCTTTCAAATAATAAATAAAATTTTCCAAATCAGTTTACAACTGACAGAGATATGTGGTAATAAGCATTAAAAGAAAACAATCGAATTGAGATACGTTTATTTTTAAAGTTGTTAGAAATTCGACCTCAATCGAAAAAAGTTCGAGCACGTGACGCAGCAGGCAAGAGTTAGTCGTATATAAATTAATAAACAATCCAATATACAAACTGGTGCTCACAAAAGAATGTTTTACGAGGTTTCGCTTTGTCTTCGCAGCGAAGAACTATAATAGAAAATATCGCTGCGTTTCTAACAATGAGTTTTCATTAAAAGTAATGTGCCAAGTACAGTATCGCACCTATTATACACGCCTAATATAAACGAGCCTTACTCCAACAAATAATAAATTAAACTAGTGTTTATTTACAACTTTGCTCTCATAACTGGGGTTTTTTTTTTGATGGGTGAAAATGGTATGGTATCCCCGCCTGCGCTAACGGGATGCGCTGGCGGAGCACCAGTGAAGGGTGATAGATGAGAATGAAAACAGGCCAGTTAGCCTATCATGATGAATTCGTCAGGAATTAACCATGATAGTTTCTAGGGAGAACCGCGAGGTCGACCTGGCTGGGTATATTGCTAGCAATAGGATTCTCAGTCTCCATTACTAACAATCCCTTTCCCCCCTCATATCTGGGGTGTAA